GGATGGGTCTCCACTACATTATATGTACTTTAAGTACTTATGTACTTTTAAGAATAAAATGTGAATGAGAAAGGCTTTTCTGCATTTGCGGCTGTTGAGTGTTTAGTTTGGAGTCAACACGTGTCATTTATTCCATGTGTGTCAGATTTGCCTCCCTCCCCTTGCTCTTCCATTTGACGCTAGATTAATGCTTTCCATCAGGCTTAACCTCAATTGAAATGACCCAGTTCTCTTTGATGTTTGATCTGTCCATGCTTCATGATATTTCCTTGCTTCTCGTCTTCTTATGAGTAATACTTTCTGTTAGTCTCAAGGCTTTTGCATTGACATACAGCATCAAAACCTCACTGGGTCACATAACTGGCTGCTGAAATCAGGGGGCTTCACACTGAGATTGCATTCCATTCCTGTAAAAAACTGGACATCCGTTTGGGTTTAATCATATATTTCAATGTGAAGTATTAGCTTTTAAAAACACTTACAGTACTCCACAGGTATAGCTGTAGGAGAAATAATGTCACGTAGGAATACATGTTAATTTTGTTGCAAGGTTTGAATACCTGTCATCGGAGGAGTTACTAAAACTATTTAATCTTTGCTTGAAACAAAGTATTTGCTTTAATAATACCATATAAATATGGTTTATGTATTATAATGATAATATATAAACCACAATAAATACAGCAACTAACTGGATGTTTTGGCAGTTGAGCTTCAAGCCAAGACCTACTTTGCAATTTCAGGTTAAAAATATACAACAGGAAAATCTTAAAGTCTCAAAATAAAACAATTAACAATGCCTCCTGTCTGTGTTTACCTTTGCTACCTTCTTTGTAAAGCAACAACATTAAAGCATTGCTTTTGCAACTTCAGATGCACCTTAAAGTCTGACAGCCTTGAAGTTTTTAATGAGTTAAATCAAAATTTCCAGGCTGCAAGGGAGATTGTTCAGCAGACTCACCGGTTCTCTTATGGAAGTAAATATGTGCCATCAGAATTTGAATAAAAAATATCTCTGAAATTTGAATGTTGTATATTAGTGCTTACTTTTTCAGTATTAAAATAAATTCAGAATATATTTTTAACCTAAAAAAAATTCAATGTCATTATTTGTACATTAAAAAAAATTCAGTGTAATTTTTTTTACATGGTTGCAATTTTCAGTTATTAAAAAAATTCACATTCCTATTTCAAAGTGATCAAATTTTCAATATACATATTTTTCACAGTTTAAATTTTCAGTGTTAAAAAATTCAGCATATAAAAAATTCAACTTTTCAAAATTCAAATAATATTTTCGTTGTCCTCCAATTCAACTTGCTCAAATTCACTGTCTCAAATTCAGCGTCTAAAAATTTGATGTAAAAATGGCCAAGGTTACTTCAGGTCACAGACATTAGCAATGGATGTCCGATTCCAACATCCACCTAATCATATGACACAACCGTCATATTGAAGAAGTACAAAGTATCACCCAGGCTGGCAACCATGGAGGTGAACTCAAACCCAACGGTGAGTTTAATGCTTTCATATTTCTGTAGTATATTTTATTTTGCGCATGAAGTTTGATACGTTATCTTAAAGCCTGATTTAAAACACTGGTTTGGGCCGTTGTTAATCTTACACCGTGTAGTGACGGCATATTACTTCTCGCTACCTCCGAGCTAACAATACAGTAGCTGATCAGAGTGGGGTCAGAACTGTTCACAGCCCCTCTTTGAAGCACACAAGGCAGCCATATTAGCTTACTACATTAGCGGTAGCATCTCCTGTAAAATTACGACTTTACTAAGACTGCCTGTAAAAGTGGTATTTCTTTTTGAAATAAAACGGGGGAAATTGGGTCGGGGGGGGGATGCTCGGAGGTAATATGCCGGCACTACACGGTGTAAGATTAACAACGGCCCAAACCAGTGTTTTAAATCAGGCTTTAAGATAATGTATCAAACTTAATGTGCAAAATAAAATATACTACAGAAATATGAAAGCATTAAACTCCCCGTTGGGTTTGAGTTCGCCTCCATGGTCGCCAGCCTGGGTGATACTGGTACTTCTCCAATATCACGGTTGTGTCACGTGATTAGGTGGATGTTGGAATCGGACATCCATTGCTAATGTCTGTGACCTGAAGTAACCTTGGCCATTTTTACAGCAAATTTTTAGATGCTGAATTTGAGACACTGAATTTGAGCAAGTTGAATTGGAGGACAACGAAAATATTGCATTTGAATTTTGAAAAGTTGAATTTTTTATATGCTGAATTTTTTAACACGGAAATTTTAAACTGTGAAAAATATGTATATTGAAAATTTGATCACTTTGAAACAGGAATGTGAATTTTTTTAATAACTGAAAATTGCAACCATGTAAAATAAATTACACTGAATTTTTTTTTAATGTACAAATAATGACATTGAATTTTTTTTAGGTTAAAAATATATTCTGAATTTAGTTTTATACTGAAAAAGTAAGCACTAATATACAACATTCAAATTTCAGAGGTATTTTTTATTCAAATTCTGATGGCACATATTTACTTCCATATTCTCTTTTCATCACCTGCTCAAATAATTTTCCAGAAGTTTGAAGAATCCTGCCATGTATAAAACCTCTATAAAGGAAGATAAAAAAAAAAACAAAGACAGGGATCAACATTTCAAAATGTAAGCCGAACATAAAGGAGTAGAGTTGAATGAAATGAGACCTGTCTTCCTCAGTTTGACTTTATTGTCAGAGAGACATTATTTTCAATTAGGCAGGGCACCAATTACACCTTGAACCAAACTGATATGTAGACCAATGTATGGAATAGAGGAATCTTAAAAGAACAGTTGAAGTTCAGACGGTTTACTTTAGGAAATGTGTGGAGGTGACCAGCAGTGGAGACTGAGGCAAAATACAACATATCTCAGCATCCTTCATCTTCTTTAGACCAGGCTTTACATATTGTTCTAATTTCAACTCTTACTTTATTGTAAATCTAAAGTGAGCTGCTGGTGGTATCTTTGCCTTTCAGCAAGTGTGGAAGTCTAACACACAGATTTACTAACGAGCTAATTTGTAAAGACAGTTTTAAGAGTTTTATATTTATAGATAATTTATATTTGCAGACTTCTAGTTGCAAAAACAAAAACTAATACTAGGCAGTGTGTACCATACCATACCATACCAACTTTATTTATGAAGCACTTTTTCCACCGACAGGAGTATAAAGTGCTGTACACGATCATTGAATAAAATAAAATTGTAAAGTAGAAAAGATTCAATGTAAAATACATATTAATATACAGACACAATCAATACATCAAGCTTTGTAGCTGTAAAGTGACACAATATGAACCTTTTAAGAGGTCATGATTTTTTTTTCTTATATGATCCTGTAACCCCTCTCTGGAAAACCTGACCCGCGTTTTGCCAATTATTTTTGGAGAGAAGAAAGAGGCATTTGATTTTACTGAGATAACCATATCAACGCCCTGTTTTTAATCTATGACTCTTTAAAAGTCACTCAAATATTCCCCCAGCCACACTCATATAGCTTTCTTGATTAAAACATATTAGTTTTGGCTTAATTAATCACTTCTGATCACTGTGATTTTTGATTGCATTGTTACTATTCCCACTTTTCTTTCTAAGTTCAGCCTTGAACCGCTGACTTTTCTCACAGCCATTACAGCAGAAGCATCATTAGCACAACAAAACCATCCGCTGAGAATTGAGGATATGGAAAAAGGAAGAACAAATGTCTACAGTACATGCATGCAAGCTGATTGTCCGCAGCGATCTGATATTTGGCTTAATGGTTTCTTGTAATCAGGAAATGACTGGGCTTCCAGTTAGCATGGCTTCATTTGCCATTAATTTGTTTGTCTCTACATGAACAGATAAGCACAAATATTTTCCTCCCGCACTTTTATTTACAGCTTATATGTGGAAAAATCTGATGCTGGATGTTTTGCACGGTCACATTTTGGCTCTGAGCCACTGTTATTTCAGGACAAGCATAGCAGAGGGGGTGGTGGAGGATAAAACTTTGGATTGACCAGTTTGGCCCAGCTGAGTTTATTCTAAGTGTCTCTGGGTGCGAGGCTAAATTTAGCTGGTCTGTCCTGTTGATAATTCAGAGGAATTTGGACTTTAAGCTTCTGTTATGAAGGAGCTTTTCTTCATCCTGATCTCAGCGGCTCTGCTGAGTTTTACAAAACAGTCCTTGCAAGGCTGATGCTATGAAGAGAAAAATGTGCAGAGTTTGCTTTGTGTCATTGCATGTCATATCTAATGTCCTGGGAGCCAACATAGACACAGGAAAGAAGCGCAACCTTCATTTTTTCTTTTAGCCCTCTCCCCATCTTTGCTTTTGGGCTCTCTCTCCTCCTCCTCTTCTTCTCCTCCTCATCCAAACCCTCTCATGCTCTCCACATTTGTTATACAGGGGTGCAAACTTGCTTACCTCATCATTTTATTTTGGTGTGCAAAGCCCTATTTCTGTATTGGGATAAAGGACAGTGAAGCAGAGTAGAGGGTGCGCTGCTCCTTGTAGCAGAGGAACTGTTTCGCTGGTGATCTGTGTGGAAAAGAGGAGGGTTCTGTGGCTGCAGGGCGGACCACCCGGTCACTGAACTTCCAACGCTTTGGGAATTGGAGACATTTGGATGGAACACAGCTAAAATAACAGACATTTTGGGAAATTATGGATTTTGACAGAGGACTGTTGGGATGATACGATGTGGAGGACTTCTTAAAATGTCAATTGAAACCCTAGTTGATGGACGTAAATTGATTTGTTTCTTTTGAGTGTCCGTGAATCCCTCTTTTTGGTTTTTGCCTTCGTCAGCATATCACTAAATGTCTGAGAAATAATGACAGAGTTCTACCTGGTACAATAATGCTTATGCTTTTGTTTTCTGAAGATAGATTTGCAAAGGACTCAGTTGGATGTTTTGCCTCATCTTTTACACGTGTTCTTTCCTTAACTGTCTTTGTTTTCCTGTTTTCTCCAGTCTGACAGTAATGCTAGTTACCTGCGAGCTGCCCGGGCGGGAAACCTTGAAAAAGTCCTTGACTACCTCAAGTCTGGAGTTGAGATCAACATTTGCAATCAGGTACGTTTTTGTGAAATGCAAACATTCTAACAAAGCCATATTTCCGCTCTATAGAAACAGTCAAACTAACAAATTGCAAGTTTAACTCCTCTGAATAATGTTCTACTCCCAGAATGGGCTAAATGCTCTACACCTGGCCTCCAAAGAGGGACATGTAGAGGTTGTTGCTGAGCTGCTGAAGCTTGAAGCAACAGTGGATGCAGCCACAAAGGTAAGACACACCCAGTCTCTCATGCAAGTAAGCTTGAATTCAGTGCAAAACATGGTCTTTGTTAGAGTTCTAAGGAGAATCTCTAATTAACGATGCCTTTGGGGATTTCTTCTGCCGTTGGTTACAATTATAGAGGAATATCTAACTAGTGTGATCTGCTGAATAAAAAGGCGCCGTGTTATGCAGATGGTTCTTCTGTTTCTACTTTTTGTAACATTTTTAATCACAGAAAAAAAAGGTAAATATCAGATATAGTTTACTCCATTTTTGGAAAGCTGGTTTATTTCACATCTCCTATCTTGATCAAAGTCTGATCACTACCAGACCTGTAGATTCAATAAAACACTTAATTCAAAACAGTTTGACAACAAGAAGTAGTCAAATAGATGCCTAAACAATATTCACTGATCTTAACAAATTTAAGAACAGATAAAAAAAATCAGAGTTACTGAGATTTATTTGTCTAGAGATGTTTACAAAGCTAAGTCCTTACACTGCATAACATTCTATCTAGGTACATAACTTTTTCTAAAAATAAGTGCATGAGTTTTTCTTGAATTGAGCAGATAAGTGTCATTGCCAATAGAATAAGAGAATTTACATATAAAATAAGAAAAAAAAACTGCATTGTCTTATTCCAAATACATACTGTAATATCAAATTATCTTATTTGTATGGCAGAAACACTAATTCCACTGGCAAATCATCTTTTTGACCCACGTTTAAATTGCCCCAGCTCTGATCGGCATGCAGTGAGAACACCAGAGCCTGGTTGACCTGCAAAACTATGTGATTCTATTGAGCGCAATATGGTTGTCAACTCTGTTTACATTTGATAAACATGGAGCAGCACTGGTGAGAGGGATTCAGAGGGACAACAGAGCGAAACATTAAAGCACACTGACTACCCCCTGGCTTCCTTACATGTTACTCTCCATTGTTTACTTTCCTGAAATTCTGTCGCATTGGTGACATCATCAGTGCTACAGTAACCCAGCATGATGGTGTCACCAGACACTCACCTGTTGGAGGACAGCCAGTAGGAGGTTAGACTCAGCTTTTTTTCCCAGTGGGAAAGGATCCAAATACCTATTGTTAGCGAGTCGACCCATATTTGAAAAACACCCATTAATGCGCCATTTTCAGTGGGAAAGATGCTTTAGAAAAATGACAAATACTGCTCCAACTATATATCTTCATTTACTATAACTTGGCTACTACTAAAAGCATTTCAATCACTTGGAGGTGCACGTACGTTGAACATAGTTTTCTCCACTCACACAACTTATGCCACATTACTAACATTTTTAAAGGCAAGGAGGTACCTTGATTTTTTGAAGTATATTCTATTAATCTGGGTTCTAAGTGTGGCCAGAATTGAAGGTGTCACCACTGCTCCAAAAAAAAGGTCCTGTCTCACATTTATCAGAGAAGATTAACTTAATAATTCCCAAGACTTTAGAGATGTATTCTACCAACTGCTGAAAAAAAACTTTCCACACCATAACTTGGATAATGTATTGTAATTGATTAAATTATGATTTTTACTGTTTAACACAATATTCAGATGGGAAAGCAAAGTTTGCTTGAAAGCTTCACTGAACAAATGAAGTCATGGTTTAAAAAATAAGATGTTTCTCTTTGATTTACTTAGGCTGTTTGTCTAATGCTAAAAACAAATTGTATCTGAAACATTTAAGTGTGAATAAATATAAAATATAAATCAATCAAAAACAAAACTGGATCTATGAGGGTGCAAATAATTTCATACCATGTTAACACATACAAGCCAAGCAAAGCTACCAGAGGTTTGATTCTGAAAAGGGACTCAGAAGCAGAGCCAATAGAAACATTATTCATATTTATACCTTTAAGGCTTTTCAGTCCCCTTTTATGGGCTGCTTTAGCATCTCTGCCCCAGGCAACTTGTCTGGTGCTGACATAAACATAGGGCACTAGAAAAAAATTCAGATCAAGGAGAAAATCTACAATTAAAATATCCCTGTATTATGACCCTGAGGATTCCTAGGATTCGTTTTGATCCCGCGGGCATCTGAATATCAACAGATACTATTATTTGTTTTGCAGAGTAAGTGGGTGATAGTGAAAAATAACAATCAAACATTTTTGAGGTTGTTTAGAGGCACCCTCCTGATATGTTTCTCATCTAGTTGTGAATAAAATAAATAAAATAAAATGAAATAATGGGTTTTCTTTTGTTTATTGACTCCTTCAAACAATATTTAAAATATAAATTTCAAATAATGATTCCTAAATTTCTTTTTTTTTTTGAAAAACATCATTGCTTTACCTAATACAAGATATTGCATCATTGACTGCATCTATAAGCTTTAAAGCAGGGGTTCATTTTAAGATAGACCTAAAGTGTAATGTGGGCCAAAATACATCACATCATACAATACATAAAAGTATAAGTCATGAATTAAATATATATAATATAAAAAATGTACAGTTTTATTTATATATTTAATCTACGTTTATGATCAAGTATACCATTACATTAAGACATGAACAAAGGAATTAAATGCCTCAGTAAATATTTCAAAGCACCTTTTAAATGATTCAATAAGAAATAAATATATTTTTAGAAATACAGTTAATTAAACATACATGTAGTTATTTAAGTTTATATCTATGTATCACTTAGAGAGGGAATTAATGGTTTGTGTTTAGGGGTCACCCATCTCTCACACTGTTATTTTTGGGGTCACAGTCTGAAATGTTTGGGATCCCCAGATCCAAACCATGCCAATGGCACTTCTTTTATATGTTTGGGGTCATTTTTCTCACTCATGCCAGTGAGTTCGTATTGCTTTCTTTTATTTCCCCATATGTGTCGGATATTACTAGTAAATGATAGGATTCTTCCACCTTTAATGATAAACTCTACAGCTTCGCTAAAATTGCTTAGGTTCCCTTGTTAATTCCACTGATAAATGCTCTCCTTGCCTGTTTTGTGATTTTCAGCTGTGAATGATAGATTCAAAGGCACTTTGTGAGAGCCTGTAAGTATTTTTTAATAAGCTAATGGAATCACAGTAAAGCACAGTAAAGTAGTTCTAACTAATACTTTTGCATCTGACTGCATATAACAAGTCACTTCCATATTTTTTGTCTTAATAATAGTCTGCTCTGAATATCAGATGCATATCTAATTTTACTGCTAATGAACCCAGTAAATGTGACCAATCACTGTTGCGCTAAAGCACCTTGTCACAAGCACATTCCCATATCATATAGCCAAGGGACAACCTGGGGGTCAGCTCTGCCTTCACTCTGACCGGGACAGATTCTTAGAAGCTTGGTGTGGTTTTATTTTTAGGGTGAGTCTCATTTATGTGTGAGATGTCGGGATCGGAAGTGACACATTGTTGGCAGTTCAGCCAGGGGGATGCCAGAGCCCAAGTACCAGTTCAAGCATGTGATCACTGGGATGGGATTCACTTGTTCATATGGATGCGGGCTGCAGTGGAAAATAAAGTAGCTCACGTACAGGGGAAATGCTGGGACAGGTGGACCAGAGCTTAACATGCATTCTCTTGGTTGTTCTGTGTAATCTAGAAAGGAAACACTGCTCTGCACATAGCCTCACTGGCTGGCCAGACGGAAGTCGTCAAAGAGCTGGTCACTAACGGAGCCAATGTCAACGCACAATCTCAGGTGGGACACACACGCTAATGTAAACCCAAAGATAAAATGGTGCTAAGAGAGCGCAGCTCTGTTGACCATAAGCCAATATAGTGTAATCACAGCCAATATAGTGTAATCACACTTCCACAAGGCACACGTTTGTTGGGCTGATAGTGTGTGTGGTCATCAGTGACATTGTAGGAATCACTGTTTGGAAAGGTTTTTACTGACAGTAGCTGGCTTATTACCAACTAGGCCTCTGCTGAAAACTGCTGTCCATGCAATTTAGGTTTACTCTGTCACATCAAGGTGAAAAAGAATGACTTCTTCTCAGTTAGTAATTCTTTCTTGCCTCTTCTTTTGAAACATGGGTCTCAAACTCGGATCTTTGAGAGCAACTGTGACAGAAATATATATCCCAACGTCAACACCACTGTATAAAATGACTGTGTCTCTATCAAGCCTCTGCAGATTTTTGATGGGATGTTGAGGAAGCTTTTCACTCATTTGATTAAGTTGTGTTGGAGGAGAGATCTATCTAAAAGTGTTGATAGATCCTGTGTTGAATGACAGAGAGATTCAAAAAGACTCCAAACAGCTGCGTTTTGAGCAATCACAGCATCTTAAAAGAAATTATCCTATTTTTCTGAAGTTTATTTTGTAGTGCAGGTAAATGTGTGTTGTGCTCTGTTGATCTAAGGTTTAAGATGATATTGAACCAGTGTCTTTGTTTTAACGTTTGTATGTGTACATCATGTGTCTTTTGCCTGGTTCTGCATGCAGAATGGCTTCACTCCTCTATACATGGCGGCCCAGGAGAATCACCTGGAGGTGGTGCGGTTCCTTCTGGAGAACAACGCCAGCCAGAGTATTGCCACCGAGGTAAAGTGCTTGTGTAGAAATGCTTTGTACTCGACTATGTATTTTTTATGTCACTGCTGTCGTACAGTATGTCTCCATGTATTTGCCTCAGTCACTTCTGGTTTTGCAGCTGTTGTACTAACCTCATTCATCTGCTCTCGTCCTTTTTTTCCTCCTTTTTTACTTCTCCCTCCCCCACTTGCCCCATACCTTCCTGTGTTTCCTTCTGTCTCTCTGTCCTCTCTGTTTCCTCTAAATGTGTTTTCCCTCATCCTCTCTGTCTCACATAATCACTCCATTTGTCTCCTCCTCTCCTCCTGTCCCTGCTCCTTCTACAACCCCCGCACCCCCCACCTTACTCCGCATATCTCCATGAGCGCCACGGCAGAGTCTCATTGATTGGTAGTGTATGTTGGTGGAGGCAGTGACCTTGAGTTGGTCACAGACGAGATCAGCTCCGCTCTCTGCCTCTCCTCCACAGCTGCTTCTGAGATTTAGCACTGCTCAGTCTGTTGAACTCGTACACTTGCACGACTACCAGTCACCACGCATATTCACACAAACACATGGTCAGACAGTGATAGATAGCTGCTTGTGCTAACACTAAATCCAGTCTACAGTCAACTGGTTTACAGCCATGGGCTACATCCTACAATATGGGATGCCTCTCTAACTTTATCTGCATGTAAATAGAACATAATAGATAACCTGCAAAGCAAAAAATGAGGAACCAGTGCAGACAATTTTCTCAAAGTGAAAATATTGAAATGTTGTTTTCAATGCCATATTAGTAAAGGTGTTCAAAGCTCACAGGTTGTTGTTGAGGTTTTTCCATTTTCTGTCAACCACTGGGATGTTAAATCTGAAACTAAGCCTGTGGAGAGTGAGGGCAAAATCGATCCATACATAACAGATTGTATTGTTCTGTGTTTTTGTCCGGGTGTTGTAGTTGTTGGGAAATTATGAGGATAACACTATTTGCTACAGCTGGGGGGATTCCACCCGCATCATTTCAACATCTTTTTTAACTAAGGAGACAGCAACCGACTGAACAACAGTCGCCTGTAACACAGCATGTCAGCTTCAGCAGGACTTAATGACATGCTGATGAGGTCATTAGGTCATTAATTCAGCGATTAATGACTTCATTGGTTTTTGAGCGAGGATACATCTGAAACATGCTGAACATGTTGATCTCCACTGGTGTAGGAAAGTTGATATCTATCAACAGCCTTGAAATGTATCTGCTTTTCTACACACTTACTGCATTATGACATCTTTCTATTATAAATAAGACACTTTTTCAATACAGACTTTGCAGAACCTTATTTCAACATCTAAAAATTATTAATTGAATTCCTGCCTCTGAGCTATAAATGTAGTCAAGATGTCATACATTTATATTCCTGTATATTTTATATTCGATATATTTTTACTATGTGCCTGAAGCAAGTGAGATAAGAGAAAATATACAAGCTACCTCTCTTCATAATCTGCTTTAAACCAGTTTAACCTCCAATAATCTGTCATTCTTCATCAGTCAAAGACTAAGTATTGCATATATCACTTTGGCATTAGTGAACTTCTCTTTTCCCTCATATGCAGGATGGCTTCACCCCTCTAGCGGTGGCCCTCCAGCAGGGCCATGACCAGGTGGTCTCCCTGCTACTGGAGAACGATACAAAGGGCAAGGTGCGTCTGCCTGCCCTGCACATCGCTGCACGCAAGGATGACACCAAGGCCGCGGCCCTGCTCCTTCAGAATGACCACAATGCCGACGTGGAGTCCAAGGTGAGCTTTGACGCTGGTCCTTCGGTCAGCTGGTTATTTTTATGTCTGATTTTTAATTTGAACCCATAGGGATTCTGGATTCCTGCGCTAGTTAAGCTTGTTGCTTTAACTTCTCACTTATTATTGGAAGTTGTTGCAAATATTTACTTTATTTATTTATTTATTATTTTATTTTTATTTTTGCAAAAAGGAGAAAGAAGCAAAACTGACTTTTGACTATGTTTAATTGCTGACTATGCAAGTTTCTAGAGGCATTAAAAGAATGCTTTATTCAAATTATCTTTGACACATCTGGGATGGAGTGGAGAACATGCTAGCAAACACTAAATGAAAGAGCCTGCTAATGAAATGTTGGCATTAATATGCAAGACTTAGTTTTACTGACATGCTTTGTGCATTATCAGTATAATGAAGAGATTGAACTTTTATAGTACGGTATATCCAACTTATAGTTTTAAAAAGATCTGCTTTGAGAGTAAAATGGAAATGCTCCATGAGTGCAACATATGATGAAACATTATAACTACATTAAGCTTCAAAATATTATTCACAGTCCTCAAATTCTATTTAAATTTACATTTTGAGTCCAGGTGAAGTATTTTGAACCAAGCTCCTTTTCTCCTTTTTGCACCTCCTCTTTTTAAACAAAAGGAGGCTTTTCTGCTTTTTTTACACTAACTGCCCATTCTCTCTTCTTTTGGCCGGCTCTGTAGATGATGGTGAATAGAACAACAGAGGTATACATATATATCTGTACATTATGTAGCGTCATCATTGCAGTTCATGAAAACAAACAATCACTTCAGTGTGTCCAATGCAGTAGTGTTTCTGCAGCCCTTTATATCCCCCTATTCCATTTAAGCTTGTGTCTTTCTCCTCTTCATGGCTTCATTATAGTTTACACCTAAAGTCATGCAGAAAAATCGAAGAAAGTAAGCATGTTTATACAAAAACAGAAAAATCTAGAAGTGGAGTTCTGGCTTTCAAGGTTTTTCTTGATTGAAATGGTTTAATGGTGTCTAAAAATGTCCAAGGTTTCCCTTTCTGGCTAATTAATCTATGAATGTTGACAGAAATGTTATCTTAATGTGTCCTGGAAAGTGTATGTCCATGAAACTGGTTAAACATGATAACCATTGATCGCATGAAATGTGGTTATCATTCACTGAATAGATGCAGTTTGTCTTTAACTTGCATGGCAATCCCACTAAGCTGTAAAACATCCAGCTGTCCAGCAACAGGCCTGAGTCTGTTGGTTTTAATCTTTAGCATGCAGTGCCTTGCAAAATGTCTCTAACCACTTCTCCTTATTTCAACTTCGTTATATTTCATTGCAATTTTATGTGATTAGCAAACACAGGAGGAAAAAATTTAACCTTTATGTAAATCCTTAAATCTGAGTTAATTCTCTTCAGAATACATACATTGCACAGGTATATGATGGATATACATTAAGTAAACATCCTTGCACATTTACATTAATATTGCAATGATCCTAAAGGACTTGAAGAGAGAGAGAACATATATATAAAGTAGGTAGAGCATTTTTAAAGAGAATTATTTGCACCCACTTTATATAGGGTATCAGAGCAAAGGTACTGTAGCAGATTAAAGATATACACCTTTCAGATTGTAATTTGCAAAAACAAACATGAAAACCAAATATGAGTACTGTATGTAATGAATATGCTGTATTATATGCTGATCTATCGAAATCCATATAAGATATATGAAATTCGTGCTTGCGATCTGACTGCAAGCTCAAATTATGTTGATAAATTTGCAAGGCACTGCTCTTCTAATCCTTAATCTGTGCACTTGAAGCATTTTGCATGGGACTAAAGCAACAAGGTAACATACTTCTGCAATAATCAGGGTCCCTTCCTAACCCAAAGGCCAGGTGGCCACCTCCCGTGTGTGCCTGTTGGTTCGCTGGCTTTGTTTCTGCCGTTGGCAGGCCTGACAGTCATCTGGTATGATTCACCTAAAAATGGCTCTGTTGACTTGAAGACTGTGCATTGTGGTAAACAAATTTGCATAATGATCAGATAGAAGAAATGTTTTTGAGGAATAGTTCAAACCATTATACACTTACAGACTTTAAAACCAAAAGACATTTTGAAGTACTTTTAAATTATATTGAAAAATAAAATTATTATAATTATACTGGTTTGACTTTTGTAGAAACCCAGGGTATACTCCAGGTACACTCAGGGTGTGCAAACATCCCAAAATAACCGGTCTTGCTAATGACATCCTATTATTTACATTCCAGAAACTAATAAGCTTTGATAACCCCTAATTATTTATTTGCTGGTTTCCTGTTCCTTCCTCCTCCCTTTGTCTTAACAAATTATGCATAGAAAAATCCAACAAACTGGATGTTAAGTTAACTTGCAGTGCACCTGTTTTAACCAATGCAGGATTCAGGGTGTTAAAAAGCTAATTTATCAACCATATTTATTATTTAAAGCACCTTTTATATGGCTGAATACTTTACAGAGGTTTAAAAACAGGGAAATGCATAAAATGACATGCACATACAAAATTATTGAACAAATTACAGAAGATTTAATGAAGGTAATGTAAATAATAAGATAATAAAGAATTATTTTTGAATTATGAATAAAACATCAAGGGCTACTCAGTGGAACAGTGGGTAGCACTGCTGCCTCGCAGTAAGAAGGTTGTTGGTTCAATTCCTGGCCCAGAGTCTTTCTGCATGGAGTTTGCATGCTCTCCCTGAGCATGTGTGGGTTTTCTCTGGGTATTCTGGCTTCCTCCCACAGTACAAAAACATGACTGTTAGGTTAATTGACTTTTCTAAATTCTCCTTAGGTTTGAGTGGGCGTGAATGGTGGTTTGTCCTGGTGTCTCTGTGATGCCATGCAATGGACTGGCTACGTGTCCAGGGTGTACTCCGCCTCTTGCCCATTGACTGCTGGAGATAGGCACCAGTACTGCTCGGGACAAGCGTGTCAGATAATGGATGAATGGATAAAACATTAATAGGAGACAAGAAACAACTAAAACTAATATTTATTTTCAAAAGGATCAAGATCTACAGTACATTCAGCGACTGCAGGGCAATTTAAATTGTCAGACTTAATTTGACAATTTACTGTCAATAAACATGTGGTTGGACCCATATGTAATGATTTCTCTTTGAGAAAATTCCAGTAATCATGAACGTGTGTCCTTCTTTGTTATTGATATAAGGGTTAGTTCATGACTTCCTCTAAATATTCTTCTGATTTGTTTCTAATCTATTGTGTCCTTTTGTCTGGCTTTGGTATTCTTGTATTTTTCTTATCCCCAGAGTGGCTTTACCCCCCTGCACATCGCTGCTCATTATGGCAACATTAACGTGGCCACATTGCTGTTGAACAGAGGGGCTGCTGTGGACTTCATGGCTAGGGTAAGTTTATTCCGCCCTCTGCTGTCCGATGGGGACATTACAAGCTGTCCTTTAGGAGATAAGCAAAAGTCTTCACACTTTTAATCAAAATTTTCAATTAAATTACATGCTTTTTTTTATTGTGAACCTATTTGTGCAGCAATCACAGGTTTTAGTTTAGACAATTAAAGGCAATATTCTACACACTGAGCCAGAAGCCTACATTTTCCTTTATATATCCATTAAATATGTGATGAGAGTCTACCAAATTCAGTTGTTTCATGGGATGTTGCCCTCACCATAACTAATGGAGGCCTTATTACGTTGTGTTGACTGCTGTTTTTTTAAGGGTGCTGGTGTTTGCTCAGGGTTTCACGCTGGTTACAGGTCTAGATTGTCTTGCATGAGGAGAAGCGATGGTTAGAGTTACGTGATGAAGAGGTCCTACTGATGTTTGTTTTTCAATGTACTATTTATTTTTCCCCAAGGTGGGTATATGGCTGTTTAAATGTTGAAATCCCTTTGATCTAAGGAGAAAATTGAATACATTTTTGAAATACAGTTTTATTTGTAAAGACATTTAACGTGCAATTTCGAGGAATATTAAACAACTAAGTTTACTGCTAATTAATTATAAAAATTGTCCTTTTTTCCAATTAGAATGACATCACTCCACTTCATGTGGCATCAAAAAGGGGCAACAGCAACATGGTGAAGTTACTACTAGACAGAGGGGCCAAAATAGATGTAAAGACCAAGGTGAGCCTGATTTTTCTTCTTCTTCTCTAAATATTGTGGAAGTCATAAGTTAAGAACAGAGGGTCCTTTTGTGACATGATTTGATGTAAAGACCCAAAAGAAAATACTGGAAGTTTTAGATTTCATTCTTCCATTTTCAAAACTGTTGGAAGTTTATCTCAACCTTTGAGTAACATTTTAGAAGCAAAGATATTTTGTTGAAAAGCGGAGATAAATATTGTTGGATTTCTGTGCCTTTAGGACGGTCTAACACCTCTTCACTGTGGAGCGAGGAGCGGCCATGAACAGGTGGTAGAAATCCTGTTGGACCGAGGAGCTCCTATCCTGTCCAAGACCAAGGTAGCTACTTAAATGATGAGTTTAGAAGATGAGGCTTTGATCAATTAATGAAGAGGTCACAAAGACACCACATTTATTTTAGGCTCTAAAGAATAAGGTCATAATAGGTCATTTATTTATTAATCATGCTGACTCGTTTGTTTCAATCAGTTCCTCTAATCACACAGAGCGATTTGAAATATGCTATCCAATCAAACAGCAGATCTGTTGCTGTAGTGTTGTCGCATTGTCTCCATAACGTCTGTGCGACTTCTCCAGAACAGCCTGTCCTCGCTGCGTAACCCTGCAGTTTGACCGCGCAGGACAACCAGTGTAACAACATAGACATTGTTGTAATGACCTCGTTATAACAATGCTTCTGTAACAGCAACTTCCTTCACAGTTTTACCAGTAGAGCGCACGGTCGCCTTCTAACTGCCTGTGTCTGTCTGTCCACCTGTCTGTCTGCATGTGTCTGTTTGTCTCTCTTTGTGTCTGGATCTCTCTGTCTCCTCCTCTCTCTCCTTCTCTGTTTTCTCTGTCCTCTCTCCAACGCCTTGTAGAACGGCCTGTCACCGCTGCACATGGCCACTCAGGGGGACCACCTGAACTGCGTCCAGCTCCTGCTGCATCACGATGTGCCGGTGGATGATGTCACCAACGACTACCTGACTGCACTGCATGTTGCTGCACACTGCGGGCACTACAAGGTGGCCAAGCTCATCGTGGACAAGAAGGCTAACCCAAATGCAAAGGCTCTGGTACGGATAACTAGGCGGCATGTGGAAGCAAAGACTTGGCTTTAATAGTGAAGGGGAAAGAATTGGCTTTAACAGTCTTTTTTTTTTTTACATAAAAAAGGCGTTTTCCTCATTTTATAGTTGGAACTTGGACACAAAAGAGTCTTCCAACTAAATAAATATCACAAGTAAACATAAACAGCTTTGGAAGAGCTCCCGAAGGCCCTTTGAGAAAGCCCTGACCTCAGTTTAAGTAAACATTTGTTTACTATGATCAAACACTGGATGAGGAGACGAACCAGTACAAGTTCTCACAGAATCTGCCAAAGCAGTGGTCAGATGTCCAGCCAGAATAAAGTCACAATCTTGTTAATGAAACTTTTAAATGAACATTTACCCAAATATTACATCTGCCTATGTGAACATTTGACCCTGTTTTAATGAGATAAAATCCTCAATAAAGTCAAACATTTGCACCCAAATTTTTCTTTTATGAAAGGAAACAGTGCATCAATTTAAATCAAGTATTTCAATTATTTGCTTTGCAGCATAATTCAGTATCACAGATTTTCCTTACTGTAATTTACTGTAAAATTTTTATTGTGCTGAGTTTTTCTTGCTAGATTTTGTAAAAAGATCTCTTGTCCAGCTGTTTGTGCAGCACTCATGATCCTCTTTAAAACAGCAACTTACTTGAGTCACACCAGGAAAAACTAGAATATAATAAGAATATACGACCAAAATAAGGTGGATCCACATACTTCAATTGAGAATTAAAAAAAATTTAACATTGACAAAGCAGTTTTATGTGTCTGGATTCATATTTATCCTCTTAAATGGTCATCAATAAACAATTAACAGTTTTGTTACAGTCAATACCTAACTAGATGTAACTGCTTTACAGTAGCCTTAATTTTCTCCGTGACTGTGTGCAGAATGGTTTCACTCCTCTTCATATCGCCTGCAAGAAGAACAGAGTGAAAGTGATGGAGCTCTTGCTGAAGCATGGTGCTTCTATCCAGGCTGTTACAGAGGTACAATAGAGTTGGAGCTCAATTTCTAACAAAATTCCAATCATCCCAGAGCTGCTCTTCAAGACTATTTCATACATTGGAATTGGCATTGAAAACATTATTATTTCCATCTGCAGTCTGGCCTAACGCCAATCCATGTGGCAGCCTTCATGGGCCATGAGAACATCGTTCATGCGCTGACACGCCACGGAGCATCACCAAACACAACCAACGTTGTGAGTAGATGATAGAAAAGAAATTAAATGTTTCTGCTGAAGTTTTGCCTAAAACGTTTTCTTTTGTGTCCTCCAGCGAGGGGAGACGGCTCTCCACATGGCAGCAAGGGCAGGCCAGGCAGATGTAGTTCGATACCTGCTGAAGAATGGTGCCAAGGTGGACACCAAGTCTAAGGTTAGAGCAAGGAGCATGATTGTGATCTACTCACCTTGGGAGAGAACATTCAGGAATAGCCATTAAGGTCACCTCATCACACTGTGCAGGACGACCAGACAGCGTTGCACATCTCCAGTCGGCTAGGAAAGGTTGACATCGTCCAGCAGCTGCTGCATTGTGGTGCATCTGCCAACTCTGCCACCACTTCAGGTTATACTCCCCTACACCTGGCCGCCCGTGAAGGACACCAAGATGTTGCGTCCATGCTGCTGGAGAACGGTGCCTCACTTTCATCCTCCACAAAGGTCAGGCCAATAGAGGAGCTCATGTTAAACACAGAAACTCAGAAAACAGATCAGATGCCCTATTGTTCCAGTACCCTTTATCCAAGGCCTGCTTAATACCCGTTTGCTGTTTCAAACTCACTTTCAGTTCTGATAGGTGCTGTTGTAAGATTTGTGACTGCTCTGTATCTTAATACTAGTTCTACACTCAAGCATCTTCAGTTGTGGTTCAGGATGCACATCTGAGTCGTTTCAACGATCAGGGTCAAAGAAGGGATGTGAAGAAGAACTAATGAAGCTGATTTGTGGAAGTGTGCAATGTGTAGCTGGCGGCCGTTTTCAAAGGTCACCTCTGTCAGCAGAGCAGATTAATGGAGGGTAAACCCCATGGTGGGCTCTCTCTCTCTAACACTCACTCATCCAGTATCTTCTGGGGGTTGCACAGATGCTGAGCGAGAAATAGATGCCCCTTGATGTAAAACAGGGAATAATTGGAGTGTAGCAATGATGAACTGACTTGTAATTTGTACTAAACTGAGCCTTTTCAAGGAGTAGCTTCTCCATCTTTCTGCTTGTCTTGTTCGCTGTGGAGGTCATGTGAATGCTGACTGTAGGCAATCAGAAAAGGAGGTCATGTGTTTCAGAGCAAATGGGAATCTGTGGGAGTCCCGCATTCCTCTGGAAAATATGACCAAATGTCTTTAAATATCTCCACATACACACACCCGGAGGAAGCCAGGAGTAACTCCATACAGCACTCCTCTGGAGCATGTTTGGCCCACTTTCTGAGGGAGACGTGATCTACTGTGTTTCTTTTGTGAAGTTAATGCTTGCTTACAGCAAAACAGACATAAGAAGTTATTTTAGTCAGTAGGTTCACAAAAGATACGAAAAGAGCGATGAGATTTTTGTGTGATCTTGATTATTGATAGTTAAGGAAAACAATTAAACTTCCACAGAGCAGCTTAAGTCCCTTTCTAATTAAACATTTTACTTAAATGTGACATTTATTTATTTTTTTCAGTATTTGACTCATATTTCTGAAGTTAACTTCTGTAGAAGACAAATAATAAAGAAATTAGTTAAATTAGTTATAATAAATAAATTAAATAAATGAGTACAGGTAGGGAGTGGATCTGCAAAATAGATAATGGCTGGAAAACCAGTGCAGAGCCAAGTGGTTACTTTTGTAACACTAACCATGTGCTGTTCCAGATCAAATTAACTTGAATCAATAAGTCAGTGAACTGGCTGCATGTAAAACCCCTCCTCCTGAATTAGCAGACAAGATTTAACAATTTACTTGAAGTCACAGTAATTTTCTTGGCAGACCGTCAGACTGAAGCATTAAACTGTCTTCAACCTGTAAGCAGTTCATTTTGAAATCCCTTTTATAGTCCTGTGCTACCAATTAAATGGCAAATAAGGACACTTATTACATTCAGTAAACATCCAAGCTCATTATCACATGAACATGTGGAGCTGAACTGGTCATCCTGAAAGATAAAGCTAAGCATGAATTAGGCAGCACTTTAGACTGACTGACATTCCATTGACTAACATCTGTCTAACCTGATCTACAGCCATTTTAAATCTATAAACTGAGCTGGACAGTTAAAAGTTATCTAGGGGGTTAGAAAAATACATTTGATTTTTATAAGCCTTGGATATATTGTGACTTTCCTCTTTAGTCGTTGTTACCTCATCTTAAGTAAATCAGTTTGCTTGCGTCTTCTTTTTCACACTGTGATTACTATGGACTTTGGTCAGATGAGTAAATTTGTGTGTAAATCTATGTTGCTAAAAATTAATTCATATAAAAAGGCTTTAAAAACCCTGAGAGCTCTCTTTATGTCTTTGCATTCTATTTATACTGTTCTTATCTCACTGTTTTTTGCCATGTTTCCAACAGAAAGGGTTCACTCCGCTGCATGTAGCAGCCAAGTATGGTAAGATGGAAGTGGCCAGTTTGCTCCTTCAGAAGAGAGCCCCGCCGGACGCTGCCGGAAAGGTGAGGACAAAGCTGCCGTCTATTTTCTTTTAGGAAGCAAATGTCTTCATTAAGATCTAAATATTTTCATAGGGGAACAAAAAGGGTAGATAAAGACATATATATCATTTTTTTTTCTCATCTTACAATCTGATTTTTGTTGGGCATTTTCCAAAAGAACAATAGAATAAAACAAAGTTAGGCAGAAAGGTGTGTTTTTTGCAGTGAGGATTGGACCAAAGTATGAGAAATCAAGGAACCCTTCTTATTGTTTAAAATCTGGTTATGATTTTACAAATGATTCTTCAAAGGCTGCTAGGATGCTAGGATTGCACAAAGCTTGTTGGCAGATTTACCTTCACTCCTCTTACGCACTCAGTCACCTACATTGGCACACTTTCTTAGAACAGACCCACTGGTATTCGGCAACCACCTGAAAACACTTATCCTAATGGCACTTAGGTATGATAATGAAGCTACCAAAATGCATAGTGTCACGGCAGATTCCTAAATCTAGTCTTTATTTCTTAATGAAAGAAACAAACAAAAAAAAAAAAAACGTGGGATATTTTTGAACTTTTTTTTCTTGCAGATATGCTTCAGTTTGACTCACCAGAACTTAAGCGTGTTTAGAAATTTACTATTGCTAGGGTAAAGGAGAAACAGGATTCGTGGTGCAGATGTTTTAGACCATTGACATGATCCAACAAATTGTTCCTGATGACGCATGTTTTAGTAGCAGCTGCAAATGAAGCTGGCCTGGTTCCTGTTTCTACTTTCTGATACTGAAATGTGTTTCTATGCACATCCGGTTTGGCTTTACACCATCTGTTGTAGCATTTTTCCTTTAACTCACATAAACACTCTGCGTCTTGACTGTTTTGCATACTGCAGTGTGGGTGCTGAAGTCATTGCTGAGCAGCTCTGCTGTGCTTCAGTGTCACACATGTGGGTTTTAAAACTAGCAGTCCTTCTCTACTTTTTCTATGCCGGGTTTAGGACAAGTGGGAAACATTTTCTAATATAAATGGTAGAGAAGACATTTTATGTTAACCTCTATAAATAAATGAAAAGCAATTAAACTTACCAGCTACTTACTCTAAATAAAGCTGATATAGATGTAAACACAATTTCTGACAAAACAACCCCCCTAAAGGGGTGAGTTTTTAAACTTTTATTCCCCAGAACATAACAAACCCTTAAACCTCAATTTCTTCAGGGCTGTTTTGGACATTTATGCCGATACTGTTGTGTAAAAGTATTTTTTTCCATGCTGAATGTTGACCTGACTCATGCATCCCATATCTAACACGCAGCTTGCAGGATAGTTGCATAGTCTGATAAGGAGAAGGGGAAAGAGATCCATCTCTGTAAATAGCTGGGATTTTACATCAATATAACAGTAAGCCATGATTCTTTTACAGCAGTTTTAATATTTGACTTATTCAAAATTATTACAGATTTGGTGTAAAGGTGTATCTGCATTCCTGCCTGCACTGTGTAAGATAAAGGACACACAATACTTTTTTTTATTAGCAAGAACAGACTAAAAATCTAACTTCCATTATGTTTGATTCTTTTACAGTGTTTATATTTAAAAACATATATAAAATGCTTAATGAATAACACATAATAAGCCTGGACTCACACACAAAAGGTATACATTCCTGTTGGGTGAGGCTTGCTTTTTATCTAATGCTGGGAACTTATCATCATGTCATGATCCTATCATGTCTTCAAAGGATCGCAGCATTATCAAGTTGTATTTGTTTCTGCCAGAGTTGTACATTTCCATAGCAGATAGAAGTAAATGAATGCTTCTGAAAACATCTGATCACTGAGGTGGAACTACACCTTAAAATATCTTATCTATTGCTTTAATTTTTTTATAGATTTAAAATCCTGTTAATGTTTTTTTTTTATTATTATTATTATCCTTTGGCATTAGAAATCTTTAAGAAAATCTGCAAATCATAGTTGATGATTTCATGCTGTCCCTGAGTTGCAATGTCACTTTCTCCTTCAGTATGTTCCTCTAATACCAGCTTAATGTTTCAGCTTCTTTAAAAAGTTTAGCAAATTTGCTCTAACCTGCTGCTCTTTTTCTCCTTCTTCACCTCCATTCATCCTCCTCCTCCATCCCTCCATATTCTGTTGATTTGGTGCTTTCATTTAACATCATGGTCTGCATCGTAAATGATGTCTAATCTTCTGGGTTGCATGCCTTGTTTGCGTGAATGTGTGTGTGGGTATGTGTGTGCTGGTGGGTGGGTGCTTTAGAGTGGCCTAACTCCGCTCCATGTAGCCGCCCACTACGATAATCAGAGAGTGGCGCTGTTGTTACTGGATCAGGGATCTTCACCACATGCTGCCGCCAAGGTATCAGCACAGAAATACATAAAAGCTCACATTTCTAACTTTGCCTACATGTTTTAGGTTCTTTGTTCTTCAAATACACACTAATTTTTCTGCAGTTTGCTGTTTTTCGATGTTATTATGATCCAAAGTAATTTCCTCCCATCTCATCATTTTAAATTCTCTTTGCAGTCTAATTTTGTCCCTATGCTTTTTATCCCTTTTCTCCAACACTCACCATAGTGTTAAAGATCTGAGCTTCACTGTTGATGCAGCTTTTAAACTAGACAAACACATCTCTACAAAATATTGAATTGTGTGTTTTCTAATTGTCTCTTATTGAAGGGTGATCCATACTTTCATTTTCTCATTTCAACTATTGTAGCACCTTATATCTCAGCTTAGATTAAAAATCTTTACATTACTAGCTAATTGACAGGTACGCAACAGCTCTTAAGGAAAATGAACACATATCTCTTGTTAAGGCTTCTCTCCGCTTATTTTAATCCGTTTTAGGATAGATTTTCATGTTCTACTGCTAATAAAGTCTTAGTTAAATCTGTTCTTTCATACTTATATGATTTTCCACTATCTCTACTTCACTCAGCTGCATGTATTCTATTAGCATCCTTTCTTACATACTTTACAACCCAAATTGAAATTTAAAGGTGACCATGCCTTTGCAGGGATTTCTCCAAACTTTTGGAATAGTTTAACTTCTTATATGTAAACTGGTTTGCTTTACTGACTTACTTTGGTTGATTCTATTGTTTCTAATATTCAATATTAACATATAGTGTTTATAATCTAAGCAATGTTAACTTTGCATGACAATATTCATTGATTTACAAAGGTCACTTTCAGTGGCTTCTGTAATCTGTCGAAGGGAATGGTTGTCACATGTGTTGTTTTTGTTTTTTGTTTTTAAACCACTGCCATGGAATCAATTTCCCCCGGGGGGGATAACAAAATGTCTTGAACTTGAACTAATTATGAGCACTGGTAGAACCACTAAAAACAAGAGAAGCAAAAAATCACTTTGAGTCCAACTGCCAAGAGAAATGTTGAAATTTTAATTCCTATTTTAGCTTATTTTTTTTCTCTAACCTCTGTCATCCCTAAATGTAACTCTTTTCTCTTTCTTATTCTCACAATAAAATGTTTTTTTTGGGGATGGATTGGTGCTGTTTGGATTAATTTAAGTGATTCTGGCAAGTTGTTACTCAGTGTGTAGGCCAGTTGTTGCCGAGGGACTATCATAGAAATGCGAGCTGTAAATTATCTCAGTCAGACCATAAAATTCTATGCATGTGGGCCTTTTCTGTGCCTCAGATGAAAAAAAGCATTCGGGAATCTTATGAAATGTTTGCGCTTTTATTAAATCAACTAAATCTGAGCTGCTTAAAGAAGAAGGACAATTTTAGAAGATAATGTGTCTTTTGTTGTATATTTTATGTTATGAAGCAAGACAGTAACAGTCAAATTAGATGTTATCAAAATTTTTCAATGGTCGTAGATTCCTTTATCAGTCTTTCTTTATTTCTCTACCTCTACTTCAAACTGTTATCAATGGATTAAGAATTGATAGAAACTAGAATTAAGAATCTTCACATTTTCCTAGTAAAGACACACTTATCAGGCATATGAAATCCCTTGCAGTGCCCTGTGTATTCTGGGACTTTTTCAGCAGAACCAGTATTAGTTGGTTATTTTAGCCTTTGCAGCTTGTTTGTTGGATTCGACCGCATGGTTCAGAGTTTGTAGACAATGTGCACTTTTGATCAGAGATGCTCGATCTGATATTACTATCTCTATCGGTATCGATATTAAATAAAATTCTAGATCAAGTATCAGCAAAAATGGCTCTGATCCATAGTGGCAGATGTATCTATTTCTGTAATACTGTAATTAAAATTAGCTTTAAAAAAAATACTTAGACAGCAGAACGTTTTGCCCATTTTTTGGCATCTGTCTTTGATTCAATAAATTGTCAGTTTTAACCAGATGTTTGTTTTCAAAATTGAAAAACTTTGTCCTATTAGCTTTCAGACATACTAATCTCAATTTGGCCTTTGGGATATAAATGTGTATATTCATGGATACCATACTTGCTTGTAGCGAAGCGTCGATGACAGCCTTGTAAAGAAAGAGGGATTATGTTTTCAGAGCTGGAATCATTTAAACTTAGATCTATTATTTGAGACCCGAACAGTTTATTTTCTAAAGTAAACAATGGTGAATAGAAACCATGACTTTTGGTCCTGACAGAAGTTCAGAATGGGGATGCACATTAGATGTGCTTTTTAAGATGCTCTTACATTATTACCCAGTGATGTTTTCACACCTTGGGCTGTTAATGTCTCCGTTCATCTTTGCTGTTTCTTCTTTTTAGTGTCCAGAATCTAACCAATCAGTGGATGAATATCTTTATGTAGAAAATAAAAATAACTTTGCTCTTACATCTATGTTAAGCAGGGTCTGTCATTAGAACTACCCATTTTGTTTTTCAAAGTAAGAGCACTTCCTGTTGTGTTCATTCTTTAATCATGAATATTTAGTTTTTGTATAAAATCTGTGTTTGCTCTTTTCGCTCTAGGACGGCATTAAATTATCTTAATTTTATCATCGTCCATTGCTAAAAACATAGATTTTTTTTCTCCCTCCAATGTTTATTTTATCAAATGTTTAGCTGTAAAGGCTGTCATTTTGAAACCAAACTTCCATCCATCTCTACCTTTAAAACAATGGGTTTTTTTTTTATTATAGGTTTACTTTGATCAGTAATGCATGGAAACAGTTTCTTGATTCTATCAGTCAGATCTAATGAAGAGTCCAGCACATTTTTTATAACTTGCATTTCCCTAATGTTTCCTAGAATGGCTACACACCTCTCCACATCGCTGCCAAAAAGAGCCAAATGGACATCGGGACCACACTGCTGGAGTACGGCGCGGACACCAACGCAATGACACGGCAGGGCATCACTCCAATTCATCTGGCAGCCCAGGAGGGCAGCGTGGACCTAGTGTCCCTTCTGCTGGCTAAGAATGCTAACGTCAATGTGTGCAATAAGGTGAAAACATCCCTGTTTTTAACATCCTTGTTTCAAACCCTTATTTAGCTCTTCAGCCCAATAATGTACCAATGTTTTTTCTTTAATCGAGGTCAAATCTTGTCAGAGGTCAAATCTAGAACAGATTTGTTTGTGTATTTCATGTGTTTATTTGCTCTGTTGTGTATGTTTACCTTCATCTAATACAGAGCGGACTCACGCCCCTGCACTTAGCAGCTCAGGAAGATAGAGTCAATGTTGCAGAAGTCCTTCTAAACCACGGTGCGGATGTTGACCCACAAACTAAGGTAAAGCTCTCAGAGCAAATTCTGCAAATGCACAAAAAATATATCATTTTGATTTTTTAGTTTTTGTTAATTTATTCCTTCTTCTTTAACTACTGTTCAATGATTTTTGAGATTTGACATTTTATATCAATAAAAAGGTCTTTATTGATGTTCCTGCACTGAAGCAAAGAAACACATTTTTATAATGAATCAGCTTGAATGTCTCCACTGAGACTGATCTGCTCCAGCTGAAGGTTATTTGCTGTGTGTTTGTGCGGACTTGACAGATGTTTATAACAGAAAGGTTCTTCTTTCTCTGATCTCTAAAACTGTGATGCTCATAGTCATAATTCAGCAGACATGAAGCGGTTTTCGGTGTCATTTAAAGAGACAGCTCTTGCCTGTTTGTTTATATGAACATGTTTCCACATTCTTTTAAAAATATCATTCACCAAAAAAAAAAAGAAGATGAAGATCTTTGGAAGGTGTCCCGTTCCATTTCAATTCTTCTATTAATCGCCATTAGCTTACCTCCTTCCTCTCTGTTTATTGTCTTTTCTTTTCATGTTCTCCATCTACAGATCGGTTACACCCCGCTACATGTGGCTTGTCACTACGGCAATGCAAAGATGGTGAATTTCCTTTTGGAGAACCATGCCAAAGTCAATGCCAAAACAAAGGTAAACAAACCTTTGCAGTGATGTAGTCGCTCTAAATATAATTTAAATCCAGTTCATGTCCACAATGTAACCATTGTGTAAGAAAAAAATGCAAACCTTTCAACTAAGTTTTAGAAAAGAAAAACAGAGTTTTTAATTCCTTTGTAATATTTTTTTAAAAGAACATGGACAATCTAACAGTTTATTTAAGATTACACTACTCTACATTTCTGCTTGTTGTTGACTTTTTAGCAAAAGGGAGCAACAAATAGGACAAAAAAAGCATGTTTGACAGAAATTGAGCTGATAAATCTATAAAAATTATTTCAAGTCTTTAAATGTAATTAATGTGTAAAATTAAGGTTAATTAACAATTACGGTATGTGGCTCTGTTTTTTTCTAGGCATTTTCATATTAAAATGCATATTACATTCATGAAGAAAGACACTAGTAGTTAACTAAACTAGCATTAATCAAAGTGTTTATTTTCAAATAAAACACTCAATATAAGTTACTCAGCATATTAAACAAGAAGAAAGTCATCAGCATCCAGTTTAGACTCATAAGAGAGTCCAGAGAAGCTGCAGGGGGAATTATATAATTGTATAAATAGAATCATGTAATCACAACTTTAATATCACAGAGCCTGGTTTTACAAATGATTTTAAAACTAAGTTCATTTGACCGAAATCATCAACTTTGTTCTGTTGTTTAAAGTAGGCAGTTAAGCACAGTCTCTTTAGAGATTCAATGGTCAAAGTTCAGTGATTTACAGACTACAGTGGAACGTATGAACATGGTCTTTGATTTCTTCTCCAATTCTTACTTATTGTGTGTGTTTCTCTGCCTAGAATGGCTACACTCCACTCCACCAAGCGGCTCAGCAGGGACACACCCACATCATCAACCTACTGCTTCAGCACGGAGCCTCAGCTAACGAGCTCTCTGTGGTAGGCACAATGAAAACACAGGCTAAAATATGGAATGTTTTCTCTGTTTTCTGAACCTTAAACACAGCCCTTTTTTGCCATTGTTTAGAATGGGAACACTGCCCTTTCCATTGCCCGTCGTCTGGGTTATATCTCTGTGGTGGACACTCTGAGGCCCATGACCGATGAAAATCTCTCAGCCATGGTCAGACACTGTCTTCTTCAAAAGGGTTTTGTATTATAATGTAAAAAAATGTATAACTGTTGTAACTATATAAAGGCTTTAGAGTGTAATGAAATAATCAGCTTGATTTAACTCACTTGTTTAGTTGCAGACTTGTCTAGATTAAATGTGATCATTTATCCAGGAGCACAGTTCGTGCATTGAATGAACAAATATGGCAACATAAGCCATAAAGTCAATCTGCAAGCTCTGTCACATGTGGAAAGTTTTCCAGATTAGGAAACAGATAAAAGGCTTAAATTGAAGCGTATCACCACTGTGATATTAAAGATTAGAAAAACCTTGATAATGTGTCCGTGTATGGATGTATCAGCAGATTCTAACTATCTGAATTGTCACAATGTGTCTTTTTTGTCCAGAGTCCATCAGAAAAACACAAAATCAACGTCCCAGAGACCATAAACGAGTTCCTGGACATGTCAGATGATGAAGGTATGTGATTGCTTGTAAATCAGCTATGACTGCTTTCTTTTGGTAGGGTGTTTGACCTTTGCATGTTTGAATATGTGTATCCAACTTACAGTTCAGGCTAATTCGCCACAAATTCTCAGAGAAGAGTCATGTTCTGATGTTAATAAAGGTATTACCGGTCGGTTTGAATCTGCCTCCTGCTTCTTGCCTTCTGTTTCTATAGAATCAGCAGACAAATGTAACCTTTAATCATTTTTGCTTATCTGCTATTCAGCTGTTTTGCCCATTTTATTGATCAAGAATTTATACTTAACTTAAGCGATGTGATTTGTTTGTTTTTCTGGGTGCAAAGCTCTATTAACCATGTGTGCTACTGCTGTGCAAAAATAAAAAAATTTATTTTTGGTCTTTTATTCTATAATTTATACCATCTGCATTTTATTGAAGAAAATACCTTTGCAAAATAAAAGTACTGTCAAGTTTTACTCTTTAGCTCTGCAGGTTTTAGAAATTTAAAACTGGTTCTCTTTGTCAAATCTGTGAATTTTTTTTTTTTTTTTTTTTTTACTTTTATACTATTTTGCATTGGCATCAAAGCTTGTGGTCCGATATATCATCAATTCTTCAAAATATCTGCTGAATCTCCTACATGATTTATAGCCCACATTAATTATTGCTTCTTATGACTTTCTGCTTATTGTGACCTCTTTCTTGCCAGTCTTTTAGTTAGGCTATGGATCTCCTCCTGACCTGTTTGCTGTGTTCTTTGGACAGGTTCACTAACATGTATCCAAATTGCACACAATGAGGCTGCATTTGACTAAGACAGTTATGAATGCAGTTGGTTGCATTGGACTTTGCTTAGGAAATTTGGTTTAAAAAAAGGGGTTAAACACAAATGCATCAGTCTTTTTTGATTCCTTTTTATAAAATTTTGAAAGACCAATACTTTTCTACCTTCTAACTTCACAGTTAAGTGTTATTTCATGTTGGTTTGTCACATAAAATCCTAATACAGTTCATTTATGTCTTTAGCTTTAATGAAACAGAATTTGGAACATTTTACAAAGTGAGCAATATGCAAGAAAATAAAAAGAAAAGGTGGGCAGTAGTGTTTTTTATCATTTACATGATAGGATATATAACAATTGCATTCTTGGCAGCATCAGAATATAGCTAGTCTAGTCCTTCAGAGCCAAGTATATAGAAATACCGTAGACACATGTTTTTAAGCTACTACCTTCAGTCCCCTGCAGTTTGTTTTGGAACTTCTCAGCTAACACGCTTGTAAAATTGATGAGCTTGTTCACAGGCTGTTACTTAGGGAACGGCCTAAAGGGGTTGGAGGGGGTGTTCTTTTTTTCAGGTGATACGGATATAGAATCAACAACCATATCAAGTGATGGTGGAATATTTTATTATTGAGCTGGAACATCACTATCACTGTGTTCCCGCCAGCATGGACAGATTGTAAATAAAGAGATCAACAGTCTCTTGCGTTATATAAACTGTGTATATGCCCTGTGGTAGTGATAGTGGCCCTGTAGAATAAGGGTGTTGTATTCAGGACTGGCATCCCTCCTCACCCGAACGGTTTTCTCTCTGTAAAGCAGCAGGGGAAAGTTAAGACTTATCACAACTCTCTTTAATCCAATATGGGGAAATCCTAAATCCTATTATAGAGCAGGTTGAACTGGGACTAGTATGTGTTGCTGCTGGCTGTATTTGTGGATTTTTCTCACTTAAACTATTCTTTCAGATTTCTAATTAAGCTGCATATTTCGTGAAAAAAAAATGTATTTCTTGTGACCTTCTGTTAATAGTTTTTTTTTTTTGTTTGTTTGTTTCTTTTTTTTTTTTTTTTGGAAGATTTAGTCTGGTGCAGTATGCAGGGTTAACAAAAAAGACATAGAGTTGTATCTCAATATGTTCAAAGAAAGGCTGAAAAAAGCCTGCTGGGTTTTTCATCATTACTGAGCTTCCCCAGTTTGACAAGCAGCCAAACTTTCTCCCTGGTTTCCAGCATACAGAGCTTTCCTGTTCTTTATTTCCTCTGTCACTCTCTTCTCCAGTGAGATTCCCAGGCATTTGCTGAAATAACCTGTCAGCTGACTGTGTCTGCTCTCCACGGAGCTCTAAACACTTCCAGTGACGCTGCTCTGCTTGTGTTTGTTGTGGACGGAGAGTTTATCTCTCTTTCTCTCTCTCCCTCTCTCTCTAAATCCAATAAGATGAGCTTTCTTTCTCTGAGCCGCCTGAAGGGGAATTAGCTCATGTTGATCAGATGGCTTTTTGACATATGACATTCGCAAAGGCGAAAAAACCTCAGAGAATTTACATTTACTCTTTTCATTTCTCTGCTGAAAGGTGACGGAAGGTATGGCGCGCGCCGGCGGATAAAAACGCGCAGGTTTAGTCGGAGCGCAGTTTGGAGTTGAATGAACAGAGAGCGGAGCTTTTTTCTTTTGAGCCGCGCAGGAATGACTGATCGATGCAGGCTTTCATAAGAGTTTTTTTCTTAGTGGATCCTTTTTCATTTTTATTTGTTTCTAAGTTCTGGTAGGACCAAGACAAGTTTTAGAAAAAATAAATAAACAACAGAGCCCAGATCAACATGGCTGCTTTTGAAAAAGGTAAGTTGGTATTAACCATAAGAGCACGTTGAGTAAACATATCAGCCTAAAAAAATAATAAGAATAATAGTGAAAGGAGCCAATATAAAACGCCACCTTGGTAGATATAACATTTTCATATACATTTGTCTATTTGTTGATTTCTTTATCCTTAAAGGAAACTGTGATGTGGATGAATTTATTAAGTTTTAGATGTGAGTTTGAATAGATAAGAGAGACTCTGCTTTAAAAAGAAGGGAATTGCTTGTTTGGTCAAGGCAGAAAAAGTGTATATTAAAGAACACACAGGAAGTTGTGTTTCACCACCTGAATATAGCAGGCTAACTCCCTAAAAGGTGAACAGCTTGTCATATTTAATCTTTTTGAAGTATTTTGGGAAACTGCAATGCATTATTTTTGTCTTGGTGTTTTTTCTATTAGAAACTGTGTGTTGTAATTTATTTATTGAATGAAAAAGTTTCATTCAAATCAGTTACTGCAATAATACTTTCAATTTTAGATATAATAATTACCGGTAGCTTACTGTTTCATTATCATCTATATTGTAAAAGCTAATTATTGAAAAATACAGTCTAAATTTCTCACCAGTTAACTATTAAGCCAATAGAGTTTCTAGTCAGCTGGCTTCACAGTGTGAGTTTACTGGCATGCAGGGCCAGTGCAAGCTGCCGTGGGGCCTTTAGAAAATTAGATTTTGGCCCCCTTTTCAATAATAACTGTAGCTGCAATCAGCATTCTGATCAGATCACTCACACACCTACTATAAACTCATGAAGCACTGGCAGTGCTGTTTAGAGTCTCCTATCTGTAACAAGCACCTACTTTTACTAAAAGTAATTAATTAAACTAATTTGTCCTTTTTTACAGTAGTACAGCAAGGTGCAGAAGGAGCCTTTTAGTGCAAGTATAGCAATAGGTATGTTAGCCTTGATAAACAAGGTGATACATTTATTTATACAAAAACAGAATAATTTAAACAATAAGAAATAGAATATCAAGCATGTTCCTAAATAATAAAAATAAAAGTAATCTTAAAGCCGGTAGACAATGAAATGAAATTTAAAACTGAAACATTTGCTCTACATAATACAAATATATTTAACTATTTGCAAATTATATCTATGAAAACATAATCTACCTAAATTAAACTACCTACAGTAGTCCAGTCACTTAATGGTAATTGTGCTTCCCAGCTTTTCAATTCAGATCTTATTGATATTACTGTGAGAGATTTTACAGTCAACTCTGTTGTTTATACTAATAACCTCTGATAATTTTTATAGAAGCATGGAATATCAAAAGTAGTTCTCTATTAATTTGAGTTTGAAAATATTCAAAGTAATCCAACAGATACAACAGTCAAAAGGAGAGTGCAGGCCGCCAAAAGAGCTACCCATAGATTGAGGTAGAGCTCAGATCGTATATTGAGAGAAGTGAGTAAACGAGGTTATCTATCTTTTTGGAAGTTGTTCCATCTTTGAAACCAACACACTTCCTTAACTATCAGAGTATTCTTCAAAGATTAAGTTTGTCTGTAAGAACTACACTGGTCCTTCCTCATCTGTGTGTCAATTTGGTCCAAAGACCAATATGAGAAAGATTTCTGCATGATTATAGATGTATAGAGTTAGAAAATGCACTCTTTATTATGAAACTATAGCTACCTTTGGTTACTATACTCATATGGTAAGGACTATAAATAAAATAAAAAATCAATAAAATTAGTTTTTCTTTGGGGCTCCCTAGTTGCCCTGGGGTCCTCAGCTGTTGTTTTGTTCCATCAAGAGCATCTACTCCATTTAAGGGCTCCCTGAAGTAAACTTCTGGCTCAAACATCTAAGGTTGAACTTTGCTACATTAACAGATTGCTTTGCTTCTTCTAATGCCCAGATGGACCTTAAAAAATGCCAGTGCCACTTTTGGATGTGCAATCCTCTTTAAATAATAAGAATGAAATCAAATAATCTTTAAAATAACTAATTTATAAAGTCAAAATAAAAAATCCTTAAACAAAACACACAAAAATATTAAAGTGAAGCATTCGAATACAATAGAAATGTGAGAGAAGTCACGCATCTGTTTCACTAAAGGCAAATTATCAGCTTGAATCTTGAGTCTCTTGATATTTAGGCTACTTGTCCAGTTTGCAATAAAACAAAATAATACCACTGAAAGAGAACCATGAAAACATACAGGGTAAGAAAATATAGGCTGATAAAGTTATTTTCGACTCATTTCCCCCCTGAAAAAAAGGCCAGTTATCTTTTTGTTTTTTTATTTTATTTTATAGCTTTCCTCCTTTTTTTTTTTTCTTTTTGTTTTTTTAATTCGGGCTCGTGTAAGTTTTTATTTTGAAATCCGGCACCGGAAGCGCTCCCGTTCGGCTCTCCCTTGACTCGGGTTTGTGTGTCTGCTCGGAGTGCGGCAGTGCTGACGGCAGGAGTGGGAGGGGCTGCGGTGAAGGAGCACAGTGTTGCAGGCAGGACAGAGGCGGACATGAGGGAGAAGGGGAAACACTACAGCCGCTCCGGCGGCTTCATTGATCGGCGTGTCATCGTCCACCGCTCCGCTGATCGAGGTGCGTTGCGCTCTTCAACTTCCCGCTGCGTGTTTGTTTTTGCGTCTTTTCTGTCTCCTGTGTTTTGAGTGCAGTGATGGGTACTGCGTTTGATTTTTATAGGACAGCAGCATATTTACCGCAAAGTTGCTTTACTGCTGCCTCTGATGATTTTTTTTGTTAAATCATGTTTAACCTCTTAAAGAGCTGCAACAAATAAGGATTCGGGTCTATTGAAGTGGTTAAAATAAAAGTAGCAGTAGGCTGTACATCTGCAGTGATGCTTTGCTTTAACGTCAGGGTTGCTTATAATTGCCCCAGGGCCTTAATAAATAATCGTATGAAATGAAGAGACTCATTATAGCAACTAATCTGGTTTGTTTTCCTTTTCTGAGGTGCTGCATCATTTCCTTTTTTTTCTGCTGAGTTTAATGCAGAATGGTTTGACTTGATCTCTCCTCCAGGTGAGGATGCCATGACCGGTGACACAGACAAATACCTGCGACCTCAGGACCTGAAGGAGCTTGGGGATGATTCTCTCCCCCAGGAGGGCTATATGGGCCTCAGCATAGGGGCCCGCTCCGCCAGGTAGGCACCTGCCATTTAAATCTATTTCATATACATCCAGCTGGATTATTGGGAGATTATTTATGCTCTGGTCACCTTCATTTTAGATTTTTGACTACTGCATAGTCCTTTAATGTACAAAACTGAGGTATGCTATAAAATATTTAGTTTTTTTATATAGATATTTGAATGCATGCAAAATATTAGAAATCTCCTCAAAGAGTCTGGAAAGTTGCCATCCAGTGATTCAACCTGAACCGATGATTCGGCATTTTGTGTGACCTCATTCAAACCTAGAGCAGAACCACAAAACAGCTCAAAGTGTTACACTGTATAGGTGGGAGCTGTATCTCTGAGCGAAGCGCCCGCATGAGTACACTCTCAAAGAGAAGACAAAAGGTTGTTGTGGAAAACTGGCAGACTGCAGGGAAAACCTATCAGAGGCTATTGTTTCTATAGTGACAGATGGCAGGTGGACTGTGATGGCTGGATTGATTAAAAAAAACAAGACAAAAAAGCTGAACTGTGACAGGAAGCTGCTAACATCAGCAGGGCCCTGCAAACCAGGGAAAACCCAGAATTAGATGGAAACATTCCATGTAAACATGTTTGTTTTAGAGGACAGTGATGGAAAAAGTTTTAGCAGAATCACTGAATGTCTCTGCCTTTTACATTTTAACAGGATTGTGAGAAGTGAGGGGATTTACCTTTATTATAATCATATACATTTTACTATGCTTGTCATTGTTGATATTAAGGATATCGCTTATCAGATATTTGTGGTCAATTTCCTCTCTTATTGTTGCAAAGATGTACCATGATATTCCACTTTGATTCCAACTTTTCTCTCAGAAATGTTTTGCTAATTGATTAATCTGTCGATTCTTTTTCATTTAATATATCAGTAATCAGATGGTTAGAGGTTTCTTAAAGGAGATTTTACACAGAATTCAAACCAAGTGAGTCTAAAACTGTTCAGTTTTAGGACTGTTTCAACCCTTTTGAAAATATTTCCGTCTTGTCTTCCTTCCAGGATAGGCTAATAACTATTTAGACACAAAGGTGATGTAACAGCATGTGTAAACATGCTAGTTAAAAGTTTGTTTTGCAATTATATAAGAAAGAAATATTAATTGCAAAGTTGAGTTTTAAACATTTTTAGTTTAGGAAATTGTAAGTTAGTTTTCTCCCAAAAAGACTGGGAATTGGTAGAACTGATTATACTGAACAATGAGCATCTGATGATAAACGCAATGTTACATTTAACTCTGAAGCAATGGCATAATGACACAACAATAAGGAACATTATCTGGGTGGGCCCCATATGAAGTACAACACCAACTGCCCCTGTAGCTATGTAGTTAATAAGGAATTTATATAAAGCTGTGCTTGAAGTATTCAATTAGACAGAAATACTAAAACATTTGAATAAACAATTTTTACTTTTTAATCTACAAACATTTAAAATCTGAGGCAGCCATGTTGGATTTTGGACTTTTCTGCTTGGAAATCCTCTATGGCCTCTATGTTTTTTTTTTTCACTCTAACAAATATCCAAAACCCTTGTTGTACTGCTGTTTTAGAAAGTGTTATTTACTGAGCTTATTGTTTATTATGGAGGTACGTTTTCTAAAAAGTTTGAAAGCTACCCCCTTAGATGATGTACAACCTTTATAGTTATAATGGAGGATGTTCTTTTTTCGGTATCATCAAAATAAGTGGTCCTCTTAAATGTCAATCATTCTGGTGATATGTTATGTAAGGACTCCAGAGTGCTCGTTCCCATTTTCACTTACCGGTGTTGAGTCTGACATAGTGGAAAAATTGCAAATCTTCTTTTGGAAAGTAAGCTTGTATGATCGATGCAAACAGTGACTTTTAAACACAGCTTGCACAAGGAGAAATGGACTCGTGCATGCCCTCCCACACATTTAATAGGAGTTTCCTCTCGGGAGTGGGTACAGGGTTGTGCATGTTCATTTATTTATCCTTTTAAGTGGAGAGGAGGGGTCTTTTCAAAAATTTGCAAAGATCCTCCACTATACCTTTCATTGTAAGAATTCCAAAAAGCAGTCAACATTTCCAAGCATTTTCCTTTACACATGGAAGTTGAAAGCTCAGAAGGATTAAAGAGAAGAAACTATGTAGTAACATATTTAGGTTGCACAATAATGCCTGAAATTGGTTCAGGGTTGTATTGTCCCTGTGTCAATTCATCAGAACTGTCCTCATGACAAACTGTCAGTCAGTAATAGATGACTCCTTTTTGTAAGTCAAACATTCAGGTGTTAATAAACTAAAAGAGAAGAAAAAATAACAATAATTTCTCAGTTGGAGCAGCCTGAGCAAAAAGTTAGATAGCCTCTTTGGAAAAATCTGTCCTTTTAGATAGCTTCTTAAATTGTTTTCCTCAAAAAGTATTTTTAAACCTGTCAGTGATACTAAAAATAGTTCACTTTGAGCTTCTTTACTCAGAAACAGCTTCCACTTTAAAGAATATTGTTGGTATTATCTGTTAGTGCCTAATGTGAAACAGTTTTTTTCCTTTATGAATGGTCAATCAGCAGTCAGGGAAGGTCAAGCTCAAAATAGCCCCACATTTTTGACCAAACCATCTCTAGGTGCAACTCTGATAGTTTTTATAACTTTGCCATCTCTTTGCAATGCAATTTGTGATCATGTGAAATTCTACAAAATGCATTCCTGTTGGACTAATGCTGTGCATAAATGTCTTTTTACAATAATGTGAATGTTGTGAAATATTTTAATTAATGTATTGATCTGTGTTTACATATGATGCTGAATTAGGTCTTTGCTTTCCCTTACCTTTCTGTTTATACATCAACATTGCATGGTTTTTGCTGGGCTGGATACACACATACACACACTCATCTAAACCCAGAAAAAAAAAGTGCTTAATGTAGGGAAACCATGCAAAAGCACAGCATCAGTGCCCTATGTTTGAAGAAAAGTCATATCATACCTAAATGTTTTCAAAATGCTTTGCTTTTCACTCTTCTATTTTGTTCTTCTCCTTGTTTTCCTGTCCCTCATTCCAGCCCTAGAATCAGGTAAGAAAAGGGTAGCAGTAGTGGAAGAAGTTAAAGCATAAGCTATGAATCGTTTCTCTCCCTCGTCCCTTCAGTCTTTTATGTATTAAACTCTCACCAAACACCACAAGTCATTCTGTTCCACGTTAGTGTCATCTTGTTGCCGTTTCCCTGTTTGTGGGAGTTGATATCTTACATTATTGTTGTTTGTTTGTTTCTCCATTTTAGCTGGTTGGCACCCATATCTTCTCAACAAATTCATTATATTTGTGTTTTGAATTAGAAAGTGAATTTGTTTATTTGGATTACTGGTGTGAAAAAAAACAAAAACAAAGGAAGCACTTAGTGGTGTTTTCTGTTTTTGTTTACTTTATCTTAGAGATGCACCTATCCGAGAATATGGTGGCTGGGTTTACCGTTTTGTATCATATTGACCTGTCGATACCTACTAGCTTATTTATTTTTTACTTCAGGTGATATAAGTTAAAAATAAATATCTGACCATCAAAGACAGAGATTTCTGCACATATATTCAACTTAGAAGAATTGCTATTTATCTCTTTATTTGTTTTTTTAATGAAATAAATTCTAGCTAAACTTTTTTTTTAAATTGATTGTAGATGAATAGATATTTCTTTTTCCACGTCTGTTCAAAATAAATGTAAAGTCATGTTAAAACTTATTTTCTGTTGACTGTTTTAGCTTGTTAAATCACTGATTAATTAATGTAATGCAACATTTCTGTGATTTGATCATTAATTCTAAAAGAAGATGTGAGATCATATGTTGTATGACAACAGTTTGCTTTACACAATTCTAGTAAGGTATTATTTCATTGATATTTTAAATAAGACAATATGATTTAGTGATTTTTTTTCTAAACCATTTTTGGCATCTAACATCGGCGGTAAGCAAAGGATGTGTGATTAGCATTCTAGCTGTCAGCATTATTCTTCATGAGCTTTTACTCCACTAGATCATTTCCTTAACAGATATTTCTCCAAAAATGAAATATTTCCAAATCAAACTTCACAGATAGAACTAAATTCTTCAAACGGCTAAAAGAAATGAACTTTGATTTGTTTTGTTGAAGTTAAGTAGAGGTCTTAGTGAACAGCCCAAAAAAAAGATCTCTGTTTCTGTAAGCAGAACACCTTTGAATCTTTCATTTTTAAATATCTCACTTTACAAAAAATGTCGACAATATTTACTATTAGAAATAGAAAAAAAATGTTTTTCCAGAATGTTAGCATACTCTACCAGACTCTAAAATACGACACTACTAAGGCAATAACTTGGGCAATGTATAATGTATTTTACAATTTTTATTTGATGCCCTGTGCAATAACCTATTTCTTTATATTTGACATCCAGTGTAATAACTATATATATAAACTTAAATATCCATCTATATAAATACTCATGTAAACACCCTGTGCAATAACCCTGTATAATAATACTACTATAAAAAAAATGCTTTCATATGTGGACGCACTGTATATACGGTACTGTATATATCCCATGCACCTTTTTCTTCCCACATTCTTCTTTTCCTTTGACTATTTGAGCGGATGTAACGAGTACATTTCTCCACTGTGAGATCAATAAAGTCAATCAATCAGTTTGTGTTTTGGCTAAAAAAAAAAAAATACCAATCAGCACTTATCAAGCTGAAAATCCCCCAAATCTGGTCACCATTGTTGTTCTCGGTGCATCTCTAGTTTATGTGTTTTCTTTTGTTTTTTTTGTTGTCTTTTTTGTTGTCGAGATTAACTTCTTTAACCTTTCAATGGAGTGTCACCAAGTGTAACTTCCAGGGATTAAAACGTTCGGATTCTTCTACCCTGTCCGACTTGCGATCTTGTCAACATTTCAGTAATCAAGGTCCCTAAAGGATTATTCCAGATACAGCGATGGTTTGCAGAGATGGAAAGTGTGCATGGTCGCTGACAGACGAGGAGAGACACACCTGCAAATTTGACATATACATGGGTTCACAACGACTCAACAGTCAGCAGTTGTCTTTGAGTGTCCACACCCACTCCCACTGCAACTGAAAACCCCTGATTTATTCAGATGAGGAGAATTGGAGAAACAGCATTTACAGAGTGGGTAATCACCAGTAAAATAAATTGATTTGTGTGCCAAGAGGAAGTAGGGCAGCAGAAAAGAATGTGGAAAGAAAGAAGCTAGATTGAGAAAAAGCAGAAATGCCTTCTGTTAAACCGCCCGGTGCAATGTTTCCCAGCGCGCAGAATAAAGAAATACTGTTATGAAGAAATAGATAGTTGACAGACCATAAGATGAGAAAGAAACAAAGAGAAGTGAGGGGAGAGGGATGTGCAGAAGGAGGAAGCTGTGAAGAACAAACAAGGTCCTGGTTTGAACAGAAGAGGGGGGCGAGGTGGACGCCATGCCAGCGAGTCCATTCAGTCTGTACAGAGTTGCTTGGTTACTTTGACAGTGTAGGCCGTCTCTGCTGAATAAAGGGCTTCTCTCTCTGCTGAATAGTGTGCCCACTTAAACCCGCTGAGCTCTGCAATATCTCTCCACCCTCCCTCGTGTCCCGGCCGCTGACTCCCATGCACATAACGCATCTATACACACATACTACTTTCACAGACAACACAGCACTGTGACGTCAACCCTTCCTGTGGGTGTGAAAATTGTGTTTAATTTATTAATGCATAATCACTTATAAAGCATAAAATAAAGAAATCCAATTTTAATTTTGCCTTGCAAAAGTATTCACACCCTGTTATGGTCTGACATAATCATGCCACAAATCTTAATATGTCTGATGTGGATTTTTATCTAAAAGACCAATTATGAAGTTATTTATGTTTTTTATTTGTATACAAATAAAAATCTCTGTGGTCTTGACTACATTTGTATTCACACATTGTATTCTGCTACCTCTGAATGCAATTCATATAAGTAAAAATTCAACTGTTACAAAGATTGTAGATGTAAATTAGTAAGCAAGCAGTGTTATGGAGAGCTAGGACCACAGAAGACAGGTCAGAGATAAAGATGTGAAGTTTACGTTGTAAATCAATATCCAAAGCATAGAAATATCCAATCCATCATTCAACCATGGACACAGATAAGGAAACTGCAAACCTGCCAAGTCAGAATCACAAACTTAAACAGGGAGGCCAGGTAAGGAAAACATTAATCAGAGAGCTACCTACAATATTTAGCCATGTCCTCCACAAATCTAGCTTATGTAGACATGTGGCAAGAAGAAACTCATTTTTAAAAAGCCATAAAAAGTTTAATTTCAAGTTTTAAAATACATCAAATGAGAAATGACCAGATCTAAGTTGCAAAAAAAAAAAAAACACTAAACATTTCTCCCTCCTCTAAATTATGCACTACCTTGTGTAAAGTATTGCCCATAAGCCCTAGTAAAATGAATATTGATGTTGAAGTGAAAGGACTTAAAAACATATTGTGCAGCCAAACACATGTTCAACTTTGTGTGGCAAAGAGCTAGAGATAAATAAAAAGATGAAAGGAATCCACAGTACTGCATTGATGCTGCAGAAATAGCCACACACTACTGCACGCAGCAATAAAACAGACTGCAGCAAGATTGAGCAAAAAACATACCTCGCTTTTCCGAGACATGCCGAGAAATGCTGTTATTATAACGAAGCTAATGCTGTCGCTGACCTCAAAGCAGGTTTGACAGCTGAGATTAAGTTTTTTTTGCCCCTTGCACAAGTGTAAAAAGTCCCCTGCCAACTAATCTCTTGTATTTCATCATGTTTAGCTTAGATAAATCTGTCCTTATGATGCACACCCACCACACCTTCCTAGAGAAATATTTTCAGCTCTTTCACTTTCCTCTCTGCTCTGCCCACTTTCCCTATTTATCTCTTACAGCAAATAAACTGACCTCACTCTCATTTCCATCTCTGAAAAACCTGCTACAGTATCTCTTCCTCCTTTAACTGCGGGCTCTTCTGCCTCTCTACATTTTCCCCTTGGCAACTGGACTCTTCTTTTGTCCAGTAACTAAATTCTGGTTCCCTGGAGGTTGCATATTGTAATGGAGTTTTTGCTTTTTGTTTTGTGCCCTGTCCCTCTGCCCGTCACTTGTTGTTGCCCGTGGCGCTGGATTGCATGGTAACATGTAGCCTCCACTCATTCAGTTCGGATAGGTCCAACACTCTCAACCGGAGCTCCTTTGCCAGAGACAGCATGATGATTGAGGAGATTCTGGCCCCCCCAAAAGATCCGGTAAGGCAAATGTTTTCTTTTCTTTGATATCATCCTCTATTATTTGACTTTCTTTGGCATTCATACATCTATCGTTTGATAGTTGCTTGTCAACATCTGACTATTTTCACAACTTTTGTGCTTTCTTTGTTTTCCTCTATGTTTAACACAAAGCACAGGTTGTAAAAGTTAAAGTAGCTAGCCTCTGTTGGTTACACTGGCAGATGCACTGTTAAGGCTAAGCATGTAATGGTGGTGAGAGTTTGCACATATAATCCTTTCAAAAAAAGAGTTTCTTAAACCTAAAGATTTCAGTCAAGCTATTTTCTTCCATCTAATCTGGATTCACTCATTTTATGATATTATATTTGATTTTTTTGTTTTAACCACTTTTCATAGTACTATTCTCTGATGTCATACAATAAGTGACGGTCAGATCTAATGTGATCTCATTTTTCAATAAATATAAATGTGTGTTGTTTTTTTTCATAAATTCTTAATCAAAACTAACATCAATAAGTTTGTTTACCTGGGCTACACATGCTCCCAAGTAAAAGCTTTAAAAAATGTTTTTAATCTCCCCTAAGCTTCAGACTGTCTGTAAAGACATTTTCTACCTGGTCGACCCACATAACAAGGTATTCGGCATGGAAGATTTCAGGCATATTCTTTAGCTTTTTGATTTTGTTTTATGTGGGTGAGATTCATGGTTGCTTTTTTTTTAATCTATATACTTTTACTTTAATTTATTTGTTGTGAGTTCATGTCATTGCTGTTGTAACTGTTTCTGCCTTCTTCCTCTCCCTTCACATCTTTTCATTGATTCACATGGTCCTTTTTATGATGTTTGAACAAAGCTCCCTTAATGTCTTATTTTTTCTCTCCATTAAATTTTAGTCCTTAGTTTTGGCTGTGCTTGCTGCAGTTTACCGTAGCATATTTCTTTCCATGCAAAGAAGTCATGGGACCATGTTGACATGGGAGCTTTAAATGTACCATTCTGGCTCGTGCTGACCGTTTTGGCTCTTCGGCATACTTATGCATTTTCTGGTGTTTGTCCTAGACTTTCTTAACTATGAAAAGGAGAGGGCTGCCGTCAGCCATTTAAAACCAGCCAGGGGTCAAGTCATTGTGAACGTTTCACACCCATTTTGACTATAGATGGGAAGGATTTACTGATACTTTATAAAACGAAATACAGGTGGGCTCTATATTTAGTCTGGTGACTAGATTACAGTAAAGGGGAAGGGTGTTCAAATTGACCTCATTTGTCCCTCAGAATAATCTTTTGTTGTTGGTGTATCACAAATCCCTACAGCCTAACCTTGATCCTTACCCTAAATTTAACTAGTACAGGTTAATACCTAAGCCTAACCCCTACATCAACTGACACCTGAGCCCTAAATGTTATCCCTGACGCACAAACAGCAATTCCCCTGTGGGGTTTAGGCATCAGGCCCCACAAGGAGCAGTCGGTCCTCACAATGTGCTGCCTTCCCAGAAAATGGGCCCCACAATGTATTAAAAACAAGAACACACATTCACACACAATATACCAACTATCGACCAATATCCTGCCTCTTCACAACGTGGAAGCACCTGTCAGGCACCATGGTGGCTAAGATAAGCAGGTATAAGGATCAACAGTACAGAACAGTAAAAATATAGAGGAGCCAAACACCGCTGCAGGTTTACAGAACAGTATTCTGTGTCTGCAAAAGCAGAAAAACAAACCTGTGCACTGCCTGGGTTGATTGCAAGAAAGCCAATGAATGGTTCAATGCCACACATGAATCCTGGATTGCCTGAAGCTCTACAAGGTCAACAATCTAAGAGCCTTCATTGCAAACTACATGAGGCGGTAGAAAAACACTCTTGAAGCCGATATTAAGACAATTGATCAAATTTTATTAAATGTGGAATAAAGCAAGGATTCAGTCTGAGTTTTATGACATGGCATGTGCCATTAGAATATGGGTACTTGATCATAAAGGTACGAAGCGTAGGACTAGGAGTAGACTGTGGCTTTGACTATACAGTAGGTACTAACACCATTTCCCTACCACCAGTCCTGATACAAGGCAGGATTGATCCATGCTTTCATGTTGTTGGTACCAAATTCTGACTCTACCATTCAAATGTCACAGCAGAAATCAAGATTCATCAGACCAGACAATGTTTTCCCAATTTTTTTATTGTCCAACTTTGGTGAGCCTGTGCCAAGTGTAGCCTCAGTTTCCTGTCCTTATCTAACAGGAGTGACATCCGAGTTTGACATGTTTTGCAGAGATGCTCTTTTACATACCTCGTTTGTAAGTTGTTATTGTTGTAATTTGTTACTGATGCCTTTCTTTTAGCTCGAACCAGTCTGGCCACTCTTCCCTGAGCTCTGGCATCAACTAGGCATTTGCACTCACAAAACTGCTGCTCACTGGATACTTTCTCTTTTTCGGACCCTTTTCTGTAAACCCTAGAGATGGTTGTGGATGAAAATCCCAGTAGATCAGCAGTGTGTGAAATACTTAGCCCAGCCTGTCTGGCATCAACAACCATGCCCCATTCAAAGGCCCCTAAATCACCTTCCTTAACAATTCTAATGCTCCACTTGAAACACAGCAGATTGTCTCGACCATGTCTACATGCTTAACTGCATTGAGTTGCTGCCATGGGATTATCTGATTATAATTTTGCATTAACAAGCAGTTGGACAGGTATACCTAATGAAGTGGCAGGGTTTTTAGGACATTTTCTATATAAATGATTTCACAATGCAGTCCTATCGACACAAAAAGCATTTCTTAAAGTAATTATTTACTCTTTCTTTAAAAAATATTATATTTTCTTTATGAAATATAAGTACTTCCTCGAGTTTGGGTTTTCTAAAATATCTGAAAGTGCCTCTTTAGGTGATTTCTTGTTAAATTTAAATGTTAAAACTTGTTAACTGCTGCAAATGAGACATAGCATTATACTAGTAGTGAAAACACCTATGGCAAGGATACGCTGGCTAGGCACTCTGTATTTTTGGATATATCCATATATCCAAACTCTGAACTGAGCTGATTAGATACATAGGTAGAAATTGGTCTCCGTAGAAACATGCAACTGGTGGTAATGAAATAAGGTAGTAATTGTCTCAGGGCTCATATTAACTGAGAGTAATTTATACTACGCAGGAAACTAGGGGTTATGAAAATGGAAGCAAAGTGGATTTCTGTCCATCCTCTGACTGTTATCTCTTTTTTATGTTGGTCCTTTATTCCACTCTGTTCAACCGTGCTCCCACTGCCTGATAATTCTCATTTCCACCCTGTTTATTTGGTTTTCTTTTATCTCTGTTCTCTTTTTCCATCATTATCTCCCCTTTTTTTTCTCCTATTCTTCTCCAGCACCTCGCCGTGACCGGGGACTATAGTTCAGACTGTATGCGCCGCTACAGCTGGACTCCGGACACTGTGGACCACAGTCACAACACTGCTTCCAGCCCTATTCACTCTGGGTAAGAGCATTGCCTCATCCTGTCTCCAGACATATGTTTGCTTACACTTCTAAAGATGCATGAAAATAACCACAAAAAAAAACTCATATTCAGCAAATCCACCAAAACCTATACAGACAGCATTGTTGCTACTACAGACATTATTTTGTAATAGCTACTTTAAAAAAAAAAAAATTCATCCCCTAAAGCTCTTATGTAACACCCCACATCTAGATATGCTCCAGATGTAGATCCTTACCCGCTGACGTTCTATTTTAATCATTAGTCAAATAAAACTACATGCTCTACATGAGCTCATCCTCCATTAGCCTAATGTGTGTCATTTGGATACACTGATAAAGTTCTGCTTTCATGTCCTGCTCCCACTTTGAATATATGACAGGTGCTAAGGACTGTTTTAAACAATCAGCACTGTGTTTGCACAGATATTAGCTGCTCTTATTTATAGATTAAATACGGGGATGTTTCATGTCCAACTTTGGTTCTATTTTTGTCTGGTAAGTTAGTAGGTGTTGAAGTTATGCCATTCATTGTCATTTTTTTCACAGTGTGTGCTATTTAAGTGTTTCCAGTCTACCACTTTTTTGTTTTAAGCCGTCTTTCATCCTCAGTGCCCATTGCAGATCCAAACAGACATTTTGATTCTTTGATACTAAAATTGCATTCTGGCGGGGGGGGATTGGTTGCCTCCTGCATTGTCCCCATGTGTTTACTTTGCAGCTGCTCGTCCCCGTTCGCTCAGTATGACCCAAGGTGACGACTGAGTTTGCTGCTCACAGCCATGATGTCACAGTGATGTCACTCACTCCTCCATTTCTCATCTTCATTATTGTTGATTTTTTTTCCCCCCTCTCTGTCCAATCTGTGCCCGTCGCATCCATGTGGTTTGGTGTTTCATTTGCAATGCCGAGGTAGTAAATGTGTGTTGGGAGTCCTTATTTTCTGTGCAACGACTCTCTCCCAGTGCATGTCCGAAATATAAACTAAAAACATAACTTTCAGGGGTCCTGCTGCGGTACATACTCCTTCAATCTTTTCAAGTTTTGTCATCGTAGAACTTCAAACCACAAAGTATTTGATTTCATTATTTTGTGATAGATCAGCACAGATTATGATAAAACTTAATGAAAGAAGGAAAATTCATTTGAAGGATATGTTGACCACATTTTGCTGTTCATATTTTAGATAGCTAGACTAATTTTATTTGCAAACTAATTGCTTTTCAGTCAGCTTGGGTAAGGAGTGTCTGAGGTCGATTCTGAAATCCCTCCGTAGCATGACGCTGCCATCACCGTGTTCCCCCACAGATGACCTCTGCTTTGTGCTGAACTATCACATAAAACCTCAATAACATACACTGAGGTTTGTGGATGAAATGTGAATATGGGAAAAAGTTTAAGAGATGTGAATACTTTTTCTGAGACACTATAACAAAGTATTTTAGACTCGTATTTACACTTAAACAACACGTCATCCATTCTCATATTCTTATTCTAGGGTGCCATTAAAAGTTCATTATTATACACATAGGATGCATATCTTCTGAGCATTGATACCCTGATCTTTGTGAAAAATTTGTGAAAACTGTTAAATATCTGACCACTAAATGCTGCTGTTGAGGGACTGGCTCTTTGACATCCATCTCATCTTCAACCAAAGAGCTGGAAAAATTGAGCTTTCAGCACATAATTTCAGACGATGTCCGATGTAGGAAAGAAGAAGGTTGATGGTGAGAACTGTCAAGCTTCAGAGCTCAAAGCATCTTTTTACTTCTGTTATTCTTTCTCTCTGTCTATTTTGGTTCATTTCTACTTTTCCCTTTACTCGGGTGTCCGGTGATCACAGCATGGGAACCGTTCTCCTCTCCGTGTGTCTGTCCATCCATGTCTGTCCTTGTTTTCTAGCATTCTCCCTTTTTTGAATTGGCCTCCATTCGTCTTGCAGGTTCTTGGTCAGCTTCATGGTGGATGCTCGTGGTGGTTCAATGAGAGGAAGCCGTCACAATGGGATGCGCATCATCATTCCTCCCAGGAATTGCACGGCACCTACGCGCATCACCTGTCGCTTAGCCAAAAGGCACAAACTGGCCTATCCTCCGCCTATGGTGGAGGGAGAGGGGCTGGTCAGTCGATTAATTGAGGTCGGACCTGCTGGTGCTCAGTTTCTTGGGTAGGCAACATTCAATACCATGACTCATCTACATGTCTGGAATTGCTTGAACAGATATATAACAACTGTAATGTTCTGTTTCCTGTCTTAGACCTGTTATTGTGGAAATCCCTCATTTTGGTTCAATGAGAGGGAAAGAAAGGGAGCTGATTGTGTTAAGGAGTGATAACGGGGACACTTGGAAGGAACACCAGTTTGACACTAGGCCAGAAGACCTCACGGAACTGCTCGCTGGGATGGATGAAGGTAAAGAAAATATTTTCCAAAATCTGAGGGTAAACTGAATCAAAGTATGGTAAACTGATCTCAGTATGGCTAGAGTACCCAATACTGGAAAACACTCTGGCGTCAAGGTAGTGACAGCCCGCTGCTCAAATACTCCTCTGGTAATGGCCCAAGGAGCTGCAGGTGTGCAAGGAGGCTCAACGAGGAAAGGGCACCATCTGGTGGTGGAGAGAAGAAAAACACAAAAACAACCCACACAAACTGGAATCCTAACAATAAGCTAATTTTAAAGAGTTGAATGTACAAAACTCTTACAGAAATTCAATAGATTATCTCATCAAAAAACTCTGAGCAGACTGTGCAGATATAAGGAAAATCACTTTTTAAAAGATTTGAAAGTAACTGAACTCTGTTATGTTCTAACTCTCTAATATTCCTTTCTTTAGTCAAATTTAGCCTTTAACAATTACAATTGTGAGCCTTGATATAACGTGTTGTAATTTGGCGCTATATAAATAAACGGAATTGAATTGCACTGAATTAAAATTGTAACAATTGTTTATTGCATCCTAAACTAGTATGCAATAAGTTTTATTTTTGTCCAACAGAGATGGACAGTCCCGAGGAGTTGGAGAAGAAGCGGATCTGCCGCATCATCACAAGGGATTTTCCGCAGTATTTTGCTGTGGTGTCCAGGATCAAGCAAGAGTCCAATCACATGGGTCCTGACGGAGGCGTCCTCTCCTGCAGCACGGTGCAGATGGTCCAAGCCTCGTTTCCACAGGGAGCTCTAACCAAGAGGATCCGTGTGGGTCTGCAGGTATACAAAGACCCCTCTTATTATCTTAAATGTAATGTTTGCAGATAATGTTCTCTTATATAAATATTTGACCTATTTTTGTCAAACATTGAATCCTACCCAATTAGCCTGTCACCTTTAATTCTGAGTATTCTACAGTAAGTAGCTCTGTCGTTAATGCTGCATCCCAAGTATTAAGACCTCATTATTTTGGTATTTCTGTTTCTGTGCAGGCTCAGCCAGTGCCAGATGAGTTAGTTAGGGCGGTCCTTGGAAACAGAGCAACCTTCAGCCCCATCGTCACCGTTGAGCCTAGAAGGAGAAAGTTTCACAAGCCGATCACTATGACGATCCCAGTCCCTCCCCGATCGGCAGAAGGTCATCCTAGTGGCCAGCGAGGCGAGTCTGCGCCATGCCTGCGCTTGCTCTGCAGCATCACAGGCAAGTCGACATGTAGACAATTAGAACATGGTCCATCTGCTGCTGGGGCAATTCGAACAAAAAGGAAAGGCTTTTCTCGAAGGCAAATGAGCTCATCTAATGGCCCCATTTCACACAGGAGGGACGTCTCCTGCACAGTGGGAGGACATCACAGGAACCACACCGCTGTCCTTTGTAACTGACTGTGTCTCCTTCACCACAAATGTATCGGCCAGGTGAGATAAACTCCTGTCTAGTTTTTTTTATCCAATGGTTTGATTATTTATAGAAGTAAGACTTTTCTTTTAAACTATATAAAAATGTGCTTTACGGTTAATAAAGGTAATTAATACATTTTTTTAGATTTGTTGGAAATGTGACTTCATTTAGCATAGGACAGACTTGTAAATAAGTATCCATTTTCATTTTTATTTATCTGAAGTTTAAAGTCTATGACTGATCATCAGTAATATGCAGTCATTTAAGTTTATTTAAGATGTTTTTATGATTTACTTAAATTTAACAATTGCTTATATAATGCGTTAAGAGCTTGCTCAAAGTTTCTATTCAAACAAACTTCAATAAAAAAAAACACAAAGTAAATAGATGATACAAAGAATGTGAATAAATAAAAATTTGATTTGACCTTTTTTCTGACTTTTGTCTCCACTAATCAGAAGCTCAGTTTCCATCAAGCTCTAATCAGTAGAATCTCTGTTTGTTTAATATGATTGTTTTGTTTATTATAATTAGTATTTAAGTATTTTTTGCAACCCTTTAAGCAGGACTATTATACCTTTCCTTTAGGCATTCTGATGAACTGACCTGTGTTGTACTTTCTTGGTCACACAATGCAAAGTCATAAACCCTCATCCCTGCCTGGTTTTGAATAATGTGGTAAATGTGCAGCCTGGTTTTATCTCCCACTTTAGTAACTCTCCAATTATTTTGCTACACAGCTTCCATATGTCTGTGGTCTTCTCTTTAAAACCAGCTCTAACTAATGAAAGTTCCTTGAACTTAAAACAGGAAGTTAATCTTGTTTCCTCTCTACCCACTCCTTAGGTTCTGGCTTGCAGACTGTCACCAGATTCCTGAGACGGTAAGTCTAGCGTCTCAGTTATACCGGGAGCTGATCTGCGTGCCATACCTGGCCAAGTTTGTGGTGTTTGCAAAAATGAATGACACTGTGGAGGCCCGGCTGCGCTGCTTCTGCATGACCGACGACAAGGTGGACAAGACCTTAGAGCAGCAGGAAAACTTTGAGGAAGTGGCACGCAGCAAAGACATTGAGGTAAGGTTATGCTCTTTTAGATATACGAGTGTATAAATATTGTAACTTAGAAAAAAAAAACAACTTCCTGATACTTAATGCGACCTAATATCAGCTTTTTTTTCTAGCTTTGATATATGTTACATGTACATTTCAGGTTCTTGAGGGAAAACCCATCTATGTGGATTGCTATGGCAACCTTTCACCTCTCACCAAAAGCGGGCAGCAGTTGGTTTTTAACTTCTACTCTTTCAAGGAAAACAGACTTCCTTTCAATGTGAAGGTAGAAAATGCATTCCACTTATTACATTTTACTTTTGTTCAAAGTTTTTGGTGTCATGGCTGGAATTAATACCAGCAGAAGGGTTTCAGTGCAGCATATATGATGTAGTGCAAATTGTTAAACCAAATTTCACTCAATTAAGTGTTTTTATACAGCGCCAATTTACACCACATCATCTCTAAGCACTTTACAGAGGCAATGCTGTCAGATTGATTAGAATTTTCGGTTGCATTCAGCAATCCCTCATACCAAGCATGCATATAGTGACAGTGGAGAGGAAGAAACCTCTAGCAGAACCAGGCTCAGTGTGAGCGGCCATCTGCCGATGCGTCTATGGTTTAAGGAGACAGAAGCAGATGTAGAAAAGGACGATACAAAAGATAACTGTAAACATGCTCCACAGGTTGCCCCGTCCAGGAAACACACAGCCAGGCAGAGGAGCTCTGAGCCAGCTTCAGTGTCAGAGGATCAAAGAGAGCACATACAGTTAGTCACAGTCTGAGAAACAGGACTTACACTGAAAAACAGGCAAAACTCGAACATCTATAAACAGAGGTATATATTTCAGCAGCACAGATGATATTTCTCTTCACGATGGTGTCACAGCCAAACAGGAACAGAAAAGATGAAGCTAGTATGATGAGAAAAAGCAGAGAGAGCATAAAGTTATGAGTGGAACTTCACAAATATTATAGAATGGGAGATTAAAGATATAACGAAGCAGAATGAGGAAAATATGTCCCTATGTGATCCAGCAGCCTAAACATATAGCAGCACAAATACAGAAAACAGCATAACCTTACTATTTTGATAACATACAAAAAAGGTCAGCTGCAGTTATGCTCAGCTGGTTAGCATGTTTTACTTTGGCGTTAATGTCAAAATAGGGTACAAACTTTTGACATCTATCTCAACAAGGTCATATACAAAGCCTTGTCTCTGACAATAACAGCTTCTATGTAATTGAGTAGGTTTCAGTCACAGAGGAAAATGAGAAAATCCAATTTAACCCTTAATTCCTTTTATAGTATGTGGAATCAGGTGAGAGCAGTCTTTTCTGTGTTTTTCAACCCTCCAAAGGTTCGAGATGTAGGCCAGGAGCCCTGTGGCCGCCTCTCCTTCCTGAGAGAACCCAAAACTGCTAAAGGCCTTCCACAGACTGCCATATGCAATTTGAATATAACACTGCCGACTCACAAGAAGGTAGGATTACTATATTTGTACTTTTCATCCTGTTACACCATATCATATCATCTAAATGTAAATGATGTTCCCAGGTAGAGAACCTCTGAAGCTGAATCAGTCCACACTTGACTGCCTGCTGCTTGTTTTTTAAATAATGGTCAAGCCTGTGCCAGTCATAAGACCCCACAACGTAGACACTAAAGAACACATGCACACTCTGCTATGATCTGTTGCCTGGCTCGGTGTGGGCATTCAAAAATAATGCAAAAACATCTAGATGTTTTTTGTGGCATTTATTGATCTCAATAAACTGTATCTATTTTGCTTATGCTTTTTTTTTTTTTGCTGTTTGTTTTGTTTATTAATCCCATAGATTTTTTCAGATGCCTTTTGTTGTTTTTGCTGCTCCATTTTCATCCCCTGAGTTTTATTTCTGCCTCCCACCCCCACCCGCTCTCTATAACTTCCCTGCTGTCCATTGTGTCATCTCTCCTCTCCTCTCCCGCAATGCACCTTGGAATACCACAGGATATGGAGTCTGACCCTGATGATGAGGTAAACATATTCTTCATCATCACATGAAACTGCTTCTTCTTGGTCATTCTTTCTCTTGCCTTTGTTGCAGAATCTGGAAAAAAAAATAAGTGTGCTTCAGATAGTTTGTGTCTGTGCAGTTGCCTGTGCCTGTCAGATGCTGCTTACTGCGTGTTTTATATATTTTTTATTATTGTTCTAGGAATGTTTATAAAATGATCTTATGCACTGCATGTAATACAATTGCAATCATTTTTGTTTAGCCAATATTTCTTTTTTGTCTGCATCCCAAGTCCAAATGAACCAGATTTTGTCCCATATTTGGCTTTTTTTCACCCCTTTTCCTTCACATACACCTGCAACTGGGCCTCATTATTCTGACTAACTCCTCCTTGATACAATGTTAAAGATGAAACAGTAATTAGTGATATTAGTCCACTTCTTTTTAACTTTCATTAGTATTGTTTGTAGTTTTAGACCTTGGTGTTTATGTTTAGTAGATTTTCATTCAACGGGCAGGCTAGAATAGAAGATAAAGTCCCCTTTTATTATAAAAAAAGTTGTTTCAGGAAGCTAAAGAAGAAAAACAAGTAACTACTAAGATATTTGCATCTGCACAATTTAAATTCAATGTTCAAAAATACTTCAATGAATCTCAAAGGGAAATAAAATATTGCAGTAACTCATAGGTCATTTTTTATCGAGGTGTTGATAGCTGTAGCCAGGTAGGATCTGCTGTATCATTTTGTCTTGCACCGGATATAACGCCTCTGACCGAAGTAACTTTATTTTTGTTTTAAAATGTTCTGAAGGGGATTGTCACTGTTGTCCATAATCTTCTTCACTTTAGGAAGAATTCTTCTTTGTAAAATAAGAGTTTAGAGAAGCAATAGACACATAAAACATAAAACTCTATAAAATCTATTGTTCTTACCCCAAATTGCTTGTTTCTGAACTTCCTTGTTCTTTCAAATGTTATTTATTTATGCAGTAAATATGATGGTTAATGCATTCACTTTTAACTACTGAATCAAATTAAAGCCCAGCAGTAATGGGTTTATGTTTGTGTTTTTTGTGATTAAAAAAATTTATGACAATTATGCACCATATGAGTATAAAGAAATTCACTATGACTTGTAAATTGACTTCACCTGCTTCCTAAATTGATTGCTTATGAACAGAAGGAAAATTGTTGTGACCAGTACAGTCTCTCCTTTACTGCAAAACTCATTGCAAGTGTTACAATTTAGAGGTTTTTGACAAGTCCTAGGTTTAAATTAAAAGTATCTTCAGCAACTCATGGGGTCCTTGCACGGCCTTTCCACCAATCAGAGGTTCTTGGGCTAAAATGGATTGAAAACCCCTGACTTGGACCGGGGGGTGGGGGGGACTCTTTAAATTACATTTTCATAGAGGTAATACTTGTAAAAATCTCTAGTTATTTAAGAAACAACATGTCTTTGCTTTGGTCTTTTAATGCTTTAAAATCTACTATTACGTACAGTATCTCCCACCAATAACAAATCTGTAGGATTATATTGTAGTTTAACTGGCCAAAAAATATTACCAATGAAATAAGATAGCTAGTTTATTGTAAAAAAATAAAAATAAAAAACACTAAATTGACACTATCACTATTACTATCTACTTTAATCTAACCATGTCATATTAGTTACACTTGACTGTTTTTTGTTGTTGTATTGTTTTTTTCAAGACCAGGGCATTTCATTGATTAAAAATGTGCAGCAAAAGTGTTCATTACTTACGATAATGTACTGTAAACCTGCAATACCTTTAGTGTCACTAAACATATGTGTTACATCCCTAAGAACAGGACTATATATTTAGTTTAAGTTAAACTACTATTTTAAATTTGATAGATTAGAACTAGATTAAGTTTATGTTTATGTTACAGCACCTTTTGTTCTTTTGTTATTTGTTTCAGACTGAAAAGCCAGAACGACGTCATACCTTTGCCTCCTTAGCTTTGCGTAAGCGCTACAGCTATTTGACTGACCCAGCAGCGAGTGAGTTTCTGGTTTTTACTTTGTAATAATTTTCCTTCGATTTAAGATGGGTATTTTGTTATATTTGAAATAGTTTTATTGCCCATAGTTCTTATTATTTAGTGCATATATGTCTTTTAGAGGCCCATCTATACATAAAGATCTATGACTTGTTCTCACCTCAAACAGATGTTCACCAATCATTAATTTTCACCTCCCAACACATGCTCTTCTGTCATCCTCTATTCCTCAGCTATTTGCATGGTTTTTGTGTGTCTTAAGCTTTGCTGACCAACCCCATGTTGAAAAAAAATGTCCAGCTGTTTCAACTGTTTTGTCATTTTTATATTTGTTTGAAGCACTGGAAACTGATATGTCTTTATCTACAATTAAAACATATTTCAAGTCATGTTAAATAAAAATGATTTATTTTAAATTGTTGTCATCGTTTTAGTGCCCATTGCATTTTTTTGGGCTTTATGATTGTGTGCAAATGTGTATATTATTGTTAAACATGTTGCACTTTACAACAGTTTGATTCCTTAAGTATTGAGAATAAAAATGTAGCATATTTATTTACTCTTTCAAGTTTTAAAAGACAATAACAAATGACTTTTGTATTTGTTCATAAAGCTCATCTTGTCAAAAAGTGGTGTACTTAAGTTAAAGTAAATGGCATGTGTCTCATTTAGAATTCCCTTATTGTAAAGTGCAACTCCTAAATCAAACAATAAAAAAAAGAAATGTTCATATTCTTATTAGTAATATACACGTGTGGGGTCCTCTGGCATTGGAAATGTAACATGGAAAAAGCTAATTTTTATTCTAAAAGATACTATTGCTGATAGGCATAGGCTACAGATTAGCACGCAAATATCCATAGAATCGTAAATTTGTATTTTCTTCATTTCATCTTGTCACCTGTATCGTATGTCAAGCATTCTTATTCTTGCTTCATTCTGTTCCAAGTATAGTTTGCCATTGAATCATCATTACTTGCCATAGAAACCTTTTATTGTTATATTCTCATGTTGTTTGTGTAAAATGTGGCTTTGTTACTCTGTATGCAATTCCCCTTTTGACTGACTCTAATTTCTCTTTCTGTTTTTTTTTGTTTGTTTTGTTCAATTATTTTATGTTACTTTTATGTTGAATTTATTATTGCTTTTGATTTAAATTTTAATTTAAATTATTCTTGAAGAAACAACTGATCGAAGCCCGCCAAGAACACAGGCTTCTGGCTACCCTCACAAACCTGTCTTTTCAACAAGGTCTTATCAGGCGTGGTCGCCTGTTCCTATCACCGTCCCTGGCCAAGCAAAGTCTGGGTTTGGTTCCCTCTCAAGCTCATCATCAAACACGCCTTCTGCCTCTCCCTTGAAATCTGTATGGTCCATCAACTCTGCTTCCCCCATTAAGACCAATATCCCTGGATCACCAGCCTCCTCTGTAAAGTCAGTTAGTGACACAGCCTCTCCCATTCGATCGTACAGATCTATTTCATCTCCTATAAAAACTGTAATCCACCAATCCCAGTACCCTGTTCAGGTGTCCCCCAGCCCCATGGCCTCTCCTGGTAAAAGTACTTCAGACCCTTTGTCAATGAAAGGATTTTCGGCATTGTCCTGTAGAACCCCTATCACATCACCTGGAGGCGGAAGTCCTTATCTTGAAAGAACATCTATGGGTCTGACCCCACCAACCTCTCCAAAATCTTCTTTTAGCATGTTTGGGTCTCCCCTGCCATATAAAACTATATTGGGAAGTTCAACTGGTACAACGCCATCCTCCTCACCCATTAAAACAGTCCCTGGTCTTACATCTGTACGTTCTCTTGCAATGGATTCCACTGCTCCTGTAAGAAGCCTGTTCTCCTCTCTTTCCTCACCTATTAAATCCTCCAACCCTCCAAGTGCTGCTGCTCTGATTAATGGAACTGTTTCACCTGCACAGTACCGCTCTTCATCCCCAACAACTCATCTTGTGAGCAGCCTACAAGAAAGAATACAAGCAACCACCAACGCTGCTACTACAAGTGTTGATGCAGCCTTTGATGAGGTTGAAAAGACATTCAATTCTTGCTCTGCAGGTTACGGCACTTTAAAGTCTTTTTCTTCGTCTGCCTCCTCCTCATACCAGTCCATGAGGTCATCAGCATCTGGTTCACTCTACGCCTCCCTAAGATCTCCTCCTAATGTCACAACTGCTGTAACTTCAAGTACAATGACTGTTCCAGTATACTCTGTGATGAATGTGGTGCCAGAGTCCCAGTTGAAAAGGAGAACCGAGGTGCCTCCCTCAGTGGCTGTCCTTCTGTCGCCTAGAAAAAGTATTCCTTCTGATGGGAATACTCAGCCCTCATTTGCCAAAACTCTGTCCCCTGTCAAAGCACCCCTTTATTCTTCCAGCATCAAATCCAGCATGGCATCACCATTGTCATCAAGCCAAGAAATTCTAAAGGATGTAGCTGAAATGAAAGAGGACTTGATAAGAATGTCAGCCATTTTGCAGACAGACCCAAACTCTACAGCTAGCAAAGGGTTTCAGTCTGATTCTCCCAAAGAGGCTAAGATAGAGGATGAGGAGCCATATCGGATTGTGGAGAAAGTAAAACAAGACTTGGTAAAAGTAAGTGAAATCCTGACTAAAGATTCCAGGAAGGATGGTAGGATTTCTCCATCTAGAGGTTCTTTGGATGACATACAATTTTCAAAAGTGCAAGTTGAACAGCCACCAAGCAACTGGAGCTATCCACCAAGATATGAGACAGTTGTTTCTCAAGCAAGATCAAAAAACATACCTGATAGAGATATTAATCTGTCTAAAGTGGTTGACTACCTAGCCAATGATGTTGGCACCAACACGTTCTCTAAAATGCATGACATAAAACAGAAAGCAGATGAAGGAAAAAGAGAAGGAGAGGGCAAAGAGAAGCAGAAACGAATCCTAAAACCCACTATAGCTGTTCAGGAGCATAAGCTCAAAATGCCTCCAACAACCATGCGATCTTCTCCCTCTGAAAAAGAAATGAGTAAAGTGACTGATGCACTTTTTGGTGGTGACACTGTGCTGGAATCCCCTGACGACATATCCCATGAGCAGGATAAAAGTCCTCTCTCAGACAGTGGGTTTGAGACCAGGAGTGAGAGGACACCTTCAGCTCCTCAAAGTGCAGAAGGCACAGGTCCCAAGGCTCCATTTCAGGATATCACAGTACCACCAGTTATCACAGAGACTAGAACTGAAGTTGTGCATGTCATCAGGAGCTATGAACCAGAGGATGACAAGCAGTTAACAATGGAAGATGCAGATTCTGATAGAAAAATAGACCCAGATTTAAAGGGGCATCAGACTCCTTCTTTATCACTTCCAGACCAGAATAAATGCTATTCTGTGAAAGGTAGCCCTGATGAAGATCCAATGGGAAAGGGAATGAGGGTGAAAGAGGAAACTCACATCACTACCACCACCAGGATGGTGTACCACAAACCAACTGGCAAAGAAGCTGCATCTGAGAGGTGTGAAGAAACAATGTCGGTGCATGATATCATGAGGGCTTTTCAGTCAGGAAAGGACCCCTCTAGAGAGCTGGCTGGATTGTTTGAACACAAGTCTTGCAATGAGGAAGTGTCACAAAGATTGCTTGAGGACTCCAAACCTAAGGTTGAAAGAATAATTGAGGTTCATATTGAAAAGGGCAGTAAAACAGAACCAACAGAAGTAATAATTAGAGAGACAAAAAATCATGCAGAGAAAGACATGTATTACTACCATGGGAGTAGACAAGAAGACGAGGAGCCCGAGGAGTCACTTCCAGTGTACCTTGAGTCCCCTAGAATGAATACCCCTTTGTCACAGGAAGAAGACAGTCGTCCCACTTCTGCTCAGCTAGTGTCCGATGACTCCTATAAAACATTAAAGCTACTTAGCCAGCAATCTGTAGAGTACCATGATGATGAATCATCGGAGCTTAGAGGAGAATCATACAACTTTGCTGAAAAAATGCTATTATCTGAGAAAATTGATCAATCTCATTCAGACACTGAAGAGTACCTGAGAGATAGATCCCGGTACCATTCACCTGACAGAAGCACTCCCAGTAAGGGTAGGTCATCTGCGCCTAGAACTGAGTATGTATTTCGGTCATCAAGAAATGTCTTTGATAAATCGGGTCGAATGGCTAATGTTGATGATAACTTTGACAAACTAACACTTTTGCAATATTCCTCAGAGCCTGGTAGCCCTAAGCAGTCTGTTTGGATGCGTGTGCCAGATGACACACACAGTAAGGAGAAAGAACAAGTTGTATATGAGGACAGAGTGGATAGGACTGTAAAAGAGGCAGAGGAAAAACTTAGCGAGGTATCTCAGTTTTTTCGGGATAAAACAGAACAGCTTAATGATGAACTGTCATCTCCAGAGAAGAAGTCTCGAAGATCAGACTTCAGGGAATCCCGATCAGGGCCGAGTTCAACCCAAAGTAGCCCAGAGAGGTCACCCTATAAAAGTGGGACAAATGGGGAGGAGTGGAACAGAGAAAGATTAAGAGATAGATTTGGTCCTAGTGATAGAAAATGTGCCAGTTTACCTAGCAGTCCCGAAAGAAGGGTATTGCTCCAGTTAAGTGATGCTGACTCTAGAAAACAAGGAGATGGAAAATTACAGGAAAGTGTTAGTGATTGTCCTAAATCTTTTCAAGTGTCTTCTTCCAAAGTGAGTGCAGTCAGATTAAAGTTTGAACAAGAGGCTCAAAAGCAAGACAGGGTAAGTCCAGGGAGTCATACCCAAAATTCTCCTATCAGGAAACTTCAGGAAACGAGACTACCAGTATATCAAATGTTTTCTGGGTCTAGTATTCAAAAAGTACCTGACAGTCCAGCAACCCAAAGAAAATACCCAGATACTACGTCACATAAGCCATCGCCCTGTCAGGAAACCAGTCGAAAAGATCAGGAAGACAGCAAATCATTCAAAGCATGGGAAAGCCAGAGGTATGGACACTGTAAACCTCAGTCTTCAAAATTATCAAATTATTTGGCTCATGATTCTGTAAAAGATTGCAGTAGTGATTCCCAAAGGCAAGAAACAACTAAAAAGATAATTTATACAGAATTTGTTGTCAGAGAAGGTACAAGTACCAATGACAGTAAAAAAAAAAACTCGGAATCACAAATTCCTGTAAAAAAATCATTTAATTTTTCAGAAAACCACAAATCCACCTCTTTAAAATTAGATGAACCAAATGAAATACCTGGGCATCCAACATCTACTTTAGGTAGAAATCTGTTACACAGCAGCTCTGAATCAAATAAGTCTACTCACCGACGATCCTTAGGAAAATCCATAGAAAGTAGCCAGTCAAATGTAGTGTGTAATGGTATTGATGATGATCAGGTACAATACTTGGATCAAGCAATTCCGGTAGTTGTGACTGAGGGTTTCAAAGATATTAAACCTTTACCAGTGTATGTCAGCATCCAAGTTGGAAAGCAATATGAGAAGGAAACAACTTCAGGGCAGAAGGGGACTTACAAAAAGATTGTGAGTCATGAGAGTAGAACAGTACATGAAACGAGAGGTGCAGTCTGCAGTGTCAAACAGAAACAGTCTCCTTCTCCTCAAGGAAGTCCAGAAGATGACACTCTTGAACAGGTAACTTTCATGGATAGCTCGGGGAAAAGCCCTGTAACTCCTGAGACTCCAAGCTCGGAGGAACTGAGCTTAGCGTCAAGAACACCAGACTCTGTGATTGGTTTCATGACTGGCATGCCAAGCCCTATCCCTGAGGAATCTGAGGAGGAAGATGGAAAGACCTTCATCTATAAAGAACCATTAAAAGAAAAACCTAAGTCAGCCACCTCAGAGACTCCCAGTAAAAAGCAGGATGCAGAAAGAGGGAAGTCAAAGGAGAAAAGAGTTGCCTATATAGAGTTTCCACCCCCGCCTCCATTAGAGTCAGAGCAGTCCAGTGCTAAGAAAAGGACTGCATGTACTACCTCTGAGGCAGAGACAGAGATGATGGAGGTAAATCTGCAAGAGGAGCATGACAGACACCTTCTAGCTGAGCCTATTATTCGAGTCCAGCCTCCATCCCCTATCCCCCCAGGAGCTGATAACAGTGATTCTAGCGATGATGAGTCTGTCTTCCATCCTGCCCCTGTCAAAAAGTACACCTTTAAAATTAAAGAAGATGGAGAAAAATGTCAGAAAAACAAAAAGTTTGAGAAAGATGGAAATGGAAAGGAGTCTGGTGCTAATGGTGGTGGAAAGGGAGAGGACACTGAATTGGAACAAAATGGAAATGATCAGTCAATCACTGACTGCTCAATAGCTACAACCGCTGAGTTCTCCCATGACACAGATGCTACAGAGATTGACTCTTTAGATGGATATGACCTTCAGGATGAAGATGACGGACTAAGTGAAGACCCTAAAACATCTAGCTTGTCCAATGACGGGAAAACTGCTGACCGTTCATTTAATCAGTCCAAGCTTGAAGTAATAGAAGAAGAGAAATGTGAGGAAGGAGGTGACATTGGAAAGAATAAAAGTAGTGCATCTGCAGCAAAAGCAAGTGGTGATAAGAAAGACTATACCCTTGAAGGAAGACACCCAGATAGAAAGAGCTCTGGGGAGAACTATTTTGGATACCAACTTCAAGATGAGTTAAATACAACCTTTAAAACTGTTGCTACAAAAGGTCTGGACTTTGACCCTTGGTCAACAAAAGGTGTAGATAATGAAGGGCTTTTTGAGTCTAAAGCAAAAGAAGAGGACCCAAAACCTTACAGTTTGTCGGCTGAGGAAAAATCACAGGCTACAACACCTGACACAACCCCTGCTCGAACACCAACTGATGAGAGCACGCCAACTAGTGAGCCTAACCCCTTCCCTTTCCATGAAGGGAAGATGTTTGAGATGACACGCAGTGGTGCTATTGACATGAGCAAGCGGGACTTTGTTGAAGAGAGGCTTCAGTTTTTCCAGATTGGTGAGCATTCCTCTGACCCTACAACAGGGGAAAGGGGGAGAGGGGGAATGATCCAGGGGGTACCTTCCTCTCAGTCAAAAACTGGGGAGAGGTCAACAGTAGATGGAAAGGTGACGGTTGTAGATGTTACCTTAGACAGCAGCAGCACTAGACCAACAACACCAGCTACAACTGCAGCCAAATACAATCCTGCACAGCCTGGCAGTGACATAGGTTGTGCTGTTACTAATATCCCTGCCTGTGAAGCCATAGCTGAGACTGCCTCTTCATGCACAATCACTGCCTCTAAGGTTGATTCCAAATTACGAACTCCCATTAAAATGGGCATAGCTGCCTCCATAACTGTAAAGAAAGACTCAGGGGATCTCCTGGACAGTAAAACTGAGTTGTCTGAGGGTCAGGTGGTGCCAGAATACATTAGTATAGAGGGTAGGTGTTTGGAGAAACAGCCTAGCAGCCATGCTGAGCCTAGGAAAGAAAAAAAAGAATATCCATCTGAAAACTGCAACAACAACAATAACTTGGAATCATCCAGTGTTCAGGCCAACTATATTCATTGTGGTAGTTTAGTTTTTAATTTACAGTCTTCCTCTGAGCCCACTCTACAGAAAGCTAGCAGAATAGAAACCCTATGCTGTAAAGATAAGAATGAGAGAGTCGAAGAGCCCACTAGCACTCAGGTTCAAGAGCAGAAAACAGAAGTAGTTAAAGAAAGTGAGGCAAAGCTGCCCAGGTCGAGGCTTCCTGTCAAAGCATCAGGGTGGTCTTTTCATACACAGGGAACGACTGTTGGGAAGCAGAAACCCAAACAAGCAGTAACAGGTGAGGTCAGGAAAAGAGGAGATCCATTGATTGCTAAAGTTGAGCCTAGATCAAGGATACCGGTCAAAGATGTTAAGAGGATCAGTCATGCTTCCACAGTTAGCTTACCTGTCTCAGTTCGTATTACATCACGTCCTGTAAAGACACTGAATACAGCAAGAGCAGCCGTACAGCTACCCACAAGGCAACCACAAAAGGATAAGCATCAGGTCTGCAGTGTCACCAATGAAGGAGCATCTAGACAGAATAGACAGGAAAACCCTAGTGAACTTTGTAAGCGCACCATCGAATACTTTAAAGACATTAGCGGGGAGACGCTAAAGTTGGTGGATCGCCTGTCAGACGAGGAGAAAAAGACGCAAACAGAGCAGTCGGAGGAAGACAGCACCTCCCGAAGCACCTCTCTGTCGGACGCCTCCCAGCCTTCCCAGCCCTCCCAGCCCTCCCGCTCATCCAGGTCTGGTAGAGGTTCGAGGGCTGAGGCCGGGGCCGCGTCCGTAAGGGCAAAGGTGGCGACGACGGACAGGGCTTCCGGCAGTGAGAGGAGGAGAAGGAGTAGGCGGACTGGTGGGAAGGAGGGCAGTCAGGGACTCACAGGGTCTCGAACGCCTCCCATCGCGGAGATCAAGCCTAGTTTGTAAAACTTTCACACTATGTTTAAAATACATCTATATATTTAAATTTTTCACTTTTAGTTGCATGACATTGTTGTGATCATTTTATCAATTGATTGGAATGCCTGTGGCGTGTTTACATAATCTCCTCAAAGCAGTAGCTGTCATTTAAATTCCTTTTTGTTGTCATAAATGTACTGTGCTGTCACTGTTACAAGATTTTCTGTCTTTCACTCCCCTCTTTCAACCTTGTTAAGCATAGATATGAGGGGCTAAGCATGCCATAAGATGTGTCAGGTCACTGGCACAACCAGTCCCATGTTTGCCGAACTCCCTGGTCTGTCTATTTGTCCGTGCAGGGTGGTTACTGACTTATTGTGGTAGTTTGTTGTAGAACATTTGATACAGCTGTCATTGAGACTAATACGTGTTTACCAAAAACACAAAAGTACCAATGCATGGTGACGTTTTTAGATTCTAGATTTATAGACCTATATGCCTTTTGTTGAATCATGTTTTTTTTTGTTTTGGTTTGTGTAATTGTCATGACAGTTACTGCCTGTTTAGTGCCTACTTACCACAAACAGTCACAGAGCACCACTTACTTTATGGACACATCCAAGTCATGATGTCTGTAGTGAAAAATATCCTTTTCTTGTCATCTTGAGCTGATTAATTACCTTAACTAAAAAAGATTAATTTGATGAATTGGGCTGGTCATTTTGATAAACCACCAGTTTTAATTGCATTTCTGCTTTTTAGTCAATTAATAAATCAATATTTTGTAAGTCTCATAATAACAGGTCTGAAACATATATAAAACAAGTGGCCAGAAAAGGAAATTATGTCATTTGTTTTTCTCTTCTATTAGAAAACAACCTTTTTAAAAAGAAAATTATATTGATATATTTTTATTCTTTATTATAACCAGGTCCCCAAAGTCCTTGTGAGCGAACAGACCTGCGCATGGCCATCGTTGCAGATCACCTGGGCCTCAGCTGGACAGGTATAAACCAGTCTCTAAGGATGTCAAAAGATTAGAACATAATTTAAATGCCTTTTAATTTTACTAGATTAATTTACAAAGTAAAACTCCTTTTAGCTCAAATCATTATACACATACATTTGAAACATTTGTTTCTGTTAGCTTATATAACTGGCCTATTTAACACAGCTAATGTAAACCCCAAATTTCAGTTTCCTTTATTAGACCATTACAGACAAACAAAAAGATATCTTTGTATATAGAAACATTTGTTACTGAAAAGTGTAGTACTTTGTAGTATTTTAGAGACTTGAAGGAAGCCCAGGTTTATCTAGTCATCTAACCTTCCCCTTACCAATAGAACATATGTTTCCGTATGTAATTGCAGCACCAGCATCTCCAAAAGCTTTTCTGCAAAGGGAAAATGTTCTCCTTCCAGATGAATGGCAGGACTACGGACTTAATAAAACTCTCTCATGACTTGGCTTCACAAACCATCAGTGTTAAAAATTCAGACTGAATCTCCAACTACTTGGATTATCTGCCTCTTCTGTTATTCTCTACTGTTTGAGAACTTGATTGCCCAATGAAATACAAATTTGCTTTCATCTGATAAGATGAAAGCAAATTTCTTGTCCAACCTAAAAACAGTCCAGTCCCTTTTTTATTCCTAGACCAGGTTAAAAACCTTTAACACATCTGTGGTCTAAGAGCGGATAAACAAGGGATGAATCAGCTGATGCCTACAGCGGTGTTTGTTGCTATCTAAAACCCTGACTCCAGCTCTGTCCACACCTTCAGAATCTCTCACACTATTGAATAATTTTTTATCTTTAGTCAAGACCAACGTTTTTTTCTGTTGCTTGTGCATCTTTTCTATCACCCTTTTTCCTTCTCTTGTTTTCCCCATAATAAGCTAGTCCACAGCACTGTGTGACCAGCCAGCTTCTTTAGCACCAATGTCTTGAGACTTACCTTTATTGAGGAAGAAGTCGTTGAGTGTTGAGCACGACTGTCGAGTCAGCTTGCTTCTCCATTACACTGTAGTACATAGCATTACATTCCTTTAAAGGGGTCATAGAATGATTATATAGGGTATTTACTGCTGGTCCTTAAGATCTCAGAATAAGGTGTGTAACATTGGTTGGGCCAAAAATTGCATATCTGCTGTTCTATGAGCCCTACTGCAAGCCTGGTTAAAAGCCCTAGAATAAGACGGCAGGTTTTTCTTCCTTTTATCATATGCTCATGTATATTTAAATGAGCTTTGCACTGATTGGTAGGTTTACAACCAGCGAAGCTGCTGAGCAAAGACGCATCATAGCAATAAGCACTCACTCACTGAAAGATCAAATTGGGTGACCACACGTCATCTTTTTCCTGGACATGTCAGGGGGGAATTTCAAAGTCGTCCTGGATTTTGGTCGACTACAATCCTGCATTGTAGTCGAAACACACCGGGTACCAAACCTAGCCGTCAGCTCCAGGGCTGGTCGCTCAGAGGGAGTGACCGAACCCAACCCGACACCGGCGGCCCCGTGCTTACTGTCTCCGGTAAGAGTACCGTCACCAGGTCGGGTTCGGTCACTCTGTCCCCAGCTGGCTTGGTTCAAATGCCCAGGGCGGTCCAGTCAGCTGCCCAGGTTTAAACTTCTCTGTACGTCCATTTCACACACTGAGCTATCATTATTCATCTTTGACAATGTAAACTCGGTTTTGCATTCTATGACCCCAAATAATAAATGGTTATAATGTGTCACACTGTGAGTAATGCATCTATGTTACCTTTTTTAAATGGTTTTACATTAATTAACATTTTCCATGGTAATTAAATTTATTGAGTTTCACTTGCAGCTTCTCTCTGAGTCTTCCTATTTTTTCTGGCCTTTCTGTCTCAATGTCTTTTTTGCTGCCACCTTCAGGTTACGTTACACCAAACAAGAAATACTTTGTTTTAACTCAGTGCAGTGTCCACATTATACTCTATTACCATTTGACTTCAAGGTAAATTTCTGGTCATTTAGTCAGGGATCAGACATAGATATTCTAATATTGTTGCTTAGATTGACATTTTTAAAGCTTATTTTCAAACTTTCCATTGGTGCTCATTGTGGAGCTCTAAAACTGATTTCTTTTTTATCTCCTTTAACAATGCAACACACTAAACAAATACAATAAATCTAACTGGAAGTTAGTAATTTTATGTAGACAATTGTAGGTAAAAAAAAAAAAAAAAAAAAAAAACTAAAGCGACAACACAGAAGAATGAAATGTAAAATAAATATACTTGATTCCATTTAAATGTTATATTTCCAATACTAATATTTGAGTTGCATTACTGTGATCACAGAGCTGGCTCGGGAGATGAACTTCACAGTGGATGAGATCAACCACATAAGACTTGAGAACCCAAACTCTCTGACGGCACAGAGCTTCATGCTTCTTAAAAAATGGGTCAGTCGTGAAGGGAAAAATGCCACAAGTAAGCCTATTTTTATTTACAAAAACATTACTGACATCTCTGGTCTTGCACAGAAGCTGAATTATTACTTTCACAAGTATATTTAAGTAAAAGATATTCCCACAAGCTGAAGTCATCTATTATCCTACTATTTTCTTTTCAGTGTTTCTTCCTTCATTTCTATCTAATTTGATATTTGCTCCAACATGTAGTCGGGATAATCTGTTAAATCAGAACATATGAAAAACTGAGTGGTTTACTTTTGCTGAGAATTGTTTTGGAAAATAATAGATTATTTTTGTGATGATTCATGAAAGAAACATGACTTATTTTCTCTCCACAGCGGATGCCTTAACTGAAGTGCTGACCAAAGTCAATCGGATGGATATTGTGACTTTGCTGGAGGGCCCAATATTTGACTATGGTAACATTTCAGGCACGAGATGTTTTGCCGATGATAACGCTGTTTTCCGGGATCAGGCTGATGGTAAAGTTTAGCTCTACTAGCTGACCTCTTACCTCTCCCTGCTACCTTTTCTGTTGTGCAAATGCATGGGTCAACTAGCTTTTTGACCTAAAGAAAATTTCTAAAGTAGATATTTTTTACACTAAGATTTGCTCTTTGGACAACTGGATACCACTGTTTTCCAAATGCTTGGTGGGTTCCTGTAATTCCATAGAGTATTTGATATGATAAACAGCATAACATTTCTCTTTACTTTACAGTTATACAATTTAATTCTATTATTAATTCTTTAGCTAACAACCTTTGTTTATTTGAATTAAGATACGTTAGTTCAGTCCAAAAAGGATCAATACGGTGAATCCAGTTGTCCCAAATAACCATTTTAGTGATTAAACCCTTCTATAAGTGCATGTTGACTACTGCAAATTGCTTCAGTGTTGCTTAATTTTATGTAAATAGGAATTAAATAATTTTGTAGAATCTGCCTTTCTGCCTTTATTGAGCCTTGAAGAAATATTTATTTCCCTTGAACTCCAAGTGTCACAATACAACTGCAATGCTATTTATTAGGATTTTGTGTGATAGACCAAGTCAAAGTACAGCATAATTGTGAAGTGGAAGGCAACTATATAGTCTAGTATATCTACTGAAAAGGCAAAGATTGTTTTACACCTTGCAATACCTCACTGACTGAAGAAAAAGAGCATTAACCAGAGAAGCTGCTAAGAGGTCCAACTCTCCTGGAGTTGTAGACATTCATGTCTCATATCAGGAAATTTGCCTTCATCATTCAAAGTTTTGGAAGAAAATGGCAAGAAAAAGCCATAGCTAAGGAACAAAATACATGCAAATGCATGTGGTACAAATGTAGTCAAATGAACAAAACTGTTGGTGGAAGCATCATGCCTAAATAATATGTTTAATTAGAAGGCACAAGGAGTTTATTCAGAGATGATGTGTGGATAATTAATCAATCAATCAATCAAAGTTTATTTGTATAGCACTTAACAACAACAGCAGGGACACCAACGTGCTTCACAGAAAGAAAAAAACATTGTAAAAAAACAAAACTCCTAAGCAATAGCAGTGTGTTCTAAGTATTAACAGCCAGATTTAAAGAATTAGTCTTTAGAAATGTATTAAAAGGGGCACTGTTTTTACCTGGATCTGGGCACATCCAGAAAATTTGATAGGCAGACCGGAGAGCTCTGATGGGGCAATGCACTGCCAACAGACTTAAAAGTGTTTGAAAATAAATCCTATTCCTGGAAGGAAACCTGTTAGTATTTGCACAAGACTTTAGAATTAGGCTGATGTTCTGTGTTCAGCAAAACCACAACCCTAAACCTGGAACCAAAGCTACGACTAAATAGAGGTATTTAAACTATTATATACCGGTATGTTTTGAGGGGTGTAGTCAAAGACCAAACCTATATCAAATTGAGCACCCATCTTTAAAATCGATTTCCACAGATGTGCAAAGAAGAATGGGCAGCTGTATTTAGATAAAGTTTTTTTTCTGTTTATGAAATGTTTTGACAACCATTTGCCTTTCACTTCACAACGATGGACTATTGTTCTTTTGGTTAATTCCAGAAAACGCCATTTAAGTATGTAACTGTTCAAAATTGGTATCGGTTTATGATGCCTAAAGTTCAAGGGAGTAGATATTTTTGAAAATCACAGTTTTTAGTTCAATCTTGTAGTTCTCCTTCAGTTCCTCTGAGCCTTCTTTGGATAGATGAGAGAAATTCTTCCTCTGTGACCCAGACTGCCTCCTCCTCCTCCTCCTCCTGCATTCCCTTCACCTCCCTGCAGTACCATGAGTCGCTGATAACAGCACAAAACAGCTCCTAACTATTTAAGAGTCATCCACGTGTGCCTGCTCCTAAATCCCCCACATTATTCATTCGTTTTGTTTTACAAGCATTGTTTCACATCACTTTGTTTTTCTTTTTTTCCTTTCTTCAACCCTTTTGTGTTTTGACCTCTATGTTCTTTGTCATTTTGTGTGTTTATAGTTTGTATTATTATTCCCCTAACTCCCGGAAGCACTGAAACACCTTATATCCTGCCGACACCGAGTCCATTTTTCCCAACACAAATGCCAACTCCTCCACCCACTCCCCTCACACCTTCTGCCACAGCTACCTCCCGTCCTTTATCCCAGCACCGGTCTTTGAGTTATGAATCATCCATTTTGCTTAAAGACTTGGCTCCTGCTACACCGTTGGAGCTCTTGCAGTCCAACCGTCTGTCCTTGCGGCCAGTTCCTCAATGGCCCTCGTCTGACCCATGTGAATTCTCCTTCTTGCCTCAAATTTCCTCCCCAATTCCCCTCATCACCTCACCAATACCATACTCACCTGCACCTTTCTCACCATCGCCCTGTTCAGTCACATCCATCCCATCTTCTCCAACTTCAGTTCCAGTGTCACCCATTCATAACACACCTGGTTTGATTTCTTCACAAGCAGAAATAGCCTCTCCAACATTTACAAATTTCTCCTGTGACATATCCTGCCAAACCCCCTCCTCAATAAAAACAGACCTCAGTCCTGCAGCCATAAGCTCTTTATCTTCCTCTCATGACCCTAACCTGTTTCAGTCCATTACCATCCTTTCACCCTCTGTCATTGACTCTGCAAGCAAAGACTCTCTAATTGCCCAGCTGAACTCCTCATCGCGACCACTCTCCCCTCTCTCTGTATGCACCCTTCCTAACTTTTCTCCCTCGGGGTCCCGTTGCCCCAGCCCCAGTCCTTCCTCTCCCCCTCTGCGCTCCTTGTCTCCCTGTCCTGTTTGCCAGTGCAAATGTATGACGTCAGTCAACCCGCCTCCCGCTCGAACCCGCTCAGATCCTTCTAAAATGGAACTATTCATTTAGCCAGCTCTTGTTTCGTCCCATTTCTCTCCTCCCAACCCTTCCTTTTTCACATCTCTCATCTTTCATCTGTTTTATGTGAGCTTGCAAATCTACACCCTGACAAATAATGTGTAATTACACCTATCAAATCCAACACCATGACTCATGTAGCCTTAAGGCGCTGCTTTATCATCTTACCACTCTCTAACCAACAGCCTGAAAATCAGCAATTATATTTCTTACATAATTCTATGGTTCTCAAACTGTAATAAAGGTACCACTGATGGTAAATGAGGAACCTGGAGCTGGGCTTGAATGGGATGCAGACCATCAGAAGAGCTATTAAACAGTATATTTGGAAATGTTTTGGCTAATTTTGACTATATTTTATGTGTACAAGAGCAGCATTAAATTATTTTTGTTGAGAAATAACACTCACCAAAATAATTATGATTTCAGAGAAAGTTTTATTTCTTTTTATATGGACTATATAGAAAATCAGAGTTCCTGGTATGAAAAGAGAGCATTGTTCTATGCAGGGTGGAAATAAACATAATAAAAATGTAAAGTAAGCACCAAGATTACCTTACTGGATTTAGGAAGGGCATTAAATGTTTCAAGTTTAGAACCGATGGGTTCTTCTAAGTTATAGTTATTATTCACCAAAAAAATGCATTAATCGTTTCCTGATCCTTTCTATTAGCCTTGTATTCATCGGCATTATGAACATCCAAACACTGTAGGGATGTATTCAGTTGAATAAAAAATTTTATCATCAAAAATGAAAGTTAGCTTTCCTTTTTATACTGCAGCAATCACTAATGCACATGGCAGCCATATTGGATTGCTGTGTGGGTGAGCACTGTTCAAACATTGATATTTGGAACTCCAGCTTCTGTGGGTCTCTCTGTAAACTTTCCCACCTTTAAACTTCAGTTTCTGACTACTTTAAATGAACAAGTGTATGATGTGAGTCCATAATTAAACCAGATCCCAGAACCAATTGAGTAGTGCCAATTTGAGTTGTTGTAGATTGCTTTTCTTTTGGAAGGCAGAGTTTGTTTGTCACATAACAAACAAACCAAAAAGTATGATCAAAGTCCTTTAATTATACAGTTTTAAAATGTTAATCCAGATGATGTTTTTTTTTTTTTTTTTAGAAATCTTGGTATTTACTGAAGTGGTACCTGTTATGAAAAGTTTGAGAACCAGGAGAGTAATTTTAACTTGATACATCCATATACTTTTTAAGGTATAGTTTACAAAGTAATCCTTAAAAAATATATGGAATGATTTCTTGTACATTTCTGTTTAAATGTTTTTTATGTTAGTTTGCCATGTAGTGATTTGACTGGATCCCTTTAATGCCATATTACATGTTAGTCTAGATACATGCCTCACTCTTGAGTCTCTTTCACTGTCCATGTCATGTGGGTTTTGATGGGTTTTATGTTTTTTTCTGTGTTTTGGTGTGTTGTATTCTGTTGTGGCATGCTTCTATCCGTGTCTGTATGTTTCTCATCCTTTCACCTACAGATTATCAGAGCATTCTAGCTGAGCTGCAGTCTCCTGCTGCTCTGCACTCCACTCCCCACTTCCTGGAGCCTGAACTCCCAGTCACCCCCAACCCTTCCCTTCCTCAGCATCAGCATCTCCATTACCCCAAACCAGACTCCTCTCTTCAGACTTACAGTAACCCGCAGCTCACTGCCTGGAGCCCAGAGGTTGAAGCTTGTAGCAAAGAGCCAGAGAGCTCCCCTAAGAGTCCCCCAAGGCCCTGTGACCTTGCTCTGCCCGTTCCAACCTTTGATTTTCCCGATCCTCTTCCTTCTAAGGTCAGAAAGCCCCATATTGCTTTAAATGACCAGCTTCTTTTGAGTGAAGAGGAGGACAGATCTTTTCAAGAAATGCAGCCAACCCTCAAGCCCAGGTCACAGTCCTTCCCAACAATGTGTGAATTGGACGTTGAAATGGCATTCTCTACGTCTTCACCTTCGCTGTCATTCATGTCTTCAATAACTCCATCATCCTCCGACAGAACGTGTTTTGGTGTGCCGATGGTCAACACCCTTGATGCGGCACAAGACGACGTAGGTCAGAAAGGAAGTCAAATGGAAGTCAAAGAAGAAATTGAAAAGGTTGTTGCAGCTCAGTTAGCAGAGAGGAGTGGATTAGTGCAGAAGTTGGTAGAACAAGAATTGATTAAAAATGTGGAGAGAAAGTGTGAGATGGTTGCAAAAGACAGGTCTCAGTTGGAAGAAGAAAAAACAAAATTGGTGGAACAGAAATGGTCTACAGAGCAGGCCAAAAGTCATGTTAATGTGCAGCACGATGGTGTTCAAGATGGGAATAAAACAGGGGTATATAAGGAGGAGAAGGCTAGAGATGAACAAAATTTCTTAACGGAGAATATTAATCTAATAAAAACTGAACATAAAGGATTGAAAGAGGTTGTTTTTCAACCTCCGGCTGCTGGGGATGAAGTACAAGTGAAGGAAAAATTGGAAGAGGTTGATTTAGAACTGTGTTATAAAGAAGAAGCACCAGAACATCAGCCTGTTTCTGAAATTTCCCCTCAAGCTTGGGTTGAAGCGCTTGAGCAACTTCAGCCTAGTGAGTCTGGATCCAATGAGGAAGAACAGCAACGAGACAGAGAAATGCCAGAGGAAGGATCTTTGTTGGAGGAGGTGATTAAAGAAGGCTCAGAGGAAAAGAAGGAGCAGGACACAGAAGTGATTGAATCAAGGCATCAGAAGAGTTTTGAGGAGGTTGAACATGCAGAAAAAAACATATGCTCACTTTCAGGATGGCACAGTGATTCATCCAGCGTCAATGTTGAGCCACCAACACCAGGCCGCAGTGTCAGCTCAGACCTACTGGACAGACAGGAAAGGTACAAGTGTAATCCCATCTAAAGTAGGATTTAGAAAAAAGATAAATTATTCCATTTTTTGATTAAAACGTTCATTGTCTTTACTTTGCAGCCAGGAAAACTCTAGTGAGTCTATCACCTCCTCGTCCAGAGCTGAATCAGGGAGATCCCGACCTAATGGCGACAACTCAAAGCACTCACCTCAGGACGCCTCATCGGAGTCATCTAATGGAAGAAAAGACAGCACACTAGTGTCGGAGAAAAAAATTCAGGTGATGACATATTGAATAAAGAGATGTAAATGAAAAGAAATTAAGGAGAAATTAATCTCTGATCTTTATTTCTGTTTATTTTGTTGGTTGTCGCTTACAGCTGATGGAAGCCCGAAATTAAGTTTCTAAGAAAATTAGCCATATTATGACCTACAGAACATCTGACTTATAAGATATCTATTCTTTATGTATTAGTTCATCAAATTTAGAGACATTAATTCCTCCTTTTTCCCACCTTTTTATTACAGTGTTATTAATTAGCTGTAAGCAATAATCATTGAAACAGAAAAGCAATGAATGAACTCCTTGTAATGATGCTGTTTATGAATTTGACATTCACAGAAATGGATGAACCTTTTCATTTTATTCTGTATTACTAAGATGCACCTGTGGGCAACACTTGTTTTTTTCATACAGCCAAGCACAGAGTAATACCTCATCTAAAAAATGCTCTAACTGACAGATTTGTGTATTTGTTGAGCATAAGTGACGTGTAATCTTCTAACCCATTCCTCCGCAGCGGGTTAGTGTAGATTCCGGTTCAGATGAAGAACAGACTGTGACCACCAGAATCTTCCGCCGTCGTCTCATTTTAAAGGTACCCTGAAAGCCTGGTGTATAGACTTGCTGGGCTTTGGTTTTGGTGATGTTTTTTTTGTTTTTTCCTCATTCAGTTGTGCCGTCTTATCGATTTGCTCTCTGTTCTGACAGGATTTTTCTCTCTTTGTGTGAATGTGTTGTTTGAGAAAAAAATATTTCTGTACATGTGTCATCAATTTTATTAATGGAAGCTCATGACTGAGGACTAACTCCGGGCGTTGTTGTTCTCTAATGTTTTCTTCTAGCGTGGTGTTGGTGATGGACTAGTTAGCTTTCTTTTGTGTCAAGGGTTTAGCATTAATTATGAGCTAACCGCAAACACTTACAGGGAGAAGAAGCCAAAAACATCCCAGGCGAGTCTATGACAGAAGAGCACTATATGGACAAGGATGGTAACCTCATCAGTAGAAAAGTAACGTACAATATTTGTTCTAATGTAACATTTATCTCTTTAGATCACAATAGCATGGTTAATGTATTTTCTCAAAGTATAAGAGGACTTTTCAGATCATTTCTCCCTTGTCAACATCCCTTTTTCCTCGAGCAGGTGATCAGGAAAGTGATTCGACGAGTCTCAACTCCAACTCCAGAAAACCAAGGAGGTGACAGGTGGAAAAGTGACTTTCACCACAGTCCCATTCAGCAGGACTTTGGTTCTGAGGTTGGCATGAAGAGAAATCCCTTTAATTATTTTAAGGTTTAATCTAAGTGGGTGTGGATTTCTGGGGTTAGGATGTGGGGGAGTTTAACTGCTTATCAGAAGTTTGGCTTAAAGCTGCACTAAAGATCAAAGTATTTTTAGAGTCTAAAGCCAAATATTAAATTAACTTAAATGGCTCATTTTGTTCACAACTGAAAATAAATTCTGTGATTGGTCTGGCTGCTAACTGCCTGCTTGAGCTATTGTTTATCCGCATGGCATGAATTGACCTCTGATCTTTCTGCTGTGGATTGTTCTTTCCCTTAAACCAAAGTTTCCAATTTTCTTCCTAATTCTAAGACATACAAAAATATTCTCCCCTATGGAGCTGATTGGTTGATCGATTTCAGATAATTCCATTATCAAAAATGTTAGTTTAAACTAAACATACACAAGGAAAAAGAACAACATATACAAAGTCATTGGTATAAACTCAACACTGCATTTTTTATATCTTTGTTGGGATTCTTGTTAATAGTTTTAACTCACCTGCCCTCAATAATTCTACCTAGGGGAATAAAATGCATTCATATGAAATGCAACCTTTCACGCTGTTTCTGAGTACGATGGAGAGTGAATCAATTTGCTCCTCATTCTGCGTGTTTTTACTGTTTTTTTCCCCAGTTGGTTTCCCAGAGTGCTTTGACTTGATTGTTCCTAACTCTGCTCATAACAAATGTTTCTCCTTCTAGGTATGTTGCTGGTGTGGTGTTGGTTTTTATTAAGTACTTTCTATAACAGCTCTCACTAACCCTTGCTTTTGGTGACAGCGCCATGAAACCAAACCTCAAGTTTGTGTTTTTGTGCTCATTTTTTTGTGAGATTTCAGATTTGCTGTTTTGGGGTGAAGTTTGCTTATGTGCTGTTAAAGAAACCAGAACATTTTTAGTTAAAGAACTTTCTCTTTGTTTTTTGTGGTTCAGCAGGGTGATGGAGTAAGGAAATGCAGACGATCAGGGGATAAAAAGCACCACTCGTAGGAATGGTTTGGAGTTATCAGGTACATTAACATACCTTTTTTATCATATCATAATATATCTACTCTAATACTTCCTTATACATTTTTTTCCCATTTTGTATCTTGTTGTTACTTTTTTTATTTGCAATATTTGGAAATGCACAGATAATTAAGAATTGATTATTTAAGCAATTTACCGCTAAATTAGACTAACCTTCATTTAATGAATGTACAAATGTGTCATGCACAAACATTGGATGCCTATGTATGCCAGCTTATATATATCAGCAATATATTTTCATATTTTCAATAGAAACTGAGTGCTTTACCTGTTTTTTTTTTTATCAAACAGTAGAAGTATTTCAGATCAGTTAGTGCTATACTGTGCAATTGAAAGAGATGATTGTTTTAAATGAATTTGCACACTTAGAGTACCATATACGGTATATATATATATATATATATATATATATATATATATATATATATATATATATATATATATATATATATATATATATATATATAAATACATTTTTTTGTCTGTTTGGCAAAAAAAAAATACTCTGTGTATTTTTTGTGTAACAAAAACACAAAGTACTCATAATTGTAGAGTGAAATGATACATGCTACAAAGTACGCAAAGTCCTCCTTCAGCATGATGCTGCAGCCAACATCATTACCTGTGAAGATAGTGTTCATTTTCATGTGCGGTCTTATATACAAAAGATAATGGTTTTGCATGTAGACCAGAAAGTACAGGTTGGGTTTAATCTGATCAGACCAACTCCTTCCATTCGTTCAGAGCTGAGCTCAGTGTTTGCAATGTAAATAAAATATTGAAAAGTTGAAGAAGTATCAATACTTTTGTAAGGTGTGGCCAAAGCTTGTCTAAGCTGCGGTTGTTTCATGTGTCTCTATATGTGTTTGCATATTAGGTTGAAGTGTTACCTCAGTAGTAGCTTCTAAAGCCATTGTTCTTTTTCTTGCTGCTGTTCTGCACAGTTGCAGCAACATTTAACTAAAAGCAGAACTTATAATTATTGCAGTGATTGATAAAAAAATAAAAAAAAGATTGCACAGATGCACAGTCTGCACAGTTGTTTATCATTTAAAATGAACCCTTATCTGCCAGGTTATAAAAATACATACTAACTTAACCCACAAACTTGCTTTGTGTCGCTGTGCTCAGTATAAAAAGCTGACTGCTGGGAGTCTGCTTATCCATTGGCATAATTTCTGCCCTACTCAGTGAGACTGAATAGGAGCAGGATACAAAGGAAACAGGGCTCACTGGTAGCACACACCTCATGTCCTGCATGCCTGTTTTTGTCTACTTAATCCACAACTTAGAACAACATCACAGCATCCTAAAAGAGTTTGTTATCCCGTTAGCCAGACTGTTAATCCCTGCTGCTGCTTGCCCTCATGCTTGCTGTGAATCATTCCATCTGTGTACAAGTGACTTAAAAAGAGAGCAACACTGCCGTGAAATTACTGAGGGAGAGTTGATACGAGGAAGGGCTGCAGTAGCAACCAAGTGTCAGGTTTTACCATTTCATGTTGAGGTCAAGTAGGGAGAAGAAACTCTTCATACACATTTTAATTAAATTGTAAGCAGTGCTCTTTAAGCTTTTTCAACAAGCTGTTCTGAATTAAACACCTTGAGCTTATTTGCAAGGAATAAGCCAACAAGTCTTCTATATGTGCAGAGCTGGCTTCCAAATATAGGTGGACTCATGTGCATTCAAATTCATGACACACAATTTTGTTTTGTATTTTTTTTTTTTTTATATGCAAAAACCATTTGTTGTTTTCTTACCAACCTGTTGTTGGTCTATAACATAAAATAAAATCAAGTTTCTAATTTTGAAATGTTTTTTTTTATCTTTCTTCAAAAACAGATTTGTGCATTTGAGATCATGATATCCTCTGTAATTGATATACATCTCCCCAAAATATTGTGTCTTGCAGGCTCACAGGAACCATTGTTTAAGTCACCTGGGAACAACTGCTCAAACCATTTTGAGGGTTCCATTCATTGGGAAGCAATTAAATAAAAGCTCCAGTCTGCTTCAAACAAGTGATATTTCTTTCCCGTAAGAGGAGTCAGACACTCTCGGTTTTACGCATGAGCATGAAAAACTCACTTTGGGTTAGTAAAAAAGGACCAGGTGGTTCCTTTCTTTTTTCGACTGCGGTGGACCATTGGACAGAGATTCTGCTTCCTGTTTGGCGTGAAACAGTCTGTGTTGCAGATCTACTGATGGTGCGAGAACTTTCTCAGGAGCATCATTTGCTGTTGGAATAAGAAAAAGGACTAAACAGGCACAACTGTGACCAAAGATGGCACAAAAGCTCAAGGAAAGAATAAAGCAGACACTGTACCACAAAAATAATCAACCGGAGCTCTTTTGAACCCGACTACAACACTCGCCTTATAGTCTTTTTTTCTTGTTTCATTGCTCTCAAGATGTAAATTGTTTGAGGGGTTATTTTTGTTTTTGCTCCTTTTTTAAATTTAAACTAACAGGATAAGCTTTTTTTTCTGTCTAGAGAATGGGCAGTGTATAATTCTGAAATAAAGGGCGCGTTATTGATAAGGGGCACTGGGGAGAAGGATCCTTTTCAAGTGCTTTCATAAACTACAGAAGCAGTTCAACTTTTAAGGATCTGACTAACTTCACCAGTTCTTGTATATTTAATTATTAGAGCAGGTTTAATGTTTGTACACACAAAAAGATGGTTTGATTTTAATAGGGAGAATGGGGAATTTCCAGAAACTTTCTCTTCCCACCTTGGGAGCTGATCTAATTGAAAAAAAAAAAAACAGCCTTTCAGAGTTACTCATATTTTCATGCATGCTGTTCACCTTATTTTAGGTACAATTTTTACAAGTTTGCAAATACTGTATTCAAGTGATAAAACCCTTTATCTCTGTACACATAAAGCCCTGAAAGGTTTCACCTGTTTTATATTTTGAACTGGCAAATAATGCCATTCACTTGTTTTTAATGCTGGGGCTGAGGATGAAAAGCATATAGCTCGTTTAGGGTGTGATGTCTCGTCTGTTTGTGTTAAAAACTGAAAGGGGCCGACTTCTGCTACTAGGACAAGGTGACCTGAATGTAAATGCTTGTAGGCGGGCTCGCTGTGAAATTCAACTTGTACTGTGTGTATTGGCAGTAAGGTGTTGGGAGTCCATGTACACTGTTAGACTGTTTGTTACCATTTTAGCTAAGTGTGGATTTGGTTTTCTAACAGCTGGTGTGGTGTTAATAAAGAAGTATTGGGGCATTCCTTTTTTTGAGGGTGGATATTTTAATCATAGGGTGGGGGGGGGGGGTATTACTATGATTTAAAAGACAATACGGACGAATAAAGATTTGATTGTAGCTCTACATAGAGTAATGTATGACAAAACAATGGATCAAAAACATTAATTTAAGCATCAATAAATTGTGTTTAACTCTGAAACTGTGTTATCTCTTTAGAATTGAGGGACTGTATATGCAGTGTGAAAAAAATGTTTTCAATAGCTCACTGAGAGGATTTTATTTTGTATTAGGAGCCATCTTTGTATTGGTTTCATTAGGTTAATTTAGTTCTAAAGCGTGGTGTTTTACTGATGCAAGGCCTCAGTATGCTGATGTCTATGCTGTGGACATAAAAAACAACTATGTGACCTGTTTTTATTTTCTTTTGGTTGGGGATACTTAAAGAACATCAGATAGGGTGCAAAATGACGTCCCGCACTACTTCTATGTCAGATGATGGGGGGGGCTATAAAAGATCCTTTGATATGATTGGGAATAGTTTTTTTTTTTTTTTGTCAATTTTGTTTAAAATGTGTTTTCACTTGAGCAGACTTTTTGATGTACAATTCCTACTAACAGAGTGAAGCCATTGAAAATGTTAATATTCTAGCACTTTGGTTATTCAAGGTCTTTTAGAGGCTATAGCAGCAAATGATGCCACCACAAATGTTTCAGACATCTTTAAAAGATTTCAAACAAAACTTTAAAAAAATAAATAAAAATGCAAATATTTCGCAGTATTGCTGTTTCTGCTCTCATTTTTGTGTCTATAAATGGTTTTCTATGTAATGAGTCCACCTCACTTGCAGAACGGCTTTGTGGTCGTCGCTAAAAAGTACTGACTTTGTGGTCATTCAGACTCTTTATAACTTTGCATCCACTCTTCTTCCATTATGCTTGGAGATTTTGCTTCAGTGCTTTCATATAGTATTTTCTCTAGCAAAAAAAAATAAAAAATACTAAAACATACAACAACTAAAAAAACAACCTCACAGAATTATGCTGCCACCAACAGGTTTGACAGCTTTGAGTGGAATTTATATTCACTTTTTTCTGAAGAATACTCTTATGTGTTTCCCAAAGACAGAAGTAGCTTTGCTTCCCCTTAGCTTTGTACACAGCCTTTCCAAATGATTACAACTTGTGACTTGTCAAATCCAAATTAGTAATGTAGATGTGTGCTGTGCTGTTGCTCGCCTGGATTGGACAAGTTAGAAATCCAGAAGGTTAATGTTTTTTTAATATACATGCAAATTCTTGTGGGTATATTACAAACAGACGTATGTTCAATTGTACCCTAATTTTAAACATATCTAACAGGCATTTAATACTGTCTTTACAGAAGTTCTGGATCTTAAAACATTCCCTTAGATTTTATTTCCTTTCTTATTCAAATGTTATATGTCTATCTGAAGGCTGATATTCTGTGTGTAAATTCAGTCATCCAGTGGAATGCTCCACTCTCCAGCTCCTAAAGGTAGATGTTAGCCACTGTGGGGGTAAACTGGTGAGCCCATGGCACAGCCATCTGTCCATAAAAGCTGTCATTATATTTGATAGACATGGTTCATAGGCAGGGGACTAACATGTCAAAGCAGAAGGTATTAAAGAAGCCCAGTCTTTCATCGTGAAGGAAATATTCAAATTTTGGACAGAGAGGATATATGGTTTGAAAGAGGTACCATTTTTGTCAAGAGAAAAGTTATCACTAAAAGTAGTAGGAGGAGGATTGCAGTTTTAGCTTCCAAGCATTTAGAGTTCAGTCCTGGAACTCGTTCCAAAGAGGTTACACAAGCACACTCATCAATATTCAATAGCAAAACTCCAAACCTATACACAACAAAAGACTCCAACAACCCAGGAGAACAGCAGGTGGGTTTTTTTGGTTTGCATCTGACTTAGGATTTGCTTAGTAGGATGGCCCTCCATGCTAGTGAAATAACTTCAGCAGACCGACTGCAGTTTGCTCTCTTGCGAGCCGTCAGAACTGACAAAGACATGCAGATAGGTGTCAAAACATCCACATAAAACCTGAGTGAAAGTCCAGTTAGCTTCCATTTAGCACTGTTTTGTGACATATGATGTTTTTCTGATGTCACATATGCTCTCATTACCATTTCTGCTGCATTATTTTCAGCTCTCATACAAGTTGTATATTATCTATTCTGGTTCATCTATGTCCTATAGTATATCAGTTTTCTAAACATCCAATTTCTCCACTGTAGATAGACTATAGCCATCAACCAAGCCCCCCCCTGACTGGGAATCAAACCCAGGAAACTGCTGCAGGGCTTTTTTACTAAAACTGCCCCTCCATGCAGCCCTAAATTATGGAGTAGATTTTAAACCCCAGGTTGTTAAAATTTCACCTTGATATCATAAACAGGCTGTTAAATGTAAGCTTGATGCTCTCCTCTTTATTAAGGAGTGTTAACTGATTTAGAGTTGTTAACTGTAGCCAGAGAAAGATTCAAACTTTTAAGTGAATATAAGGAGGTTTGTAATTGGACCATTGGTCAGGAAAACAAAACTAAATATCAGCAGAAAAGGAGACAGGAAGCTCCATCCCTGCAATACTGATACCTGATAGACTCGGAGTGTTCTTGCTGCTATGGCAGCCCTGTCTGCTAAATCACATATTATTTTACAACACATTATCTTCTTGGTCTGTGTGTGAGTTTCTTTCCAGGGGAACATGTGGCATCAGGACACACTTAGGGGAAAGCCAGTCAGCAGCAGCAGTGTCATGAGTTTAGCAACTCAAGAAACAGCAGATCTCCCATGGCTCCCATGTCTTTTAGAATTGTTTTCATGGTTTTGGTTTAAACCCTGGAATGTTTAAACATATAACCCTGTCAAGCTTTTACATTCATACATCCCACTTACAACACTGAAGTTATCAGAACCTGAATCTCTACGTTGTTCCCAAAAATGAGCTGGAGTTCCTTTAGGCTTGGAAAAAGTCGACCTTAATTTGTGACGTTGGATGGAGCTTAAAATTGTTTTTAATCTCTTTCAAATACTCCCCCTCTAAAGCTGATTTTAGAACCCTATTACTTGGACAGTCCTTGTTTCCTAACATATTAAACAAGAAACGATAGTTTCTTGTTAAATTGATTGCTTATTGATTGCTTATCATTTTAACTTTATATTTCATTCCTTGTTTCTTTGTATTATTTGTTTATATTCTATCCGTTATTCACTTTGGTCGCTCTTTGTTTTGTAAAGTGCTTTTACATTTTTACACTATAATCATTCTGATAAAAAAAATGTAAACCAAATACATTTGCTTCTGTTCTGTCACTGAAAATTTGCATTATTTTTTCATAAAAAAACTATATATATATATATATATATATATATATATATATATATATACACATTCCCCCGGGGAGCAGTGGCCTGCCATTGTGCGTTGCCTGGGGAGCAGTGTGGGGGGTTAAGGGACTTTCTCAGGGACCCAGAGTGACAGTCTATGGCAGTAGAGCTTGGACTTGGAACCTCAGGATTCCAAGCTATATGCCCTAACCTAACCACTAGGTGTTAATTTAGACAGTTTAGAGATGTCAATTAACCTTTAATTTTTTTTGCCTTGTGACACTTACAATTTCCTTCATAAACAAATAGTCCTTTGTCACATTTTCTAGTCATGCAATAAGCTTGACTCTCCTAGGGAAGAGAATTAGGACCACTGAAAAAAAATAAATTAATAAAATTTTATTTTAGTTTAATATGGGAAAAAGTCAGAATTCTGAGATTAAAGACAGAATTCTGAAAAAGAAATTTGAATTCTGAGAAAAAAAGTCCGAATTCTGAGGGAAAAATATCCGAATTCTGAGATTAAAGTCCGAATTCTGAGATTTAAGTCAGAATTCTGACCTTTTTCCCATATTAAACTGAAATAAAATGTAAAAATCAGTTAAAATATTTTTCCCGCAGAAGCCGTTATATATTATCTTTTAAACACATAAAGTACTAATGGGTTGCTGTTTTTTTTTTTTTTTTTTTTTTTTTTTGAAGTCGCTATCCTCTAGGAAGTTCTGGAGACATCCTGGTGGGGTGGAAGGCCGGAAAGATTGCATGTGGATGGTCGTTTGGTGCATGGCGCGTGTTTTGAAGCTGCTTATGGAGAAATGTCTTGGGCCGTGAGTAGTGAGGAAACAGGAAGCGATTCTTGTGGGATGGAAGAGGGAAATAGTGACAATGAAGGTTGGAAGATAGCAACATCAAAAAATGAGAAAAAGCGGAAAAAACAGAGATCAGTTCAAGGGGAATCTAGTTCAGAACAATCCAGTGATGATCATTCCATACATTCCACAGCACAACAAAATGAATTCAAAGTCATATTCAAAGTCGTTAATCAGGCAGACTCTTTTACAAATTGGAATCCGGTTCACTTAACAAAAACCATCAATAAACTTGTCGGAGAAGTCAGAGGTGCCAGAATTCTGTACAGTGGAGACCTGCTAATTATCTGCAGAGACAGCGCCCAGCAAGGCAAAGCAATACGGATCAACAAAATTGACGGGATAAGAGTTCAGTGCAGCTTAATGGAGAACAAAAAGTTCAGCAGGGGAGTCATTGGAGGAGTTCCTCTAAAAATTTCTGAAAAAGAGATTCTGGAAAACATAAGAGGTGCAAAAGTAAAAGAAGTAAAACGGTTAAAAACAACAAGAAACGGAGAAAGATCTGACAGTTTATCTGTGCTAATTAAATTCGAAGAAGAGCAATTACCAAGCAAAGTATTCATCGGTTACATAAGCTATAATGTCAAAATCTACAATCCTCCACCATTGAGATGTTTCAAATGCCAAAAATTCGGTCACATTGCAGCAGTTTGTAAAGGGAAACAGAGGTGTGGAAGGTGTGCAGGAGAACATGAGTACGGAAAATGTGGAAAAGAAGCTAAAATAAAATGCTGTAATTGTGGTGGAGAACATACTGCTGCCTATCGCGGCTGTGAAGCAAGCAAAAGGTCTGAGGAAATTAAAAAAATGAAATTTGAGCTCGGAATAACCTACGCTGAAGCTGCAAAAAGGATCCCATCTCAGTCAGAAAAACCCAAACCTACAGTTCAACACACAGCAAATTCCAAACCTCTAGAGAAATCTCTAAAAATTGATGAAGACTCACTTATTGTTAAAAAGACAAATTTTGTTCTTTTCATGGTAGAAGTTATTAATTGTACTGCACAGACAACAAAAAAAACGGAAAAAATCAAAATAATAGTGAAGGCTGCAGAAAAATATCTGGACATTAAAGATTTGAACTGGGAGATGGTTGGAAGTATGATGGGAGGACCGATGGGACCATCAGAAACTGGCAGAGTTAAGATGACCTAGAGTAAATTAAAATTATATGGGCAAATGTGATTTAGTATTATGTTGGTTTAAGTTACACAGGTTTTTTTTTTTTTTTTTTTTTTTTTTTTTTTTTTTTTTTTTTTTTTTTTTTTTTTTTTGGGGGGGTGAATCGTTTCCTGTTTTCTTGCTTTACTCCATATCAGTTGGTGGCGGTAATGCACAATTCACAAGTCTGCCAACCGCCATAAAATCCCATAAGAAGAAGAAGACATCCTGGTGGGGTCGCTGTGTCCGTCGCCAGGGCAAGGTCACACCGTGCATCGTTCTGTCGTACTCGCCCCTCGCGCACACCGCTCAAGCTCCAGTGCTCTTCCCCTCCTTCCCTCTCCAGTTACTGCCGCACAGCCATGGCGGACAGCGCGAGCGAGAGCGACACTGACGGAGCGGGGAGCAGCTCGGCCACCCCGATGTCCTCCTCCGCTTCAAATTCTGGGAAACCAAGTATAGTCATTTCACAGTTTCGCTTGGAGGAGCTAACGAACCGTCTTGCATCGTTACAACAAGAGAACAAAGTTCTGAAAATCGAGCTGGAGACGTTTAAACTAAAGTGTAAAGCCCTGCAGGAGGAGAATCGGGACCTCCGCAAAGCTAGCGTCACCATTGTGAGTAATGTTAGCCAGCTAACTAGCTACATGCTGTTATGATTCGACTATTTAGCATTTGTCTTTCGGTTAACCGTGGCTGTTGGTATTAATTCAGTTAGGACTGGTTCGTTCTTGAAAGAATGGACCGTCATTTGGTGATATTACTTAATGGTGAACACATACGGTGGATGTTTTGCTAGCTTTGCTATCACTTAGCTTGTTGCTAAATTAGCCAGCAGGGTAACGTTTGCAAGGTAGTCGGGCAATGACTGGCAGCTACTTTGCTTTGTTATGCTACGTTATCGCTAGCACAAAGGCACGTTCACCACTTTTAAATTGTTTGCTAATTGATTACTCAGTGTAGTGTCATTCATTATTTCCAATAAGGTTAGGATAGATGAGTTGACAAATAGCCGAGCAGTAATTCTGGCACATGGTGACGCTTGATATGTCTCCATGCGGGGTTAATGAGCCAAAGCTTCGCAGTTATGTGTAAGCGATCTGCTGGATGGATGGATGGGGGTATATCTAGGCCAAACTTTACGACGTAGCGAAATACCAACCTATTAACATGGCGAGGTCAACTCCTCTGCTCCTCTTTCACCCCATAGAAATATTGGGGAATGTTGTTTCGTTCATATTGCAAAGTTGGTATATTGTCACTGCTTGATAAAGCACTTTTTAATCATGAGGGTGCTAAAGAATGAGAGATGGGGCGGATGAGAGTGGCAAGGACAGAAGTATGATCACACTGTAATGCTAGCAGTTGGGTTTCACATGCCACCCTCTAGTGCTGCTTTCCTTTCATTATAACCTCGCCCTCTAAAGCTATACCTTCTCACTTACTGGAAAAAAACACTGACTTATCTGTAGCCAGTTCTAGTGGATCCCCATAATCTGTTTTTCAATGGTTTCTAATGTTCTGACATTCTTTTTGCAGCAAAGATTTATTCCCCTCAAAGTTGGTTACTCCATTTTTGCTGTAAATCGATTAATATTTATGTTTTTTCTTTTCAATTAATTGATTAATAATCGGATAGCCAAAGGTACCTTAACGCCTTATAGGGCACTCGGTGAAATACTTTGAAAATCAAAATTTCAGGCCAATAGTGTTATTGGAATCCAGGACAATACAAATTATCTTTGTAACATTAAAAAAATATGGATATTTTAATGGATATGTTAATGTATAACAAGAAATGCTAACTTCCCCCAATATATTAAGAAATATAACAAAAAAGCTTCTATGAGAAATTCATAAAAAACACAGAGTGAAAGAAACACATTTTTTGGCTACAACATAACCTTAAAGAGGCATTAATGCCTCTGGATAGAGCATATTGACAGAAGTGCAAAATGTTTATATATTTTTTACATTTTTGATATAATTAGTTCTCTATGTGGGTTGTTCTGTCAGCTAAAGGCACGTATTAGTCTTTACATTCCATTTAACGAATCTCGTAACTAAATTAAATGGCAAATATTTCAATAATTGATTAATCCGATTAATTGTTTCAGCCCTAATAAAATCCTTAACTGTTGTATATATTGTTGAATTTTGAATTCCATTTGTTGTCAATGTAGTATCAGGTCTGTATTATCCATGTGGAATCAAAGCCACCTGCATTCATGGTTATGCTCATTGGTTTGCTGTTCCAGTTTAATTAGGATAAAGATGGAAGCACTGTGCTGTGCCAGGATGCTAAGAGTCTGTTCAACTGATTTTTTTTTTCTGGCACTTTCCTGGGTTTTATGTTGCACAGCAAGCAAGAGCAGAGCAGGAGGAAGAATTCATCAGCAACACCTTGTTCAAGAAGATCCAAGCTCTCCAGAAGGAGAAAGAGACCTTGGCAGTCAACTATGAAAAGGAGGAAGAATTTCTCACAAATGAACTGTCAAGGAAACTTATGCAAGTGAGTGATCTGAAGAATGGTCAGAGATTAATACTAAAAAGTTTGCCCTGTTAAGAGGTTTATTATGGCACTTTTTCTGAGGCTGTGCATACGGATGTTGATGCTTTTAGCTCACCATAAACCGGTGGTTTAAGCTACAGTCGGATTTGATTAACACTGTTTGAAAATGCCAATATCTTTTGGTTTCAATCAGTTTACTTGTTAATAAAGTTTTTTTTTTTTAGGAAAGTGAAACTGCCATTGAATTGATTTGCCCATACGAATGATCCCATTTGCTTCATTATTTGTGGACAGACACACTTTACCAAATTCAGTTATTTTCATGGGTTTTTAAAATTTCTGTGATTTGAAAATCATTACTTATCCCTGTCTAAATTAAGCTAAACCCTTTTTTTAAATTCCAATTGTTTATTATTATTATTATTTTTTTTTTAAACTTAGCTGATCCTTTTTCATTGCCTGGTTTCCTTTGTCTTTTCCCTCCCTCTGTGTTTTTTTTTTTTTTGTATTTTAGCTTCAACATGAGAAGGCGGAGTTGGAGCAGCATTTGGAGCAAGAACAGGAGTTTCAGGTCAACAAGTTAATGAAGAAGATCAAGAAGATGGAGAACGAAACCATCTCAAAGCAGCTGACTCTGGAACAGGTAGAGTTTCGTACTTTGGAGACAGAAGCATTGAGTAGATACAACCTGTCCCTTAACTCAGCTTGACTTTCAATGCCTTAGCTGGAATCTTATCCATAGTTCTTCCCTCAACATATTTTTATATGTGGTAGCATCAGACTCTGAACTTCACTGAAGCATTTTCTTTTAATAATCAATGGGTATTTTTTAGCAGATTAAGGTATATCAGCTGCCTATAGCTTGCTCTACATAATCCAATTCTTTTTGTCTTTCTTCAGTAAATACAGCTTAGTTTTGCCAAAAACAAAGATCTTATTGTATCTTTTTATATCGACCATAGTACTATTATTCATGCAATGACTGTGGCCTTATTCTCACCACAACCTCACACTGAAGCCATAATGGATTGGGATGCTTTCATATGCCAAAAAGAGGCTTTTCTTTTTTGCCATTCTCAGTTTCTAGCATGCTAAGATTAATCAGCTTTTAAACATGATTGGAAAAGCCTGAGAAGAATTTCGCAGACTCTTGGTCTGTTTTTTTTTTTTTATTCACAACATTTAAGTTAGGATAAGGATCTGATAATGCATAGTATAAGCAACCATGCTACTCGGAGAGAAGGAATCCATTAATATTAAAGGAACCTAAAAGCCTGATTATAGTTTTAAAAATTCCTGCAGAGACAAAGACTTTTTGAAGAATTTTGAAGACATATGCTGTGATTTGATCAAATAAATTTGTTGTAGGCCTTCGATGAGCATTGCTACATTTGAGGCCGAGGCCATAAGCATACCTGGATTCAGCTGTTTATATGGTGGAAACACCCTCTGTGTTTTGTGAAGTGTTCTCTCTGCACACTACCGTTGTTCCACAGTTAGTGGAGATGTTCTAGCAGGTCCATCCAAAAGGGTCGCCCACCATCAGTTTTTGCACCCACCGCTATGAGCTGATGACTTTGTGCTCCTTAAGCCCAGTCTGTTTATATTTTCAGAAAACTTCCTGTAAATTTTCCAAACAAACCAGCAGGCTGTCATATTATTCTTGTCTTGGGCTCCTTTTCGCTGCTCAGTCTCCTCCTCCCCCTCAGGGATCAGAATGCTAGAGCTTTTACAGAATGACAGGTACACACACCCACCAGCAAAACAAGCCAGTTTCTTCAATTTTGCAACAGTCTACATTGCTGAGTCTGGTTGCAATTTGGAGTTTCAACTCTGACCCCTTGCCTTAGGGGTGTGTGCCGTGCATATTGCTTTTACTCTGCCAGGGGCTTTAATAAGGAGAGTTTTTGTCACTTGGAAAGCATGGCTTTTTATTTTCTAAAGATTTATGAAGTATTTTTTTCTGGTTTTAACAAGGACTGCAAGAACCGGAGACAGTTAATTACTCACTAGAAATTCTCTCTACCAGTTCTGCTTCAGTTTCTTGGACACAACGTTCTTCTGTAACCGTATGCCCCCATGTTCCGCTCAGGATCCCTGTGTCCTGCCATGGTTATGATAAACAACCATGACTTCTGTGTGGATGTCTGTTAATGCTCTAAACTGTCAGACTACTTTGACGTAATGGAGGACTCCTGTGCACAAGAAGACCTCATCCAGCATCTGCAGAGAACGTCATGTCCTGAAGGATTGATGCGTTCTTAAACATGTGTGATAAGTCTTAGTCTGATGTATGTAGATCTCTTTATACGGAAAGTTTTCTTAGGGTGTTGTCCTTTGGTTTGAAGACAGATTTTTTTTTTTTGTGAGTGCGCATTCAGTTGGCACCATCTTGTTTTTTTCTGAAATGTATTTCTTTGTTTTCCATTTCCAGTTGAGGAGGGAGAAGATTGACCTTGAGAACACGTTAGAGCAAGAACAAGAAGCACTTGTCAACAGGCTATGGAAGCGGATGGACAAACTGGAGGCGGAGAAAAGGTAGAAAATAAAATCAGCAGCGGCTTTGTTTAAACAAAGATGTTAAAATAAAGATAGATCCTTCAGGATGGTGTGTTGCTGGTTTGAAAAATCAATGTAACTTATATAGCAAATTGTTTAAAAAAAAATTTTTACCTAACCTGTTGTCTCCAAACACTGGACATTTCTTTTTTGGCAACAAGGTCAGTCCTTTAGCATAAGACCTCTTTTGCTCTCGACAAATAACATAATCCGTTTTCTAAAAAATGTAAATAAGATAGCTATCTAGACGAGTTTTATCATGCTGGCTGTGATTAAAATCAAGGATTTCCCGGATAAACTCTTTCTGTCGGCTTGCTTAGATCAGAGACTTTAGTTGCAGGCCAAAATATTTTAATATACATCTTTTGGCTTTTATCAAACCAATTTCCAATATCAATATCAGATTGGGACATCTCTAATTAAAGTTTTGTTCACAGCAAAGATGTCTTAAATGTTATACAGAAGCTTGAGACACACATATTTTATATTTGTAAATCAGTTCCAAGTTTTTATTTGTAAAAGCAGAAATGCAATTTTATAATTAAATTATGTTAGCCCTTTGGTATCTTACGTTTTAATTTCTGTAGACAGAGCTACAGCATTCAAAAAACTTTGTCTATTTAATCTAATAAACAGCATCTAGAAATAAAAAGTCTTGGAACTAATGTAAATCCTTGCAGCATTTTATCACAGCTCAATAGGACTACATTTGTTTTGAAAATGTTAAAGTTCTTAAGGGTCATGCTGTTCTTTTTTTATAGTTACTTCAGTAGCAATATGTTTTGTTTTTATCTTTAAGTAAATGAATAAAGCCTTTTCTATTCAACTAGAATCCTTCAAGAGAAGTTGGACCAGCCTGTATCAGCTCCTCCTTCTCCTCGAGATGTTTCCATGGAAATAGACTCACCAGAGAACATGATGCGGCATATCCGCTTCCTGAAGAATGAGGTGGAAAGACTCAAGAAAAGTCTGCGTACCACTGAGTTGCAGCGTAAGTGCTCGCTGTCCTGCAGGTGTGGGGTTGGCATTCAATATTAATCCATTATTAGTAAAACTAACTGGTAAACAAAGGTGAACAGTTTTTTGTACCCAGTGTTACTTTTTCTTATGTTGTCTATTCAAAATGATATCAGTGTTGGATTGTGACATGAAGTTTTGCACGCTCTTTTGTCCTAACTTTACAAATGACTAAAATAATAATGCTATCTCTACATATAATTTTATGAGGGCATCATTTATATTAATTATTTAAAAAAAGGTAGCAGTGACATCACAACACAGGAGAATACAGCTACTGTTGGGAGGCTGTATTCTGTAACTTGGATTTTGTCTGCGCTCCTTCTTACCACTAGATGGAGATATAACACAAACTTTTTTTTAACAAACTTGAGGTAAAGGACGCTAGGATAAGGAGTCACAGCATTCCTCTTTGTTTGTCTTCTAAACCAGCTGTGTTATTAAAGCCTGGCATTGACCCACTTCTTAGCTGGAAAAGCAACAGCAGTGTAATGCACACAATGGGTTGTATTGAGTTTACTGGGACATTGTTCACCACTTTCAGATAGATGTTTTTGTGTGCTAGTCGGTTGACTCAGTTGATTTGGGTGCTCTGTATATTATATAAAGCTGTTATTATATATATATATATATGTTTCTGTCTAGACACTGAGAAGCGGGCCCAGTACATAGAAGAGGAGCGGCAGATGCGGGAGGAGAACATTCGGTTGCAAAGAAAGCTTCAGAGAGAGATGGAGCGCAGGGAGGCTCTATGCAGGCAACTGTCTGAGAGTGAATCCAGTCTGGAGATGGATGATGAGAGGTGAAAAAATGCTACATATCACAGTACAGAATATCACTTGGTTTAAAAATAGTTTTTACATTAGGTTAGTACAAAATTATATTCAACAGTAATATCTGTAGATAAGTCTGATATTGTGAGGGTCCTTGCTGATGAATTGGAAGATCATAATAAATGAAAGCATTCTGCTTATTGTCCTATAAGTTTGAACTTGAAATTTAAATAAGTCAAGATCTGGAAAAGTTAAAAAAAAAAACTAATAGATGATTTATATAGTAAGACCGCCATTATAAGGTTAACTAGGCGTTCAATATAGCTTCCTCTCTTTCGGATAGAAAACAATTATCATGCAGACATCCACACTTCATGGAGCTTTTGTATTTCGTGCTGTTCTGACCTTAAACTGCAGTGTTTTTTATTGGGTTTTTATGTAATAAAACAGAACAAATGGAGCACAACATTGAAGCACAGGGGGAAAAAGGTACAAAGGTTTTCTAAAGTTTTTTAAAATAGAAATCTGATTAATGTGATGTTAATATGCATTTAGCTCACCAGTCAAAACCTGTAGTTAGCTGAACCATCTTCATTGCGGATAGAAGCACCCGTGCTTTTAAGGCACAGTGGATGCAGAAAGTAACTACAGAGATAAGCCTTTTCCACCTTTTAATGCTGTTAAAGGCGCAGTGGAGGTTGCAGCTCCAGTGTTCCTCTTTAGAAATGGAAGCACCCAGGATGTCAGCATTTTTGTCCTCCACTACATTAATAAGTTCTGTGTGTGGGAGTGGCCCTATGACAATGGCACACTGCACTGTTAAGAATCCAATCTTTACTGTAAATTATGAGACTAGGAGCGTCTTTTAGTGAAAATGTCTGTATGTGGCAGGAACTGGAGAACATCTGGAAACAATATGCTAGATTTATGTCCGTCTATCATCCCATTCGTTAAAATTCAAGAATGTGTTTCAATCGTACCCCGTATTTACTCTGTGTCCAGCTTGGCTGTGCTGCGAACTTCGTTGCAATTATAATCTATAAAAGCATTTGCACATCTTCCAAACACCAATGGAGGGCAGTTGCGGGCAGATGGCATGCTGTGAAAATTTGACTCAATTTCTTTTTTTGTCAAACTGCAGAAATCACCTCCAACTGGAACTAAAGAATCACAGAATCCCAATTTTCAAACCAACTGACTGAAGAGAGAGATTTGCTTAAACTAAAAGACCTTTCACATCTGGGATCAACCACAGAGCTGCAAATGTTGCTTTAACCAAAACATAATGATTAAAAAACAAATGTATCAAAGTATGCAAAAAAAGTAGTCTACTATCCAGTTATTGAATATAATTGATTAAAAATATCTTCATGCCAAAAACTAAAAATAAAGCAATTTCAACAGTTACAAAATCTTCCCGATAAGAACTTTTGGTCTAACTGCCATATTTATCTCTGGCTTTTATTATGTGATCTGCACATGCTCCTTTACCTCCTAAGGGCTTCTCAGTGCAGATGGATAGGGGTAAATTGGAGGTCTTTGGCGGCCTTTAAAAGGGTTTCCACCAGGTTTGCCTTTATTAACTCCTCCCCTCATCGGTCCTGACCATCTTTTTTTCCTGCTAATATAAACGTATCAACACAGCATGCCTCTACCACCACCATTTGTCACTTGGAGGATTATTGTATTCAGGGTGATGTGCATCTTTTATTATTTTTTACCACATACTGGCCAAAAAAAAAAAAGTTCAGTTTTATTTGCATCTGATCAGAACAAAATGTTTTACATGGCTGCCAGTTGCCCTATGTAGCTTGTGGCAAACTCCTTGCTAAATACTACCTTAGCATAAAAAATGCTAACACATAAACCTTGAACACATAAACCAACAACTTCATATTTTAGATGTCTCTACCTTAAGCACACCTGATCTAATGCTGTAAAATCACCTTTTTTTTTTAGGTCATCTGTGTGGAGGCAGGGAAACACTTATAACATGTAGGCCAGGGTTCAGAAACTGTGGTTTAAAGCTTGGAATATTGTTTTATTTCATAATTATGCTTCTCCATTAGCTGTCTGCTGTCCTCCTTGGTCTTTATGATGGTTAATCTTTACTACTGTTCTCTAACAAACCTCTGAAGCCATCAGAGAACACTTTTATTATTGTTTGCATTAAATTATGGACAGGCTAACTATTTACTAATTAGATGACATCATCAGACACTTGTTTGCACTGGATCCTTAATTGTTGGTATCTGAGTAAAGGGGGAGGGGCGAAAAATGTAAGCTGAAATTCTTGGGTATTTATTTTGGTAAAACGTCTGAAAACGGTGCCTCCCTTATTTTAACAATTATTTACTACTTTGTTTATGCATTTTTCTTTAAATGTGTAAAATATGCTTTGTTTTTATGGTTGTAACATGACAAAAAGTGAAAGAATTTAGGAAGTATTAATACTTTTACTGGGTAATCCACATTTGTGTTTGAGGAGTGTGTCTTCCTCTGCAAAGACCACATCAAAGTGTACTTTCTGTGCGGTTAAGAACAGCGTGTTCGAACTGTGTAATCATTTTACATCTGAAAGGCATTCTTAAAAATAACCTGGGCACATAAGCTTTACCCAGATGATTTCCTGTTATGTTCAGATATTCAAGACAAATGTTAGATTGTGCCTCCTCAAACCACAAAAATCCTCTAAACAGTCAGATATCTTAATTTGAAACCAGCATTTTTGTCTTAAGTGATTACTCTTGGCTGCATTCATGATAAATGCACATCTTTATTTGTTTGTTTTTTTTACATGAAAACAAAAAAAATATGGTTCTGCTTTAGTTTTCTGTGAAATATAAAAAAATCTAAGGCTATAGTTTTGCATCAACCGCAGCCATATTGCTGCTTGTTTAAAAAAGAGATTTGATGAATAGAACATTAGGTTGTTAGATTTTCTCTGCATGTTTTGGCTTCAGCTGCTTGTTATAAGTTTCAGTTGTAGGGCGTGGCACACCTTTGACGCCACAGACTGTTGAGAACCAACTAGGTGATATGATGATAATGACAGAAAGTAAACCAAGGCGTTCTAGGTCACTTGCTGACATTTTTATCTTTGCGAGGTGTAACGTGAGATAGCAAAAGCCAATCACATCACTCTCTATTATTAAGGAAATATCCGTTTCCGGAAGGCAAAAGGGACAGAGGCAAAACTAATTTATATTGAACAGTCAGGGGGGGAAAAGTCAATAGGAACCGGAGTGTTTATTGCAGGTTAGCAATATTGAAGCATGTTAGAATGAGCACCATATGTAAGGTAATCTGCTGCGTTTCAGACAGACTTGAAAGTAATCTCCTGTTTGCCTTTATACCACTAATCCAGCTCCCCTCGTTTTGAACGTTGCGATTAGATCTTAGCATATTACTTCATGCCTTTATCGCCATCTGTATATGAATTGAGAATGATGTTTTGGGCTTGAAACCAATTCATTTTCACAAGGTCGTCTGATCCTCTCAGATACTTCAATGAGATGTCACAAGGTCTGCGAGCGAGGACGGTGTCCAGCCCCATCCCCTACACCCCCTCCCCCAGCTCGAGTCGACCCATATCACCCGGTAAGTACAAAATGTAATAAAAAGTACCTTTGGTGTCAATTAAGAGCCCTTTTATCTTTGATCCAAGTTTTATCTTTGTAATAAAAGTTGTATATTAATTGCCCTGTGTCTAACCTGGTGCAAACGTTTATAAACAAGCTATTATGATGTTGGATGTGACTGAGTAAAGATACTGAAGAGATGTGTCTTGTACGTTTTCAAAATGTTAACAAACCTCTGATCACAATATAGACAAGGACAGAAAGTTTAGACATTTTAATAGGTGCATTTTTTCCTGAATTTAGGGAAGGAAGTGAGACACTTAACAGATGTAACAAAACAATTTGGATTTAAAATAAGAAAAAAACAATTGCATTGTCTAATAACATGTTGATATCTAATTATCTTATTATAATAGTACAAATACTCATTCCATTGTCAAATTATCTTGACCTACTCAAATTAAGTGCATTTACCCTTAATTTAAGACATTTTAACTTATTTCTAGATTGTTTTTGCAGTGTAGAATGTAGTTATAGTCACCATTATTTGTTGAATGGTTGCTTCTACAGTAATGTTACGTCATGTGACAAAAAATGCATCATTCTTTTAATTTCATTTTTGTTTTTTTGTCTTTTTCCCCACAAATTGTCTCACAGGGCTCTCATATGGAACACACACAGTAGGCTTCACGCCTCCAGCAACGCTGTCCAGAGCTTCCATTTCCCACTACAACACCCCCGCCCTGCACATTCACGGAAGCTCTTCTCATGCCGTAGCGGTAAGCAACATGCACTAATATCAATGCACAAGGAAGAATATGACTAATCTTTTTAGTCTGATAATTATACCCATTTCTTTAAAAAGTCTTGTGTAGCTTTTTAGAGTAACAACAGCATCCTAAAGGCTCAGTCCTGAATGCTTTAGATGTCTCTGCTCCAACATGGCTCAATCAAAGAGAGGACTTGGCTCCACCCCATGTCATCCAGTTCTACTGGACTCTGCTTGTGACTCATTCATTGTTTAAGGTCTGTTGAGCTGATGAAACATGCAGGATACCAGTCTTCAAGGACAGACTTATGGTACCTTTGGTTTCCAAATAATGAAATAGAAGTTGGCAGTAAGGAAAGTCTATGTGCACTGTTTCTAGAGCATAAAGAGGTTTAAGATGGTTCAATGAAAGATAAGAGGTAAACTATAAAGAGCCTACAGCCTACTTTCTTAACATATCCTGACTTACTTAATTGGCATGAAAGGAACAATTTTAGCTGGTTTTATCAAAGAACAGATCTGGTTTTTCCCTTTGAGCCACAGTAATGCGTCTCTAAGAATGTCTAATCCTGATTCTTCTTGCTTATTCAGAATATTTGGGGGTTAAGCAGTTCAGGGACACTGTTTCATTACATAACATTGTTGATTCCTGCATCCCAGCAAACTAATGCTTACATATTATCATTTTAACTTATAAATTACATTATGAGCCACATAAAGTGTTTTTTGTTTACGTTTTAGGGTATCCATGGTTTAAGAGTTTTTTTGGGGTTTTTTTTCAATATGAGCAGAGATTGGTGCCTCTGATTTCAGTGAGCAATAGAAATAAAGCACATATTTCTGCCCCCAAAATTACATTAAACCACTTAACTGATTTCTTTTCCTTTCTTTGTTCCTGCTTTGTTTTACTTTGGTATTAAAAGAAGAAGAAAAACAATCATTCAATTCCATTTTCTTCAAAAAGAAATTAGCTGGTAATGCTTTGTATTTTAACACTTACATATTCACCTCGTCTTTCTTTCTCGTTTTTTTTTTATTATTATTAAAACCAGCTAAAATATATGAAAGTGTAAACGGCTAACATTTAAAAAATATAGTGATACAGGTAAAAAAAATAATGTTTTTATTAAAAAATAAGCATAGAAAATGGCTGTATTTATGCAATAAAAATCTGTTTTTGTTTTGTTTTTTTTCCTTTTAAATATTAAGCAAGTATTTGTCTACAATGTTAGTATTTGATGTATTTTTCTTCTGTGGAGGCTAGCGGGCACTGGGTGTGTCTGTAAGATAAAAAAAAAAAAAAAAAAAAAAACGAAGCCTCTCTTTAAGGCTTAGAGTAATTAGTGTGGACCACCTCTATCTACAGAAGCTCAGCAGAGTAGGAGTATAATAAAGTGTCCTTCTATAGGGCCTTTTATCAGATACAAAGCAAATGGCAATAAAGCGGCAGCTAAATAAAGGGCCTCTGGTGATTCAGTCTCCTGGACTGTGGACCAAAGGATCAGCAGACTGTTTCAATTCTTGTAAAATCATGATGTCAGTAGCTTACCTTGAAACTATGCAACTTCTACTGGAAACGACGACTCTAATGGGCATTTCTGCCCCAGCTGTAATTTAACAGTAGGAATCTATTCATTCTTATGTGATGAATAGATCTAATAGCAGTCTCAGTTCAGACATAAAGCAGCACCATCCTGTCAGGAACACAGCACTTCTCATATAGTATTTCAGGCAAATTTTCCAAACGGAGACCTGCCAAGGAAAACTCCTGATTTTCGTTCAGATATGGCTGCCCTGTAACATTGATACCTGAAGAACCTTCTGCAGCTCATAAATGCTCCTGCATGTGCATTTTTTTTATATAACTGGTTGATAACAAAATCAGTGTTCCCTGTTTAACAAGCATATCTCTTTATATGGCTCTGTTCACGTTTCAATATACAGCTTTGTTCCGGGTTGGCAAATAACCCTATTCAGCAGTTTTATTTTTAGATTCTGTTTTGATTGCAACACCTTTATATTAATGTTATTCTGGTCACTTTGGCTTCTCATTAAAAGGCTTTTAAACTGTCGGACTGTAACTTGTTTAAGTCTCTTTTACCAACTCATACATCGCTTCAGTATTTTATCAGAAATATTTCATCTGTCTGGGGTGCAAACATGTTAAATTTCACTGTGAAGAACAACAAAATAGATTGGGGGCTACAGGATTGCAGGTTGCAGACAGCTGCACAATACAACCCACCTCAAAAAAACATAATAAAATCTGAAGAGGTGTAGATGGATTAAAGTTAGTTTCACTAAAACAAAAACATCCCAATATTTAAATCGTTAGCATCTTAGGGAGAAGTCTTTACCTTATCATGTTCCTCCTGATTTATTGTTGAGAAGATGGCTTCCTTTTATTTAATGCTGCTTTAAAGGATTATTTGTTTTAATGTTTGCAGTAGGACCGCACAAATCCACTCCTTGGCCTCCAATAGATATGATTGACATCAGTTCAACACTTTATAACTTTTTGTTCTTGGATGTTTATTCATCTCCGATAAACTATGTCTGCGTGATACCACTGCCTGAAAACATTTAGTGTTATATCGTGTTTGTTGTGGAACATGTTTATATTACAAGCATGTTTCACAGCTTCAGTTCAAACTGAGGTCACCTCCCAGATGATTGATTTAAAGGCTAGTTTTTGGGCGATATACGTCGTTTTCCTATTTTATTATAAAACCCATCAATTAGAAGGAATCAAAGATTAAATTTTTAAAACATATTGCCAAACTCTATTTCAGGGGTTGGCAACCCAAAATGCTCAAAGAGCTATATTGGACCACCAAAACAAAAAATTAAAATGTCTGGAGCCGCAAAAATGTAAAAGTTTTATATATGCCTCTTATGGCAACACGGGCTCTAAGTGCATTATCCCACTATAGAAAAGCAGTATCTGGGCTTAAATATATAATAAGCATTTATGATTAAATGTTTATCCTGGAGCAAATTTCACATCGCAGCATGAGGTGAGGGAGGAGTCGTGAATGCTCTCACCGTGCGCTGCTTCATCTGGCATCGCTTAACCGCACTTCGCTTCACTTCGCGGGTTTTGTTGCATTGATGAAATGATAAAAACACGATAAATGTTTCTATGGTAAACTTGTTTCTGTTGTGAAGAGTTGATTGAGTCATGAGGAACGAAGCAGGAACTGAAATCTCACATCCTCTGTCACCATCTTGGTGTTATTTATATTTTTAGGATTTGGGGGGAAAATGGAAGAAAGTTCACATACCTGCATCAGAGCGCTACCTGTTTGATCTGTGGACGGTTTTCCATCCTTGCAACCAAACTAGCAGCAGTATTGGAGATGCAATCCACTATCTATCCATATATCTTTGCTCTCCTCTAATTTATCCAGAAGTTCTGCAATCGCACTTTTTCTCTCACTCCCAGCTTGGTGGTCGGCTGCATATTTAGCTTGCCTTCCCTGGAAATGCCTTTCCAAATTTTAATTTTTATTTTTTGACAACCTCTCATTACTAAGCAAAAATGAAGGCCATCCTTCTGCATTTATATTGAAAGCAAATGATTTGGTCCATTCTTTGAATCCTCTTTTGTCATCAGCGATCTTCCTTTTTTCCTTTAGAAACCATGGTCTGAGACACACCTGCTGCAATATTTGCCTGGCACTGCGCCACGCTGGTTCCAAGTTATGGCCACTGATCTCCATGGCTATGACGCAAATTATTGTTTAAATTTATTTATTATACAAATGTTTACAGCATTGGAAAACATGATACATTTTTTGCATACCATATTAAAACAAACAAACAAAATAAATCGATTTTCATACATTTTTGTAAAATCTCCAGGGAGCCGCAAGGGGGACACTAAAGAGCCGCATGCGACTCCGGGGCCGCGGGTTGTCGACCCCCGCTCTAGTTTGTAGTCATTGGTTCTAAAAATAGGTTTTCATTTAGACCCAATGTTGAAACTTTAAAGAAGCTCTCTGACCCTAAAGAAGTTGGTGTTGAATTAGATGGGCCCCTCTTTTAACACATTTAAATCCAAAGGTAGAAGCATATCATAGGAGGCCTGGTAATGACCCATTCATTGGATCCAGTGTGTCAGCCAGGGCTATATTTAATGCCTGAGGACACCAGCCTGTGACAACAGAGGTGTAGTAACATGTTAGGCATGGCAACTTCAGACCAAATGAAACTGCCGTTCTAAATGTGACTTTTTTTCATATAAAGTCTTTAATCTTCTTCCTTTCTTGTTGCTCTTTCTTTCTAAAACAGAGGCCCTCCCCAAGAAGGAGCACCAGTCCTGACAAATTCAAACGTCCAACACCACCGCCCTCTCCTAACACGCACTCAGGGGCCCAGCAGGTCCAACCTCCACTTCCCCCACCGGCCCAGCCCATGGTCCAGTCCATGTCCTCGCCGGCGGCCATGTCACATCACGCAGCACCGCAGCAGCAGCCTCCCTCCCAGCCTTAACGCCTCACACGTGCACACCCACACAGTCTCTGTCTCTGCGCATGACTGCGCATTGATTGCCACGATGCTACCGCTGTAACTTCCATCTTTTCCAGCTCTGGAAGTGAAGTTCCTTACTCTTAAAGTCCACAAGACGCAGCTTCAGATGTTTTGGAGGGAAAAGGAAACAAGAAGGCGACTCGGTCTCAGTCACGGTAGCGGCCTGCCAAATCCACATGTGGCGTTACTCATCTACTCTTAAAAGGAAAGGATGGACTTCAGAATAAATGCTTCTGGGATTTGTAGGATAAATACTTGTTCCACCTTCTGTCTTGTACTTGTTCTGTTCTCTGCTTGGGACTCTAGACGGTTGGAGTTGTTGTTGTGGCGCTTCAAAGATAGCACAAACAGCACAGTTAGTGTGTTCCATGGTGGTGTTTTATTATAGGTTGGATGTTCGGATTGATGGATGTACAGCTAGAGAAGTGGATGGATGGATTGATTTTTCTTTTTTTTTTATGCCTATAATATGACACATAGCAGTAAAGTCCTCCACTCCAGCTCACCCTTTGTTTTCTAAGCCGTGTCATTATGACCAAGTTAATCGTGGCTTCGACTAGGTCTTTAAAAAAAAGAGTTGTTGTAGAAGGCTGTCGGGATGTTCTCCATCGTAGGACACAGTGCAGTTATTTTAGTTCCTGAAAGCCTTCAAATAAAGTTAAAGTTAAAAAAAATATCCATGAAGATTGACACTGGTTCAGAAACCAGAGATTAATGTCAACAACTATAATCCAAGGTGTTACAGCTTAGTCATGTACTCAGTCTTCTCTCTGATCTATCCAGTGTATTTCTGAAAGCTTCTATCATCCTAATGGATATTTCTCATCAGAAAAAAAAAGAAAATCATAAATCTCTACACTAAATATACATACAGATAGAGCATTCTGATTGAATGGTACTGTTGGCTAAATTTCTATGTATGATTAAAGCTCTTGACATGACAACACCGGCTTTGTTCGTTTTATGAGGAATTGCTACTCATTTGTAATCTTGTGAGGATTTAAAAATACACCTCCACAAACATCTGTTATAGTTTCCCTAATCGAAAATCCATTGATTTTTATGCACATATTTATCGGATTACTGTATATTTAGCCTGCTTGTAATGTCTCATTGTGGAACTTATCATATCCTTCATTCTAATGGTAATTGATGGAAAATGTTTGTGCCTTAAATAAATCTGCACCATCAAAACAACTGTGATATTTTACCAAAATTCTATAGAGGGGATTTTTGCATTACAGTTGCTAGTTTTATACATAAACAGATAAAACTGTACAGCACTTAACAGGTGAGTACAATCGGACCCCAGTGTCCTTATGGTTTGTAAACATTACAACGGTTTTTACTATGAGCTGTTTAGTTTTCTAGTTTGTCCTCTTTAGATAATGATTTGTCTGACAGGTTTGCTGCAGGATCTTAAAATCATTCAGGTAAAAACTCAATACTTACTTTCTAAAACATCTAAATTTATAGATCAAAATAAATTCTTAAATTTGAGCATTAATTCATGTTAGTTCAATAGATAAGGTGAACATTTTCTTTCTGTTACAACAAATGTTGACCAACTTAAAAAATAAAAATAAATAAATAATAATAAAAAAAAAAAAAAATATATATATATATATATATGCACAAACTATCTGTTATCACTGTGTTGCTCTATTTTAACCTACCGCATGGATTCAGGTTAGACAAGTTTGCCAGCCAATCCAATTCAATGATCGCAAGCTTATTTGAGCACGTAATGGTATATATAGGTAGTGCGAGAAGGTTTAAGACACTGCAAAACTTCATCAAAGTCACCTCTATATAGCATGTCAGAAGGATTCTTGAAATGCTGGTACACAGCTTAACTGACTTTGGAATAGTGGCAGCAAATAACCTGGCCCAAACCGCTATCGACTCCAGGGACTTCCCAATGGACCTCAAGCTGCTTACATTTGGTGGATCTATACTCTTCTTCCAGACCTTAAAGATTTATACTGAAAGGCAAATTTACTTTCATTAAGAAAGGACCGCATCAATTCTGACTTCTTTCTAAGTAGCTCAGGTAAAACACGCCTGACATTGCCTCAGGTTTGCTTAAAGGTATAGTGGGGGATGTTCGTCTTCTGGATGGGTCATCAAAATAAGTGGTCCCCCTAATTGTGTAAAGCCTGTATGAGCGATGCAAACAGCAATTTTTCAAACAGCGTGCATGAGGTTGTGCATGTGCATTTTTCTTCTAAGAGACGGCGGGTCTTTTCAAAAAAATTGAGAAAATCCTCACTATACCTTTAACTCAAAGAAAACTTCCTTCATACAATGGTCTGATGGCTCTTAAACCACCAACACTAGTTTAATTAACTTTTTGTAACAATTTTCAATGTTACTTTAATACTTTTCTATTTAACCTTTTTCCTTCTACTTTATTATCTGTATAACCAGCCATTGTGATGACCTTTTACTGCTTAATGTTGAATGAGTGAATCAACATACCAGGACATTTCTTTTCCTTTCAGTCTACGGTACTTTTCATTGCTATCACATTTTTCATTTTATTAGTATTAGATTACTCTTCTAAAGTATACCTGTACGTTAGATTTAATAAGGTATATGCTGAATCATCACGGCTGCAGAAATCGGGTGGAACGTTAAAGCCCCCAGGGTCACATGTTAGTTGCCCCACATCTCTAATATTAATTAAAATCCCTGACTTTCTTGAGGGCAAAATTGGTGCCTGTAAGGACTAGCAGTCTGGCATTCCCTTTCGCATTGCTAAACAAAAAACTTGGATATCTATGGAGTAGGTTATCCTTTGAGATTAATCTATTGTTACGCAACCAACTCGTGATGTCCTCTAAAACAGTCTTTCTTTTTGTGCCAGCGTCTAATTTTCATGTGGTCGACATGGTTTAACCGGTTCTAACTGGCTGGGTGCTGTAGGAGTGGTTTCCACAAATCAATCATTCCAGGGCCATTTAACACCATAAACCTTTTTAATGTGGGTGTAATAACAGCATGTAGGAAAAGAAAAGAAAGCAAATGAGACGCATTAGGCTTTCATTAGGTCACTGTGGGTTACTGCAGCTGATTCACACATTTGTCAGCTGAACCTCACCAGAAGTAACACATACTCAGCACTCTAGGTGTGACATAAGTATGTTTTCGTCCAAAGACTTGCTGAGAGTTCTGAAACACGTCGAGGTGTATCCTGTGTCCTGAGTTTCCTTATTGTGCTGCTGTGTTATCTCAGCAACCTGACCTAATCCAAGCAGGAATCTAGGCTGGAGGCTCAGATGGCCATGTTCTGTCACCTTTTCACCCCTCCAGCTCTCTGGAACCAGCCTGCTAAACTAAAGAGATTTATCAAGATCGTTGGGGGGGGGGCTCTTTGTGCATACAACTGTCCAACCTCTCAGAGGAAGGAACAGCAGGCTGCTGCTTCTCAGGTATCACAAAAGTCCTGGACAAAGAGAAATACTCATAACATCACGTCAGCTTGTGTATAACCGATGGGAACCTAGAGACTCTGGATTAAAACACAAATAATTCATGTTTACAAGCAGGTGTGTGGATTCTGCAGTAAATGGGCATCTGAGTGGGTGCTTGGTGTCATTGTTACAATGCATCTTATTGGCCAAATTACAAACACAATAAATATTTATCATCTGACTGTTTAATTGATGTCAATATGCCATGGTGTATAAATGTCTTTTAGATTTTGTTTTACTTATAAAGTTAATGTAATGGATCAATTTGTATTTAAAAATTATACTTTCTTTTGGTGTCCTAAATCAGTCCCTTGAGGAACGCCAACTTTCTTGGGCTTGATTTCAAAATGTTTCTATGTTCCACATTTAAGTAAATAACTCTAGTGCACTAACTTCACCCTTCATTCCTGTCTTTCCTTTCTTTTTATCTGTTTCAATATGCCATAAATGTGGGTTTTCTTAACCCCTCCTTGAAGGTTGTTATAGTTTAACACCTTATATTTAATTGTGTCACTTCTGGAGGATTTTTTTGATGGCAGGGTGCCATCGAAGGATGCAGGGATTCGTCCTGCAATAAGAGGGTTGGACGATCTATACAAGTTTTCTTCTGCTTATTTGTTGCGTCCTTTGGGCAAGACACTTCACCTCCTGCCCGCTGATGATCAGAGGCTAATGATCAGAGGCCAAGGCCAAGGTGGTGCCCTCCGACAATGAAGCTTGCCTCTGTCAGGGAATGACAGAGGCAATAGAGACCTGATAAAGAGCTATACAAGTACAGGCCAACATTAGCAGATGTTTTATTTCCTTTACAGAGGCTAAAGAAAAAATTATATGCCAAACAAATAGGTAGAAGCAAATGCTAATCAATTTTACCAGATAAAATAATCTAATCCATAAACTATTAATAAAAATTGTGAAAATAAGTTGGTTATGGTGACTAGAGTAATAGTTTTTAGATATCACTAAACTTCTAAATCAATACTGTCATTACTGGGTCACTAGCCAAAAAGCCAAAAAGTCTCGGGTCAATAAGCCATCAGAATTAATGGCCCTTTGAAGTCTGCAGTCGACATTAATTCCAGAATCGGTTAATAATCCACTCCCTCGAATTCTTTACACATTGTCCCCTACATGCACTATATCTAGTTGAAACTGGTCTGGAGGCACTTGTCAGTGAAATGCCAGTATAAAGTACGATTAACTAAGGATTATGGACGCTAAATCGTTTCACTAACCCCCCCTTCCTGGAAGTTTACCTCACTTATGGGGGGAAAAAAATGAATCAAAGATCCAGGAAGAGTTTATCTTAATAGTCAAATGCACTTTTGCGTCTGTTTACCCCTTAAATTTATGGCCTTTTATCTTCCATGTCCTAAGTTCTACGGGTTGTTTGTTCACATCAGTTTTATTTACAATCCCTCCCTACAGTGTTTTTGCTGACAATGCCTTATGCTGCGTTTGACTACATGTTTGAAAAACAGGGACAATCACTTTGGGTGATATAACTTTATGATGCCTGTGTGGTTTTACAAAGAGCAATTCTCCCATCTACTCTTACATCTCAACAGTAAGACGGAAACAGAGTGATTTTCAGGTCGCTGAGGTGATTTCATTATTTTATATGATAGAACATCATTAAATAAAAGAATTATGATAAATAAATATAAGATGCAAGCAAAAATGAATGGTTGCTCTAGCGTTGATGGGAGTTTTCATCAATACGAAAACCGTTAGTCATGCATGCCAAAAATCTGGCCTCTATGGAGTATTAGCAAAACAATAACTGTAGCTAAAGAAAGTTTCAAATAAATCCTCCACGAGGTTTGCTACAATTAAAATTATTAATTTAAAGGATGCACCATACCCAGAATAAAACACGATAGTAGGAGTATCATGCTGTGAGATGGATGGGTGTTTAGTTCAGCAACCCATGAAGAGAACCTGCTAAAAGCTGCAGATGTCTTGAGGCTGAGGCCTTGTGGCCTAGTCAAAGTCCAAACTTAAATCCAAATGAGATTTGGTGATAAAATTAAAAAGCAAAGTTTTTAGACACCTTCAGTCTAATCAGAATGAGGCTGAATTAATTTGAAAAGAGGAATGGCACAACATTTTTCCTCTCTAATTTAATAAAAACTGGTTGACATAAGGAAAATGAATTGCGGCTGTAATTAAAGCTAAAGATAGTTCCATAAATTATTGGGACTGGGACTGAATAATACTTTGTCCCTCATTTGTTTTTGTATTTTCCTCTCAACTATCATTTATGTAATACTTTTTTTTTTGGTCACCTGATCACCAGAGGTGGGTATAATTATATTTACTCAGTTACAGTTACTTGGGTAACTTTTTTTGATAAACGTTTTACTGCTCTGTACATTTAACATTTCTTTGAGTTATATAAATAAAATATGATAATATAAATGAATGACGAAAAACTGCCCGGAACAAAGACACATAGTTAAAATTTATGTCAAAATGAGACTTCTTATTTTGTCCAAGCTTACTTGAATATACCATGACATTTGAAGGTCAAAATAGATATTGCAGCTGGAGGTACTGGTTTCATAACTTTTAAAAAGAAAAATGTTTCTCCTGCCCTGATTTGATTTTTTTATGGACGCAAATACCAGAATTTGCACATAACTTTACATTTCAGTCTGTCTTTATGTCATAATTTTAAATATCTGATTTACTCAGTACTCCATTTCTTTTTTTAAACTTTATTTAAGTACATTTTTTGGGTAGCCTATTATATCCACCTCTGCTGATCACACACAATCCTAATTAGATATATAGAAAATTGTTGCTGTGATGTGATTAAATATAAACTCAAGAGATATAATACATAATATTATTATGCCAATGTAAGGGTTTTCTGATTTTTCAAGGAAAACGTATGCCTAATATTTTATTTCACCATAATTAGTCCACTAATCTGCCATCAAATCAACCTGACCCTAAATATTCCCCTGGAATCACTTCTCTCACCTGATCATGTTATTTATGGCAGACTACCCACGTGGTGCAGCATAATATTGAGTCTCACTTATCCTTTGAAGGTGTTTCCCATCTTAATCCTTTGTTTATATATATTTAATGAAAGATCGGAACACATTTCAGAATGATTTTCCTTATTTCCATATAGTTGCGCACCGCGGGGTTTCCTCTGGGTAGTGCGCCCCGGTGGGGCTGTGTGCTTCTGCTTTCCATGATCCACCAACCGGTTCAGACTGGACTGATGGCAACAAGAACAAAGTGACTGGTAGGAAGGAGCCCATTCAGCAGCACCCATCTCTGGAGCAACAACTTTCACATCCACGCACAAGCATGCAGATTATCACCAATCACTTTTCTTGAAAAGGTCCACTCTTAAAAGAAAAAAGAATCAAAGAGTTCCCCTGCGACTGAGGGAACTTTGCAGGTAAAAGAAAAAGGAGTGTTTTGCATGTGATTTTATTATTATAATTTTTTTCTATTATTGATATATGTGGCGTGAACGCGCTCCTCTTTTGGTTGCTTTTAAGCTGCGTAATTGTTTAGTTAAAAAGGGAAGAATCTAAACCAAAGCAGTCAACACATCAGACCGTTTGCTGCGCTGCGCCTCAGACGCACAAGAGGAAGCGCTGCGCCTCAGACGCACAAGAGGAAGCGCTGCTTCCTCCCTGTGAGTCGTGGCTGCGCTCAAGCTGCTGCTGGACCAGCAGGAACAGCTTTGAACCGGTTTGTCACCGGCTACAAAGCAGCAGAAAAAGAAAAAGCCAGCGCACAATAAGCGCTGTTGCTGCAGAGCGGTTCCCCCCTTCACACGCATTTCTCACAGAGCTCATCATAAAACCAAAACATCGGTCCGCGATGCTCTTTTTGGGGTTGATATTTTGTAAATATTATGTCTAAGAGAGATTTTTTGGGGGGCTTTCTGTGCGTGAAAAGTTCCCGCAGAGCGCGCAGCTCCGCAGCCGCTGTCTGCTGCTGTAGATGCTGAGGTGAGTGGCACATTTTGGTTATAACTAGGTAACAAAATAATACCTGCGTTGTTTCCCCCCAAATAGTTTATTGTTATTTAACTGGAAAAAAAAATGCTTTTGTTTAATATCAAGTCATTATGACATCTTGTTTTCCTCCTTTTACACCAACATCTGGAAAAAGAACTATTTGATGTTAATTATTTGTGATAAATAAATGACCAAATAGCTTATTTCGTTAACTTTTACTCCGATATCAGAGTGGTGAATATTTAACATGTAAAAAGATGTTTAATTTTGGTGCAATGGCCTACAAATAATTAATAGAAAGTGCTGAATGTGAAGAAGTCAGGAAAAGACAGGTCATGGAGGCAGTGAGGGGAGATCAGCCTTATTCCCCTCCTATAAGGTGTGGTTAGACAGAAAGCAACAAATAGGGCAGCTGGCTGTGGGGAGGCTGCAGTCACATCGAGCTGAGGACCTCACACAGGTGACCAAACACCCACAGCAGGTGTTACAGCAGCCCTCCTGACATCGAGGCTAGGAGTAAGTAAAAGAGTCAGGAAGATGTTGTAGGTCGGTTTAAAAATGGGATGCTTTTTTAAAAGTTATGCTGACATGATTTATAATGTGTTTGTTTCTTTTCCTTTCTTTAGGAACTTCTCCTCAATAAAAGCTGTAACAGATCCCCTCGGGCCCCAGTAACATCGGCATCATGACTTCATCCACCAAAACCTTGGATGGAGGCTGGGGATGGGCAATTGTTGCTGCGTCTTTCATGGCCCAGCTTCTGTCCTTTGGATCCCCCCAGTCCGTGGGGGTCCTGTACCCCGAGTGGTTGCACACCTACCAGGAGAGCAAGGCCATGACCGCCTGGGTGGGCTCTCTGGTGGGAGGAGTGGGATTAATTGCCAGTGAGTAACAAACCTTGCCGTCACGCAAGAAATTATACCTATTATTCTTCTTTTTTTTTTTTTACATTACTGACAGATAATCAATTAATCAATATAATTCCTTCTGAACAAAAATAAGTGAAGAAAAAGCAATAATATCCTAAATCTTCTCAATGTTATATATATATAAAAAAAGAAGTTTTTAAACAGCTGCTATCAATATGATCAATAAATGTGTGATTAGGATAGCTGTACTAAATGAGTTATGTGTTTAAAGTGGAACTCTTAAAAATGAAACCTTTCACTTTCACACCTGTATAACCATCTCCACCCAGTCGTAATCACTCAGCACTGATAACAGAGGAGACATGGTCCTTGTTTAAAGTCTATATGATAAGTGCTATCTAAGAAGCAATAACGCTATGATCCAGACATTCAGTCAACAGATAGATGAAGTTGGATCATAATAAAGAGCACTTTGTGGCTCTCTGAGCAGAGTTGCACGTATCGATTTTCCCGGAGAGCAAAGCAAGTGCATGTCATCCATGCTGTGAACGTAGGAGGATCATTTAGCTCTTAAGCCAACCGCTGAGATGCTGAGAGAGGGAAAGGAGAGACAGGAGGAAGACAATGACACGGAAGAAATAATTGGACTCATCGGCTGGATTTGTCCTTGTTCTTTATAGTAAAAGAAAAAAAAGAGAAAGTGCCTTAAAGTGTGCCAGAAAAAAAGTTAAAATGTTATTGTTCTAGAACAACGTGGAAGCTTATCTTTTCTCCAGGAATGCTGACAAACAGGAGCAGTGATTAACTCATGACTTAATCTGAAATTTCCATAGGCAGAGCCTTCCTCTCAAGCATGGCTTTTGGCTGTCTGTCTGAAAAGAGAGAGTGGGGAAAATCAAAACTAGATAGATCTAGCTTCAGGCCTGGGCAAGACCGGGACACGTGTCCTAGCCGTCAGCTTTCTAAAACGCTGCAGTTCCTGCAAGACAGCAGCAGCAAAAGCAGTCACACCCACAGGATCTCGGAAAATTGACATTAAAAAAGGCTTTTAGTTACTCAGCCTCAGGATATAGATATATTTAGACTAGTAGGAATTACTTGTATTATTATGCAATACAATTTATCAAACTACTGAATGAAACAGCATTTGATAGAATATAACAACACATCTAAGGTGATCTGATGATGTAGTAGTTTATATCTTCTCTGTCCTTTCTTAGCCTGATATTTTTAGCCCTCATCAAACTGCCATTTCCCCTGACTATCTTTTTCTTTACCTTTCTTCCTCTACCTTCCCCTCAGGTCCCATCTGCAGTGCCTGCGTTGACAACTTTGGAGCACGCCCTGTCACCATCTTCAGTGGTGTGATGGTGGCAGGCGGCCTGATGCTCAGTGCCTTTGCTCCAAACGTCCAGTTCCTCATATTTTCCTATGGAATTGTTGTTGGTAAGCAATCATTTAAATGAACAGTATCTCCTTTTCAGAGATAACATCAGTCAAGATATCCAGTCCAATAGATTTGATTGAATATTTATCTCTCGTTTTAACTGCTTGCACCTCATTAGATGCTGTTTTCCGATAAGCACAATATTTGCAAGACATTTTAGAACTTTTTTAGGTTCATGTATTTTACCATGAATCAGAAATGATTAAATAAAACATAAATATCTATTGGTACAGTCATTTTTTTAAGTAAGAATTTAAACATTTCAAGTTTTAAGATTGAGCCAAGAAGATATTTGAGGACATTTAAAAATGGTAATTGCTCCAGAAACAGTACAGATTAAAAGAAATCTTTTACTCTCATTTCAACATGCACAGATGTTATTTTTCAAATATCCTGTCTTTACGCATAATAATAGCAAAAGCAGTAATTGATACTTCAATTGTAAAGAGTCTTTTCTCTGGGGAAAAGAGACTCATTTTATTAGTTTTCTTCACTTGCAGGTAGAAGCTGGTTCAGTTGAGTTGGATGTTGCTCTTTTAGCCAATCTCTGATGACAGCTCAGCAGTTAAGGTTTCTAAGTCATCTGCTTGAGTTCGTCCAGATGAATCCTTAAAATATTCTCAATTTCCTGATTGAATAGTACTCCTTTGAAGCAAACTTTACTCATAGTGAAAAGCAAAAATGCAAAGTCCCAGACATGGAGAAGTAGTGAGTTGAAAGGACATTGATGTACCCATTTAGATCTTATCTTGTAGCAATAAAACATGTGGTTTATGTTTCTCTGTTCATGGTTGTAAATTGGTCTGATGTCCTTCAAACCTTTGTGCATTAAAAACATATTGTATAATCACTGAAAACAGGCAAGACAGCATGTTAAGGCAAAAAAAGTTATGTAACATCAGAGACCTACTTTAGCCCCAATTACTGGTTAATAAACACCGATGGACCAGATATGGTGGCAGCATATACCCTTACCCATTGTTCCATTTGTTTGACCATTACTGACCACTGTTTACAGAAAAATAAGAACTAATGACTCAGCCATAATTCCCATTTGGGCTTTTACTGCCTGTGTCTCCTTCCCAGTGCTTATGCATGGACCCAGCTACCACCTGTTGCTGCATATTAAGTGACTGTCCAGGCGTGCTTAACCCTGATAAACCCCCTCACCCCCAATGCTACTTTTCATGCAGGGTGCGCTGACAAGAGATGGTGTGCATATTCAAAGAGCAATTTATTTTTAGAGATGCCCTCAGAAAACTGTCTGTTGCTGAACAAGCATATGTAGCTTGTTTACTTATCATGTTTCATGTTTTTCTAGGGGTCTTACATAAGTCTGTTGATGCTCTTTCAAATTAAATATGGTTATCCTCAAAATAAATAATCTGGGCTAATCGATTATATATTTTTTCTCTCTTCCTAGGCCTGGGTTGTGGTCTTGTCTACGCAGCCACCTTGACAATCACCTGTCAGTATTTTGACAAGAGACGCGGCCTCGCCCTCGGCATCGTCACCACAGGTACTCCCGCCTACCTCTGCCCTGAGATCTCTGGGTGCCTTGCTGTTCTCCATGCTCACTTCTTTAATGTTTGAGCTCCTGGGAGCCTTACGAAGCTCAGGTAAACATGTGTAGTGTAGTGAAGCCAGAGAGGTCCATTAATTAGACAGGTGGACAGACCTGTTGACTTGATCTGGCTTGGCTGAGATTGAAATCTTCCTTGGAATCGATCAGGAAATTTGACCTCTTGGGGTTAATAGAATAACACTGCGATAATGACTGAGCATCTTCTTTTCCTTACCCTGCATAATTTTAAATGAGGTGTCTTTATTTTTTACACCAATTTTAATTTTTTCCCTTCTCCTCTTGTGCAGGCACAAGTGTAGGCGCCTTCATCTATGCCACCGCTCAGAACGAGCTGATTGTCCTTTACGGCCTGGATGGCTGCCTGCTAATCATCGGAGCCATAGCACTGAATCTCATGGCGTGCTCTGGTTTCATGAGGCCCCTCAACATGCCTGGGTACTACATCAAGCAAAAGGCAGCCCTCGAGCGAAACACGGAGGAGCAGCTCTTCATGAAGCCACCTTTTGATGACCTCAAGATTGCAGTGGGTTCAGCAACGACCGCTCCAGAGAAACCTCTCACAGTGAAGGAGTTGCTCATCACCATTGATTCCAAGGACTTGACGATTCAAACAGAGAAAAAAGAGGGTCCCTTAGCTGGATTAGCCATCATGAAAGCAATCAAGAAAAAACACAAGGCTTACTGCAAGTACATGCAGTCATTGTACGAGATCTTGCAGGACCAAGAAATGGTGGCCTTCTGCATTGCCATCTTCTTGTTTAGCTTGGGGGCATTCCCACCTGTCCTCTTTATTGAGGATGTGGCACAGAGTGAAGGACTCATTGAAGAAGTTAGCATCATTCCTCTTGTATCAATAGGGGCTATCAGCACCTGCATAGGCAAACTAGCACTGGGTATTATAGTGGACTTCAAATGGATCAACGGTGTCTATCTATATGCCTTCACAATGTTTGCAGGAGGTTTGGCACTGCTCCTTATCCCCATCACCAAAAGTTATATTGGACTGCAGATCCTTACTGCCATTCTTGGTTTCTTCTCTGGAAACTGGTCGCTCACTTCTTACATTACCACTAAAATCGTTGGCTTAGATAGACTGACACAAGCTCACGGCATCCTAATGTTCTTCGGGGGATTCGGAATCATGCTTGGGCCCCCTGTTGTTGGTAAGAAACTTGCTTTTATCTATGTTTTAAACTTCCTAGCAGCCTCTGACGTGTTCTAAGAGGTTGCTTGTCTGAAGCCTTGTTGACGGTCCTGACCATGGTGTTTTCTTCATATCACTTTGCAGGGTGGTTTTTCGACTGGACGCAGTCTTACGACTTGGCGTTCTACTTTAGTGGGAGCTGCGTGCTGTTGGGAGCATTTATCCTTTTTCTACTCAGCCTTCCCTGCTGGAACAGGAAGTCCTCTGAGAATAACAAACCCGAAGTCCAATACACCTGCACCTGTGAAAAAGTTGCCTCAGTTGCCTGAATTTAAGCACCTTTCACAAAGATCCCGGCACTTGCTGCTCACAGACTGTTTTTTTGGACTATGCTCAAACAAACTCTTAGAGATTTTTTTTCTCTAAATATGCTGGGGAGTCTTCTGTATTTCTGCTGCCAGATTTCAATATACCAGGTTCTCAGGTTCAACCCACTTACAGCAGATATTTATAAAGTGTTGACTCTAAATCCTTTTATGAATATTTTTCTTATTATTACCTCATTTTACGAGGTTGGTAGAACAATGTTGGTAAAAAACTCAAAAAATTTCTTTTTTTATTGTTGACTATTTTTTCCTTTGGGTCTTAAAAGCATAAAATTATGCCACCTATGAACATTCTGTAAAACAGAGTGTAACACAGTAAAATGTGATGTTGAAACGCACACATAATCACCCATTTTAAGGTAGACAATAGTTAATTATGTGTTGGTTGTAAGCTTTTTTTTGATACTCATAAAGGGTAAGTCTGATATTGTATTTTGGTCTCAGTAAGTGATCACTCCACTCTGTATGTTACCAAAGCATCTAGGATAACCAATGCCTGTTATCAAATAATGCCTGTTAAATCAACGTACATGCCTTGCTTTCTTCTTATGTTTTCATATGTAATTGCATTTTGTTTTATGTTTTACAATAACATACCTCTTTCTTTGACCAGACAGATACTTGTAAAAACATGTAGACAAATTGGCAAATCTTGCTGTTTGTGTGACATTTTTGCTGCATGTTGATTCTCTGTGCTGCAAGGGTTTTTCATGAGACCTCACAAAGTTTCATTTCGGCCCTCCTGGTCCTTGTCCATCACTTTCTGTGCATCTATGTTTTTTTTTGTGTGTGTTTGCGTCCCTGCACCCAGTCGTTCGCTTCTGAGTCATGTCCTTATATTACCCGTAGTTTGTTAAGCTCTATGTGCTAGTGACTTTTATATGCACAAAACTGGTTATAGAGCTGTTAAACAATGTTATAAAGGTTGTTATTGAGTTGAAGTATAACAGGCTTTTGAAACTGTATATGCTGTTGAGTAAAACCACTACAGATGTTTTTGGTAGCTCCAGTGTAAAGAGTGAGCGTGAATCTGGGACTTAATTGTTCATCATTGTTTTGTTCTGGTAGGGTGCAGCAGATGAAGTACTGTAGCCATTCAGCTGTATGTCATAGCTTTTCATTTTTTTATTTCATCATTGTAATATTTATGTGAGCCTTATAGTTTTCTTGTTTTATTTAAAATGTGCCAATAAAGCTGTTTTGATTAGTAATTTTGCGGACTGATTTTTGTGAAGCATGTGTTATGATGTCTTGATTGTTTAAGTTGTAGGTAGTGCTGGGAGAGCTTTACAATTAAAGAGCAAATTTTACTTGTACTTATATTGATTTGATAGAATGTATAGCCCAAAATCCCCCAATCCTTTCAAAAACTACCAGTTCATACTTTATAACACATCTTATATCACATACCCTTTGAACTTTTTCCTATTTTTTAATAAATACAGACCTCATTGTGTGTTATTGCAGCTTTATGTGATAGAATAACATTTACTTTTGCACAAAGAAATGGTTGTTCACTCTTCTTTAACATCTCAAGCTTAGTCAGATTGGAGTTAGATCATCAGTAGGCAACAATATTCAAGTCCATTGCATATTTTTAATCCTGCTCTTATTTTGGGCCATCCTACATCATGACTATACTGTAATCTAAGCTTTCCTTTATAAGTCTGGCTCCCTGTCTTAGTAGAAAGTGAACTTCTAGTCTTGCATGGTTTGTAACCTGTAACAATTTACTTGATGGCCTTGTATTTGGCTTTATATAGCTTAATCATCAACTTTGAATAACTTCCTCCTTGCAGAAGAAAAAGCCACCCCACAGCGTGTTTTCAATGTGCTTAGCAGTGTAGGTTTGGTTTTTCTTCTACAAACTTATATTTTCTGATAAAAAGTCTGAAGAGAATTTCTTGACTGTGTTTTATTCATCAGCTCCAGAAAAAAAAAAGCTTGCCAAAGTTTTAAGATTTATATTTGCAGAAAATAAAAATCATGAATAGTTTATATTCTAATTCAGAATATGTGATATGCATTTTTTTTGATGAAATACAAATGCTCATTGAGATAAAATACTGTGGATTTTTATTTAGGATCATAGAACAGAAGTTTAAGAATAACAAAAAATACAGCGAGAGAAGCATATATTTTGTGTAACCAACTAAGTATAGTTTGCAAATTGTAACCTAGTCATATGAAAAGATTGAGCATGAACTGGGTTCCTTGCACCATCGCTGTTACTGCACTGTGCAATTTCAATGCAGAAATTACGTTTAATTGACTGCTGTATTTAGTTTTTCTTTTTGATTTAAATGCAGAATATAGATTTTGATTTGTTGAGGTTCCATAAGTGTGGATTAATTTGAGTATATGATGCATGTGTATAGAACGATGTTTTAGGGTTGGGACTCAAATGATGTCATCTATATAAAGTTGATCTTATAAATGTCATACTCTGTGTTTGATTTACCACATCACATGTTTTTTTTTTACTTTGATTGATTTTTTTTGTGTGTGTTTAGGAGTTACTGACTATGAAATCTCAGATGCACGCTTATTCAAAGTCCGGAAAGGATCATTTTGTAACACTTTGGTCTCCAACCCTGAAATCCGGCTTTTAAACTTTCTCACTTCTTAGACTGCTTGATTCATATACCAACAACTCCAATGGAAATCCAGATTTTTCCATCAGCTTGAAGTTTTTCTAGATTTGACAAGCCAAAGCAGTATAGATATTGAAACAGGATGATTTAGATTAGCCTAGATGCCAATTTAGTGAAAATGTTTATAAAGTCATGTCCTTTTATCATCTCTCAATTTATAACTTATTTAGAGCTACTGTAGGTATTATTATTATCTTTATTATTATTATTAAAACATAAAAGGGTTGGACTGGTCAGTTGGTGATGGAAACCATCTCCAGTTTCACCTGAGCATCTTGAACCTTTTAATTGCTTCCCTTAGCAACGCCCTTAGAGACCATGTACCACGTGACTAGTAACGTAAACAATTTGCCAGTGAAGTAAGCAGGAAAGAACTAAGGAAAAAAGCTTCAACAAAAGCAGCTTTTTGACCAGCTGTTCTCCTGACGCCGGGATGTAAAGACAATGCCGACAACGCGGCTGCAATTCTTCGCAAATGGCGGTAAGCGGAGCATCATGTGGGCAAAAGGAAAGTCCATTCACAACCCAAAGAGGCAGAGCTGTTCCAGTTCGTTGAGCTGAAAAATGGGCGCAAGCGCTTCATTATCACTCTGTGTAAGTCTGCCTTCACATATACTGCTACTCAGTCTTATTACCAGGTGCTTTCCCAAGTCAGCCTAACGCGTGTCCTAATTTGTTTAATGGAGTTTTGTTGTTTACAGGGGGTCCCTGAATGCGTCTTTTTCTATGTAATGTCTGTCATGTTGCCAGGCACACCAGCATTGGACTGATGTTATTTTTAAAGAGGAGTTAGGTTGAATGATCTTACAACAAAAATGTAACTTTGCCCTTTGTTGTTTTTTATTTATTTTTAAAAATTATTCTATAAAATGTAAAATAAAAGAAACAATGAGTTTCACCTAAATTAAATTCTATATAAAAAAAAAAAAACAAAGAAGTGCTTACATCTAAAAAATTATTATGCCTATTATAATTTTTTTGTTTTGTCTTTTACCTTTTAAGTCTACACAATATTTATGTATTATTCATATGTGTTATTTGAGCCATCCATCCATCCATCCATCCATCCATCCATCCATCCATCCATCCATCCATCCATCCATCCATCCATCCATCCATCCATCCATCCATCCATCCATCCATCCATCCATCCATCCATCCATCCATCCATCCATCCATCTCTGTATAGCAAACTCCACTATATGTTGAACATTTATTGGCATTATACTAATTATAAACTTAAAAAATGAACTGAAATGCCAATTTGAATCTGCAAGAGTTTTGAATTTGTTAATGAATAGTATTTGTGTTTGTTAGAGATCTTTTGTATTTTAAATTGTAACACTAGAAGTTAGTAGTTTAACTGAAGTTTGAACCTGTCTGTGGTGTTTGCTGTTATATTAAATAATGTGTCCTTCTATTGATTTCTCTCCTCACTGCAGTGTGAAGCATCTTCCGTGAGAATCTTAAGGCCCAATGCCAAGGTTTGCCCGGAACTCCCTCTTGCACAAGTGCCAGTTTCTAAAGTACCTCCGGGGTGTGTGTTTGGAGTATCTTTGGAAAAACTAAAAGACGATGGGCAGATGATCTTTGGAATACCTTTTGTTTTAAGAGACATGGTGGAGTTCTTGGAAAAGAGAGGTTTGTACGGCTCATCTCTCTTTTCTTCAAGTTCTTTATTCACACTTTTATTTCATTTGTTTCAAATATCACTCTTATGTTTATGACTGGATCTATTTGTGTTATTTTAGGACTGCATCAAAGGGGTTTGTTTCGCTTGAGTGGGTCTGTGGCACGGACCAGGCAGCTGAGACAGCGGTGGGACCTGGGAGAGAAAGTGGATCTGGAGCAAGAGGGGGATGTCCCGACTGTAGCCTCTCTACTCAAGCTCTTTCTGCGGGAACTGCCCACTCCTTTAGTTCCTGAGCCGCAGCGCAAACAGCTGGTTCTGAGCCTAACAGGTACTTGGTACATTTATGTTTTCACTAGCTATATCTAATATAACTGTTATTGCTTTATTTAGATATAAATCATAATTATTTATCCACCGCAGCACGCACCTAAAGAGAATTTAGAGAAGCCAATTAATCAAACAGTTATGTTTTTGGACTGTGGGAGGAAGTCGGAGTACCAGGAGATAACCCATGCCTGCACAGGGAGAACATGCAAACTCCATGCAGAAAGATCTCCGGTTGAGTGTTTGAGAGTGATGCTAAATTATTTTCTTTTTGTTCTGTCTTCTTATCAAAAAAATAATTAAAAAAATAAAATTGTGTTTGCTAAATCCTGCAGACACTTTAGCTGGAACTGTGTTCTTTTTTTTTTTTTTTAGGAAGATTAAAAAAATATACCATGGATTTTGGAGTGGAATGATTAAAGATCATTCTCTCTATATGCTCCAACATTGTCTCATATAATCAGGGAGTGCTTATTAACGCCAGTCCTCAGGAACCACTGTTTCCTTTGTTTTAGATGTTTCCCTGCTGCCACATACCTTGCTTAAATGAACGAGGGAACAATCAAATGTTTAAACCAGGTGTGCTGATTCAGGGAGCATGACAGATGGCGGGCCTTTAGGGACCGCTGTTGTATTCTACTTCAGGAAAAGATTAGTTTATTTTAGAGGTTTATACACATCTTTACCAGGATGTGGAGTCAGGAAACAAATCAATTCTGTTGTTTATTCTCTATTTTTAGGATATGCACATGAGTCCGAGCTGAACCAAAACCTGAGAGAGATCCTTTGCCTCCTGCCTGATTCCTGCCTCAATATTCTGTCTTACCTCGTCCACTTTCTGCGCAGAGTGGCGTCCCAGAGTCATTACAACCACATGCCTGTGGAAAACTTAGCAACCATCTTTGGACCTTGTATATTTCAGTAAGTTTTTGTAATCAGTCTTCATGTTCTTTCAGTGTTATAATGATAGAATGACATCT